AAAATCCTCAATATTCTCATCATGGAAGTGCAAAGTACTCGACTGTATTGTTGGTAACTTTTGCTGAATTTTTTTCACGATAGCAAATTGTCTAGAAGCCCAACCATCAGTAACGTTGTCAGTGAGCAACAAAGTTTGATGAACATCAAAATTAATCGAGTTTACTACGACATCGAATATTTGAAGATCTACTGTCTCATCTCTATAAATGTTTTCATATTTCCGCAAAGTTGTTTTGTCACTTTTAGCAAAAATAAACGGTAGAAAGGAAAAGATGATTTTGAAAGAAATCAGCATTTTTAATTCTTGGATTGAAGCTGAAGAAGACGAAGAACAAGAATAAAAAGAAGAACTCAAGATGCATGGAAGTCTTTTTACGGAAAATTTTAGCTCAATTCGAATAGTTTTTAAAAAGAAGGTTAAGCGTTCTTTAATAAAAGTAATAACTTGCACTGTAGGTGACGAAATGACAACATGGACTCAAAACCTTATGCGACATGCGAACATGCAATTTGCGCCTTTTTAAATAATTGCACACACCAACTTTTTATTTACAATCAGTGACCTTGTTAAACCTGCTTATTTTCTGCGCATTCTTTTAAAGAATTCTACGAACTGTGTAACTTATTCGATATAATAATAACTTTTTCTGTAACTTAAAAGTTTATGCAAAAACATTAACCTTTTCTATCAGTGGAGGAAATATTAAAATTTCCAAATAATTACTGCTTCTTTCTCGGATTTTTTAAAAATAAAATCTCATATCCATTCGTGAAATCCTAACTTTTTAATGTCGAATAGTAATTACAATTTTTTGGGTTTTAAAATAAAAAAATTGAGTTGAATATATCGACAAATTGCATATACGTAAAATGAACTAAAATTGGTCTTTTCATTAAAACTATAATATTGTCTATAAGCTTAAATTATTCCTCAAAGACTTCAAAAAATTCTTTAGTTTTCAAAATTACTTTCAGCGAATAACTACAGTAAATTAAAGCTGACCGAGAGCTAAAATCATTTTTTTATATTATAGATAAGAATATTGTTACTGTAACATCTTCAAAATTATTTTCATCATTTCAATTCAATTATTATTTTCTTCAATTTTTAACTAAAATTCTTCTTTAAATCAATTATTTTTAATAATTTTTGAAAAAGTTCTTTGAAAATTTTCAAATCTATTTGTTGCTAGGAACTCACTCGTGCTTAATTACAGAAAATTAAAAAGAGAAATCCAAACGTGAAATTGAATTTAAAGAATTTTTCAATTAACTAAAGGATAATTTTTAAAATTTTAGTTTACATAATTCAGAGAGATTATCAATCCAACTAAAATTGATGATAAGAATATTTAACTGCTTTTTCCGATTCTTAAAGACTTAAAAAGTTGTAAAAGAAGCCTTAAACAATTTTCTAGAAAAGCCAAAAAGATGAAAGTTTCTACAAGGGGCTTTAATGAAAACAATAGCCAAAATTCTGTGGAAGAAAGGCATAACAGCATAACTGACATTTTTATCAAATTTAAGATAACATCAGATTTGTATATATTTAATATTGCTCTTCAAAGTTCAATAGCTGAAAAATCATTAAAATGGTTATTAATGTAGAAAATAATGGAAAACATAATCGCATAATTGCGTTTTTGACAAAAAGAGACCTGCATAATAACATAACTGCATGCTGCTTAAAAAACAATTGACATAATTAAAAATGAAAATAATCTTTATGAATAAAAACAATAAGAATTTTGTAATAAAATGTTTTTAGTAAAATACATTTTTCGTACTTTAAATTTAATATATATTTATTTTAATAAAACTGGAACAAATTTTTTATAGCATAAATTGTGCATTTAATTATGTACTTATTTTTAAGGGTATTTCTATTCTAAAAAATTTTGGAAAGTATTTCAAAAAATAAATTGAAAAATTTTTCAAGTTGAACAGTAAAGTAAATTTTTTTTCTCGTTTCAGTAAATTAAAAACATTTAAAAAAAAAATTTTGTAACTAAATAAACTCTTATAATTTTTTCTAACGAATTAATAGTTTAATTTGTCTTTGTGTGAAAAATCTTTTTAATTATGACAAATCAAACCAAAATAAATTGTGACATTAAAAGTGTCTGAAGTTGGACTCATATACAATCTGAACTTGCATAACCGCATAAGTGCAATAAAACTCATGATTCCGATGAAAAATTATCAAAATTTATATCAAATCGTGTGTTTTATTAAATGTTATAAAAGAATTTTGAAAATATATTAAATAATAATACTAAATGCAAAAGACCGAACAAATCTGTTGATTTTCTGAATTTACAGAAGTGAGAGAACATTAAAATTAATTTATCTCGAAATCATGACAAATGCAGTTATGCTGTTATGCCTTTCTTCCACAGAATTGTCAAGAAAATACCAAAAACAACTAATGGATAATTATCGAATTTTATGAAACGTACATTAATAGCAAGATAAGGTTAGACATTGTTAAAAAATTATATCACAAGTTCATAAAATTAAAGTCGCATTCATTTTTTATAAAGCAGCGAACCCAGTCTTCGAAGACTAGAAATAAAATATTTGAGACAAATAATCCCTTTTAAGAGAATATTCCCAGGGAATATTCTCTTAAGATTTTCATGAAATTCTCAAGAAATAAACGTAAAATTTAAGCAAATTTCCCAGGAATAAATTTTTCAGAGAATTTTCTTGTGGGCATTAATTCCAAAGAAATTCACGAAAATTTATCAGGCATTTTTTTATGTGGTTACTTTTAATTGCTTTAGATTCTTCTAGAAAATTGCAATTGGAACAAGATGGTATGGCACATAAATGCTTATACTACTAAAAATCTCAAAAAATTCTTATACAAAAATTGTTATTAAAAGAAATAAAATAATTACGTGCACAATTTTTAATACGACTTATTTTGCATACGATGACCTTGTCAGCACTGTAAAGCACAGAGAAAATTTTTGATGAAAATTCAAAATTTTATTTTTGAAAACAGACGTCAGATTCGTAATCAGTGACCCTAAAAACCCCCGAATAACAAGTTATAAGCGAATCCATTAGATTTTAAAAAATCTGTCCTCCATGTTGGATCCGCCATTTTGAATTTTGGAAATCTAACCTCAGATTTGTAATCAACGACCCCTAAAATCCCGGGTAAGAAGTTTTAAGCGAATCCATTATATTTTTAAAAATATGTCCTCCATATTGGATCCGCCATTTTGGATTTTAAAAAACTGTCACTCGGCATTTGATTTAAAAGTTTTTATTTTTAACTAAAGTTTAATCTTATAGCTGGTTATTCAAACGCAAACCATTTTTGGGGCATTGTCAAAGAATGCATTACAAAATAAAAAAAATTTATTGAATAATTGAATGTTTTTTAAAATTGAATTCTCATAAAGAATTTTATTAGCAAATCTTTAAATATTTAAATTCTTTCGACGAATTTTAATAAAATTTCTAAAAAAATTACATTTTTCTAGGAGTTTGATTAAAATTCGTCGAAAGAATTGAATTATTTAAAGATTTGCTAATAAAATTCTTTATGAGAATTCAATTTTAAGAAACATTCAATTATTCAATAAATTATTCAATAAATTCTGCGATGAGTTTTATTATTTATGAAAATAATCGAATTTCTAAATAGAATTTTATTATTTTTGAACATAATTAAATTTCGGCGAAGAATTTTATTACTCTTGAAAATAATTTTGAATTCCTAAAAAGAATTTTATAATTTACGAAAATAATTGAATCTTTGTAAAAAACTTTAATATTCAAGAAAATAATATAATTCTTAAGAAAATAATTTTTAAAAACTTTGTTAATATTTGAATTCCTGTGGAATTTTTATTATTTATGAAAATCATTGAATTGAAGAAATTTTTTTTAAATAATTGAAATTTTGCAATGAGTTTTACTATTTATGAAAATAATTGAATATATTGCGAAGAAATTTTTAAAAATAAAATTATAATTACGTTGACTAACTTCTCTTGATTATTTTCGAAAAATTTAAATAAAGTGAAAGAATTTAATTTTTTATAGAATGTAAAGAAATTTCAATTATTTGTTTATAAAAATTCAATTATCTCGAAACAATAGAATTGAAAAATTTCAAAAATCTTATTTTTCAGAATTTTCAAAAAAAATTTGCGAAAATTCAATTTTATTAAAAAAAATTTAAAAAGTGTATCTTTTTTTAAATTAACTAATAAAAATTTTAATTACCTATTAATCTTTGCACTAAGAAACATGAATACATTAGAATGTGACTCTTTATATAAAATTCAATTATTTTTCAATTATTAAATCAGAATACTTTGAAAATTCGATTTGTTAAAAAGTTTTTAATGAAATTCTTTAACAAATTAAATTTTTTTTGTCAATTGTATTTCACAAAATTTCTATTAATTGGATAATTTTTTGAAAAATTTATTTACATCCTACATTTGAATCAGTGACTGATTTTTTACTTATCAAATTAATTATTTTTAACTAATTCAAATTTAGAGAACAGTATTTAAATATCTATAAAAATTTTAATAAAAAGCGATTTTTTAAAAACAAATTAAAATAATAAAACTTTTTTTAATTTGGTGAAAAAATTCCCGGTTTGGTATAAAATTCCCGGCTTATTCCCGGTTAGTAGACACCCTCTGTGAAAGTCTTGAAATTGTCATGATACGTGCTTTCTTTAATAATTTTGAATCTGCTTTTGAATGTCTTGACATGTTGAATGAACATGACAGTTCAGTATTCACTTTCTTTAGTGTTAGCATATAGGATGCTACACTAAAGAAAGTGAATACTGAACATGACAATTTCAAGACATTCAAAATTAACAGCAAAACCTACAAAATGCCTTGAACTTGTTCATAAATAATGGAACACCTTCAAGAGCAACTTTGCAAAACAAAAGGAATTAGCACCTTTAACCACCAAGGACAGTGCCCGGTCTGGAATTTAAAAAGAATCACTTACCGATCCAAGAACTTCATTCTCGTTGGCGACATAGGGCGTCTCTTTGATCTGTTCCTCCTCCTCCTCTTTGACCGAACCCTCCGACTCGCTCTCACTGGCGCTGATCTCGACATCGGCGACAACTCCATTCTCCGGTTGGCTGATATCGTCCAGGTCTGTGTGCGAGGTGTATACAGGATCTAGCGTTACTACTTGACGGGTCGCGTACTCTAGGGCATGGACAGAAGGACTGGTCATGCGGCGGATGGGATTAATAGATGGTACAGATAGAGAAAATGGCGATGATGAAGAATTGGCATTATTAGCATTAATATTTAAGCAATCGAAATTAATATCATCGTCGTCGGCTGCTGCTGCTGCATCCGTTTCGTTAAATGTCGCCGAGCGACCAAGTAATTTTTCCCAATAGGAAACCGCATGGCAGAGATGTTGAAACATGGGCGTTGGCGAGGGACAAACACTTTTTGAATCGCGTTGTGCAATAAATGGCGATATTGGCTGAGGACACGATAGCAAGCGACGTTGTGGTGTTGTCGGTGTACGTGGTGCGTAATGATTCAAACAAATTTGAGGAACGTCATCGTCAATGTCATCTGTCTCTTTTTTTCGTGACGTCGTCATTTTTTGATGATCATCAACGTTTCGCATTAATGACAGCAAAAAAAATTATTCTACCATTAAATGACGATTTTTAACATTTTCGTTATATCTACTGTTTGTCAATTTGTTCCACAGATTAGAATCTACGACTCGAGAAAAAATAATCTTTTTCAACATCTTTACTCAAAAACTAACTAATTTTCCTTTTAAATCAAATTTCTCGATTTTTCATTGAAAACAACTTTGACATTGCCTTAAGATTGTTCGCAAATGCGAAAAATTTGTAACGTAAATAAAAAAACTATTCAAAAATAATACGAACAAAGAAAGATTGACTTCTAAAATTTCCTTATGCTACATTGTATTTCTTAATTGCAAACAAATTGAACTTTAATGACGCGCTATTATTTTCAAATTAATCAACGATTAAACGACCCAAATAACGAAATATTACAAGGCTCGAACCATTTACGGATCAATTACTGAAAAAAATATAACCAGTCCGAGTAAAATAAGAGAACATTTATTTAAAACTATAAATTAAATTTTTTCATAACTATAAAACATGAAAATATCGATCACTCCGAGTCTTCGACTCGAAGTTATCAATTTCTTCATGCTTTATAATAACTAAAGATGACCGAGCGATAAAATAATTATTTTATATTATAAGAATATTGTACATCTTCAAAATTAATTTCATTTCAATTCAATTATTATTTTCAAGAATTTTTAATTAAAATTCTTCTAAATCAATTATTTTTAATAATTTTCGAAAAAGTTCTTTGACAATTTTCAAATTCATTTGTTTAAAATATTAAATTTTACGAAATTTCAATTATTTGCAAATTCTTCAATTAAAATATTAGAAAATAAAAACTTCAAATATAAAAAAAAAATTCAATTAAACTTTTTCAAAAAAATTAATTTCAAAATTTGATTATTTCTAAAAATTCACGCTATATTGCTTTAAATATTTAATTCTTATCTAAAACTTTAACTGAAATTCATTTTTAAATCAATTTTTATTAGAAAATTCTATCAGAATTCAATTATTTAAAAACAAAAACTAATAATTTATTAAATAATTTAATGTTTCTTAAAATTGAATTCTCATAAAGAATTTTTTCAATACATTTTTAAATAATTGAATTCTTTTGACGAATTTTAATAAAAAATTTTAAGAATAATAATTACATTTTTCGAGAAATTCGATAAAAATTGTATTAAAAATAATTAAAATTCTACGATGAGTTTTATCATTTATGAAAATAATTTAATCCAAAAAAATTTATGAAAAATTTGAAAATAAAATTGAATTCCTATGAAATTTTTATTATTTATAAAAATAATTTGTAATTTCTCGAAAATTAATTTTTTTTTTAGTGTTTTTAACTAAAATTCTTTTATAAATCCAGGTATTATTAATAATTTTTGAAAAAGTTCTTTGAGAATTTTCAAAAAAAATTAATTCCTTTGCAGAATTGTTAGTTAAAAGTATCAAAAATTAAAATTTTCAAAGATTTTAATAATGAAACATTTTCAATATTCAATTATTTCTAAAAATTCAAGCTATAATATTTTAATATTCAATTACAATCTAAAATTTTAAGTGAAATTAATTTTTAAATCAATTTTTATTAGAAAATCCTACTAGAATTCAATATTATTTAAATAAAAAAAAATTTATTGAACAATTGAATTCTTTTGACGAATTTTAGTAAAAGTTTTAAGAATATAATTACATTTTTCGAGGAATTCCATTAAAATTGTATTAAAAGTAATTGAAAATTAGCATTGAATTTTATTACTTATGAAAATAATTGAATTCCTAAAAAGAATTTTATTTACGAAAAAATTGAATCCCTGTAAAAAATTTATTATTTGTAAAAATAATTGAATTATTTAGAATAAATTTATAAAAAATTTGTAAATAATTGAATTCCCGTGGAATTTTTATTATTTTATGAAAATAATCAAGTATTTGCGTAGAATTATATTAACATTTTTTTAAATAATGTAATTCTTTTGGAAAATTTTGATTAAAATAGTAGATATTGAAAATCAATAATTTGAGGAAAATTTTTGAAAATAATTGAAATTTAGCCAAGAATTTTATTAAAATTTTTGAAAATAGAATTTCGGCGAATAATTTTATTATTTCTAAAAATAATTGAAATTTTAACGAGAATTTTTAGAAAATTTTGAACATAATTGAATTTTTGCAAAGAATTTTATTACTTTTGAAAATAATTGAATTTCTGCAATCATTTGTAATTTCTCTGAAATTCTCCAAATTATATCGTACAATTTACGAACTTTTCGTCCTTTTTCAATGAAATTACGGAATTTAGGGACCTTTTTTTCAACAAAACTTGCTTTTAAAGAACTTTATGGGATTTACGGACCTATAGTTCGAGCCCTGATATATTACTGAAAAAACTGAAATTTCGAAAATTAATACTTTATTTGTATACTTCTATATTTTAAGAAAACCAAATCCATTTTTTTAAATAAAATAAGATTTCGAAAAAGAAAATATTTTTCGTTTCAAAAATAAAACCTAAATTTGCCAATTTTTAGCGAAATAGAAAAATGAAGAAAAAATCGAAATAAAGAAATAAAGAAAGGAAGAAAAATTTTTCAAAATGTGACAAGGTAGAAAAAAAGTGGAAAAATATTTTTAAAAAAACAATGTTCGTGATAAAAGGAGAAAAATGAGAGGAAAATATTTCGAAGATTTGATACAATTGGAAAAGTATACAAAAAGAGATTCATATTGTATTAGTGAAGAAATCGAAAGTTAATTTTTCCAACGTTTTTTTAGTGGGCAAGGAACAGTTGATTAAAATCACATGCAATTTTCTGTGGTATTTACAAATTAACAGAAGCAAAATTTTGAAAAAATCTCTCTAAAATATGAAAAATTTGAACTTTATTTTTTTATTATTCACAGTTTTAATATCAAATTGAGACAAAAAAAGAATCAAAAGTGTTGCGAAGCAACGTATTGATTTTTTTTTGTCTCAATTTGATATTCTTAAAAAAGCTGTGTTATTATTTTTCAATTATTGATATTTTTTATTTTAAAAAAAAATACTTTTTATATTTTTTTTATTACTTTTTAATTGACATTAAAGAAACGAAAAAAAATTTAATATTATTAATATTTTTTAATTAATATATATAAGATGTTATTGTTTTTTGGATTGTAATCAATTTAGTTAGATGTTGATTTGTTTATTATTTTTTAATCCATATTAAAATCATTTTCAAGCACGAAGCTTTTCGTCCATCAACGATGGACCTCATCAGGTGAAATTCGAAAATTCAAAATTAATAGGATCTCTTCTCTCACATGTCGTCATTCTTTTATAAAAGTGATATGAACATTGTAAAAAAACATTGTTGTGAATCCTTACAAATGTTTAACTTTTTCCAAAAAATAAATTAAATTAAAAAGGTGGGAAATAAAAAACCACATGTATAATTTAAATCAAATGTAATTAAAAAAAAAATCACTTTTATAAATGAATGACGACATGTGAGAGAAGAGATCCTATTAATTTTGAATTTTCGAATTTCACCTGATGAGGTCCATCGTTGATGGACGAAAAGCTTCGTGCTTGAAAATGATTTTAATATGGATTAAAAAATAATAAACAAATCAACATCTAACTAAATTTTTTAATTAATATTAAAAAATAGAAGATTGAAAAATAATTTTCGAAGAGAAATTTTTTCAAGGCAAATGAAAAAAAAGACAAAGAGATATTTTTGTCGAGTGTATGCAAAAAATTGCGCCAAGCTCTTGGAATTTGTGGGAAAAAAAAATTACCGTGTTCATTGAAATGTTTCTCGTAATCCGCTTCACTCCATTGAGTCTCGTGGGTGGTTGTCGAATCATGTTGAGGAGAACGAGGAATTGCACTCGTTGAACGGACAATCAAAGATGAACAGCGAAGCGACAATTCAAGAGCGTCAAGCCAGCATTTACCTGCAGCTTGCGATGGAGCTCTGAATATTAAATACGATGTTGGCAAAGGTTGAACGACAGCGCCTGCAAAAAAAGAAACGAAGAGGAAAAATAGAATCGAAAATAAATTGTTTCTCTTTTTCAATTTCTAGAATTTGTATTTTATTTCCTAAACAAACGTTTTTTTATCGAATTTTTAAATTTTTAATTCCAAGTTTTTTATTCTTATTTATCGATTTTTTACTTTCTTATCGCCCTTTTTTGTTCTAATTCTTCTTAAATTAAATTTTTTATTTCTATTTTCGACTTTTTATTTTCTTATTTCCTGTTAATTTTTTACTTTTTTTTACTTCTTTTTACTTTATTTCCTTTCTATTTTAATTTTTATAAAATTTTTCTCCAGGGTTTCAACAAAAATTTTATTTTCTCTTTCCCTGACTTTTCCCTGATTTCAAGAAAAAATTTTGCGTTTTTTAATGAGCCTAAAGAATATTCCAATTCACTCTAAAAATAATTAGATACTCAAAAAAATGTTCTAATACATTTACTTGCGAATTTCTTTAATTATAAAATTATTCGAAAATATCAATAACTTCTTTTTCAAATAAATATTTAATCATTATTTTTCTTTTTTCTATAGGAATTCAGATTTTCAAAAATTTTAAATTCAAACTTTTTGATATTCATAAGAATATTGTTACTATATTCTTCAAAATTATTTTCATCATTTCAATATTCAATTATTATTTTCTAGAATTTTTAACTAAAATTCTTTTATAAATAAAATTTTCAAAAATTTTAATTATAACCTTTTCAAAATTCAATTATTTATAAAAATTAATGCTATATACCTTATGCTTTTAATATTCAATTATTATCTAAAATTTCAACTAAAATTTATTTTTTAAATCAATTTTTTTTACAAAATTCTACGAGAATTCATTAATTTAAAAAATTAAAATACAAAAATTAATAATTTATTGAATAATTGCATTCTTTCGACAAATTTTAATAAAATTTAGATGAAGAATTGCATTTTTCGAGAAATTTAATCAAACTTGTATTAAAAATAAATGAAATTCTGCGATGAGTTTTATTTTTTATGAAAATAATTGAATCCCTGTCGAGAATTTTATTATTTAAATGAAAATAATTAAATTGAATTATTTGCAAGAAATTTATAAGAAATTTGTAAATAATTGATTTTTTCGAAAAAATGTATGACAATTCTTTTTTAAATAATTGTATTCCTGGGAAATTTTTATTATTTATGAAAATAATTTAATGTTTGTGTAGAATGTTATCAAAAACTTTGTTTAAATAATTGAATTCTTTTGGGAAATTTCATTAAAATAATAAATTCAATAATAATTGAATTTCTGCGAAGAATTTTATTACTTTTGGAAATAATTGAATTCTTGTGAAGTTTTATAAACAAATTTTTAAATAATTGAATTCCTATGAAATTTTTATTATTTATGAAAATAATTAAATGTTTGCGCAGAATTTTGTCAAAATTTCTTTTAAATAAGTGACTTATTTTAGAAAATTTTATTAAAATAGTAGATATTGAAAATCATTGAATTGAGGAAAAGTTTTGAAAATAATTAAAATTTTGACAAGAATTTTTTTTTAAATTTACAAATAATTGAATTTCTGCAAAGAATTTTATTTTATTTTGCAAATAATTGAATTCTTGTGAAGAGTTTTATAAAAAATTTTTTAAATAATTGATTTTTTCAAAAAAAAAATGTATTTATCAAGCTAATTGAATTCTTTTAAAGTGCGTTAAAATTTGTAAAATAATATTAAAAAATTCAGTAATTTCAACAGAATTGAAATTAAAATTTTTCAAAAAAAATTAGTTTCACAGAACTATTTTTTAAAAGTATGAAAAATTCAGATTTTCCAAAGATTTGAATTTTGAAACCTTTTCAAAATTCAATTATTTCTGAAAATTGCAATTATCTAAAATTCTTGTCTAAATCCATTCTTTTTAAACTTTTAAATTTAACTAATTTCAGAAGAATTTGAATTATTAAAATTTTTCTACATAAAAACTAAATTCTTTAAAATTTCTATATATATTAAAAAATTCAAATTTAAAAAAAAATTTTTAAAATAAATATTTTTTCCCCGAATTCTCATTCTCTTTTTGGGGATAAATTAATTTTCAGGTAGATAGATATTAATAATCTGGAGATAAAAATAGAGATAAATATTATTACCAACTCTTCGGCGATTTCAATAAAAATTGGAGCATTCAGTGATAGATTAAACTTTTAGTTATTGCTCTCTCTCTCTCTCTCTCTCTCTCTCTCATTTTTTTCTCTCTGATGATTATAAAAAAAGAAGAAGGTTAATTTTACCGATGGCTTCATTCTGGGGTCCTCGTGGTGTCCAAATCGATTGTTCCAATGGGTGAAATAATTTAAAACAAAATCCATCCTTCTTGCTCGGCCTTTCTATCACTTGACACGTATTCAACAATATCGTTCCAACCCAATGACTACTCTGTAAATAAATTAGAAAAAAAATAATTAAACTCAACATTATATAAATGTAAAAAATAATTTTTATACTATTTTATACTATTTCATACTACTTTAACAAATTTATACTATTTTTATATTAAATTTTAATAATTTTACAATATTTTGATAATTTTCCACTATTTTATCTTATTTTAATAATAAATTTTCCACTATTTTATTGCTTTTTATACTATTTGCAATTATTAATTATATTATAGGAAAATTTATACTATTTTAAATTAATGAAGTGTTTTAAATTTAAAGTTAAGTATTTTAAATAAGTTGTTTAAAAACTCCATTCAGAAAAGAGAATTGAAAAATGTTTCCTTTTAATTTTGAAAAGAAATTTAAAAAAATCGTTATTCACTTGTAACTCTAAAAATAAAATGGAATTTACTTTTACTTTTGGACTCTTGTACAAAAGCAGCAATCCAGGTTTGAGAATACACCACAATTTTGTCCAACTTTTTAATGTTCCTCGAATTTTCAGCCAATCGCTCATAACAACAACTGTTGGATCTTTTAATGAACTCAACAGTTCATTTGCCACACGTTTCTTCTCTATTCGATAATTTTTACGTTGTGCCTTGTAGGATTCCTTTCTTGTTAATTTGCACGTCTCCCCCGACTGAAAACAAACATTTTTAATTTATTTATTATTATTATATTTTTTTTATTTCATCTCAGTATTTTTATTATCATTTAGAAAAATTGTTTTCACTCAATTTTAATTTCAAAGAAAATTTCTTTTGAATTTCAACATTAATGAAATTCTAATTTAATGCTTTGAAGATTAAAAAATACAAAAAATTAATCAAACCAAATTGTTTTCAATTAAAAATATTTCTTTCATAATTTTCAGGGTGGCCGCAAGTCAGGGAATTTTGATCGAAAGAATAACCACAAATTAAAAAACTTTGATACATAAATGTCAATTCATATATATAAATGTCAATAAATATTTTTATTTAGACGTTTTTGTAGCTAATATTACTATAGCTCATTATAATGGTGTCGTCACATTTTTCATAAGTTTGGACGTTCTTGCGGACATAATAAGATTTTGTTAACAAACGATTTTTAATTATCTTATTTTTTCCTTTATAAATAAAATTGTTACTTAAAAAGCATTATAAACATTTCAATCAATAATGTAGCATATTAAATAATTCAAAAATTTGTTAACCAGGGAAAATAAAAAATTACTCAGGGAAAAGTCAGGGAATTTTGAAAATAAAATTTTGCGGCCACCCTAAAAAATTTTGAATCTATATAATAATTGAATACTTATAAAGAAATTTTAAGTTTACCCGAATTCGTCAAAATAATTAAATTTGTTGCGAAAAATTTAATTAAAATCATATTAAAAATATTTCAATTTTCAAATTTTCATAAAGAGTTTTATCAAAATTTTCGAAAATAATTGAAATTCTGCGAAGAATGGTAAATATTCAAAAAAATTTTTAAATCATTAAGTTCTTTCCAAAAAATGTATTACAATTTTTTTTAAATAATTAAATTCTTTCGAAAAATTGTATTACAATTTTTTTAAATGATTCAATTAGAGCTGTGCAAAAAAATTTTTTTTTTTTATTAAAATTCTTTAATATAATTAAATTCTTGAGAAGAATTTGATTAATTATCAGAATAATTCAATTCTCATAAAGAATTTAATAAAAATTTTTCAAAATAATTGGATTTCAGCGAAAAAATTTTATTATTTAGGAAAAGTATTTTTCAAAGTATTTAATTAAATTTATTTTCTAATTATGAATTATATTTAAATTTTTTTAAATAATTTAATTTCTGAGGAAAAATTTTATTATGTAATTATGAAAATCATTGAAATCTTGCTAAGAATTTTATTAAAATTTTCGAAAATAATTGATTTTTTTCGAGTAATTTCATTAAAATTTTATTAAAAATATTTCAATTCTCATAAATAATTTTATCAAAATTTTTCAAACAAATTAAATTTCTGCGAAGAGTTTTATTAAAATTGTTCAAAATATGTAAATTTCTGGGGAAAAATTTTATAAATTATGAAAATAATTGAAATTTTGCACAGAAATTTTATTAAAATTTTTAAAAACAATTAATTCTTTTCGAGAAATTTAATTAAAATTGTATTAAAAATATTTCAATTCTCATAAAGAATTTAATAAAAAATTTTCAAAATAATTTGAATTTTTTGACAATAATTGAATTCTTTTGAGAAATTTGTTTGAAAATAATTGAATGTGGAAATAATCAAATATTATTAATAATTGAATATGGAAATAATCAAATATTTTCAATAATTAAATACGAAAAGAATTGAATATGGAAATAATCATATATTCTCATTAATTGAAATTGAATATGGAAATAATCAAATATTCTCAATAATTGAGTATAAAAATAAAATGTAAAAAAATCAAATAAAAAAGTATTTTAAATTAATGAAAAAAAACATTTTCATTCACCGTGGTGAATAATAATATACTAATAATAATATAATAATAACAATTTATTTTCCCGACAAAAAGCACTTTCTACCTCTGAATATTAAGTTGAAAGGAGAAAATATAATTATTTCATTTACCTTCTCGGACGTGTTATCAGGTTTAATGCATTCCCCAGTGGCCGAGAGTCCTGAAAAAGAAGAATAAACGAATTATTTCCCTTTTTGTATAAATTAATTATAGAAAAAAAATGAATACGAAGATAAAAAGACAAAAAATTTAATGAATTAAAATTCAATAAAATTTTGCAAATTTTTCTTTTCTAAAACAAAAAAAAGAAAAGAAACGAAAGAGGGAAAACTTTCTCCATTTATAAGTTAACGTTGCTTAAATGATAACGTAATCCCTTGCTTCTAGGCATTTCTATGACTTCTCACATTAAAGGGATCAACACACTAGATATTTTTCTCATTATACAAGCTAAACGTTGTGAAGTTGTTGACAAGAAAATTAGCTTTTGTGGATGAAACATTGTATTATAATAGGATTACAAATTTTTTATAATTAATTAGAAAATTACATTTTTAATTGCAAATTAGAAATGTAATATTCGTTATTTAAAATTCTTTGAAAATTAATTTTCTATTCTTCAATATTATTCAAATTCGAAAGTATTTTTCTAGGTATTTAAAAATTAAAATAAATATATTTTTATTGTTTCAATAAAAGAAATATTTTTATTATTTCAACAAAATAAAATATTTTTATTATTTCAACAAAATAAAATATTTTTATCATTTGAATAATAAAAATATTTTTATTATTTGAAAATTTAAATGAGAATATTTTCATTATTTGAAAATTTTAATAGAGAATAATATTTTCATTATTTTGAGAAAATTAAAAAAGAATATTTTTATTATTTTTAATATTTGAAAATTAAAAAGAATATTTGCCTTTTCTATTCTACATTCCTATTAAATTTCACTATTAATTTTTCAGTTTAATTACAATTTTCATTTTACAATTTAATTGCAAATTGAAATTTTAACTTTAATTTCAAATTTATATTTCAATTTTTATTTTCGATTTTCATTTCCCCCGCTTTAATCACCGCAATTAAATATAAAATTAAATTTTCTTCTTTAATTTCCTATTTTTTATTTCGAAAAGTTGATTCTGACTTTACAGTAATTTTCCCATTCTTTTAATTTGAATTTCCTATTTTTTTATTTTACTAACGAGAAATAACTGAAAGTATTTTCTTTTTAATATAACAATTCAATTAAAGTATAATTATTTTTTCTCTCATCTAAATGAGAATTTTAGACTTCACACTCGTTAATTAATTTTTAAAAAAGTACCAAAAAGTAGTTACCTAAATTATTTTCCAAATTCATAGTTAGAATTCTTCAAAAATACAATTATTTTCAAAATAATTTTTAAAATACAAAATTTATTGCAATGAAATTTGACAAACATTCCAATTGTTTCAATTTTGTAAAATTATTTTCGGCAAATTAACTATCTTCAAAAAATTTCAATATTACAATTTTTTAAAAATCTCTTTTTTTCAAAATTTCTAAATTAAATTATTCAAAAATTCAATAATTTTTGTTAAATAAATAAATACATGAAATAAAATAAAATAAATTAATAAAGAAATTTAAATAACTCTTGTTATTATTTTACGGGAATTATATTAAAATTTTTGATAATTTCAATTTAAAAACCTTTTGAAATTTTTGTGTGTATTTGAATTTTCGGAAATATGTAATTGAAAATATTGAATTTTAAAAAATTAGAAGCTAATTTTCATTGATTTTCATTTTTAAATTTTACATTTAAAGATTTTTCATTAACATTTTTGATAATTCAATTATTTTCAAAAAATAAAAAAAATGAAATTCCTGTCATTTCCCAAATAGTATGCGTAAAATGTAAAAATAGAAAATCAGATGTAAAAGAAAAGGAAAAAAAAGAGAATAAATAAAATTATTAATTTGGAAAAATTATTCACCTGGGGATAGAGGTGGACCTTCGGTGACGTGCATTGTTGCGGCAAGAGATTCGGACGATGGAAGTTTCGATAGCGATGAGGGATGATGAACTTGTACGCTACTTCGTCGATAGTGTCGATCATCTGCTGGTGCTGCACGTTCATTAAAGAATTTTATCTTCCTAAACACAGGAAGTTTTCTGGGATTTGTTTTTAAATTTTTTTCGTACGAGGATTATTATTGCAATTTCTCTATTTTTAATATTATTAAGACTATTAATATTATACTATTAATTATTCTTTAATTATAATATTAATATATTATTAATATGTTTATTATTTTATTATTATGGATCTTGATATTATTATCAATAATATATAATATAAATAAATAAATAAATAATATTAATTAATATTAATATTATTATTATCAAATTAATTATTTAATATTTTTCTTCTAAATTTTTTTTCTATATATAAATAGAGTTAAAAACCCCTCACTCTATATATGTATATATATATAGAAAAAAAGAGCAATAAATTTTCCTCTCTTTCAAAACGAAAAAATTTCAACATTTCCGAAAAAGATAAAGTCATAATATTGTACATATAAAACAGTTTAAGAAAGATTTTACGATTACTATTACAGTTGAAAATTAGCCCATAAAAAGTATATTAAAGTCATTTTATCTTTGCGATTAAATAAACTATTATTTAAGCGAAGTGAAGACAGAAATTTGTCTTCAATTTTTTTTTTTTTGAATTTTTATGACTTTATAATTGTCAAGCGTAAAAATTAAAATAAAACAAAAAAAAGGTTTTTGAATTTCAATAACATTTATTATTTCATTAAAATTATTTTCTTAATCTAATTAAAAATTATTTTAATTACACTTTGACATTAAAATTGATAATTAATATTTTATTATTAATTTCTTTTTTACTCTGAATATTATAATAAGTTGTAAATTCTGAAAACCAAAAATTTATTTTATTTATTTATATAAGTAAATAAAACAAATTTCTGCGATATTATACAGTCATTAAATGAAAAAAAATTATTGAATAAATTAATGAAATTAATTTAAAGAAAATGTGTAATTTTCCATAAATATTTTGAAAGTAAATTTTGTTTACAAAACAAATTAATTTCAGCGAAAAATGTTTGTAAATAAATAATATTTTAGAAAGAAACGAAGAGAAATTAAGTAGAAAAAGAAAATAATTAAATAAAAATATAAAAGAAAAATCTGCTCGCTTCGCTCGCAAGTTTCAGCGCGCCTCGGGGCGCGCGAATTTTGGTCTTCGCGCTTCGCTCGCAGTCATCTACGACCGTTGTGCATTATTTGCGTTCTTTTCCTTTTTTCTATTATACGTTTTATGGAATTATTTTTTCTTAAAGTTACTACGACTTTAAGGATTACATTCTCATCACATATTTTAAATTTTTGTTGGCTGATAATTGTGAGATTAAGTGAACTTAAATACAAATTTTAGTTCTGGCTGATAGAAAATGTGAAATTATTTTAACTACTAATTATCTTCGCAGAAACATGGTTTGTTATTAAAGAACTTGTTAATACAAGTCGGGTAACAGTGACAAGCCTTAAGCCGCTCACTGCTACTTGACTGGTATTATCCCTTTCAACCACGCGTTCGTCTCCTTATTGCAGCCAGCCCTTCATTTGTAAATAACAATTATTTGTATAAACTGCTGCTCAAATTGATCAAATCATAAAATATCTTCATGTTTTTATGAACAACTTAATTATTTGCAAAATTTAAAAATAACCCTAGTTTTTAGGTGCTTTACATAAGAAAAATAATAAAATAATAAAAACTACTAAGTATACTTCCTATGAGATTCAATGCAATTTGAGGGGTAGAACATATAAATAATTCAAATTGCTTATAAAATTATTATTAAAAATATGAAATTTTTAAATTTACAATCATGAAAATATTTTCATTTGAAAGAGTGAAATACTTTGTGTAATCAGTGTAACTTTCATTAATTTATTGTAAACGCATTTTTAGTTAATAATTATTTTTTAAAATGTTGTAATATTCTGTTATAATGCAAAAAAAACAAAAATTTCAAATTTCAAAAAAACAGTTAAAAGGTTTTTTTGTTCTATTCCAAAATACAGATTTTTATAAAAGTTTTAAGATTTTAAAAATCAATAAAATTTTTTTAACACAGTAGAACTGGTCGGGCCCCAAAAACTTAAAAAAAAAAAAAAAAGTTTTTTTAAAAAAATGTTATAAAGAAAAGTTGTTTGTAAAAAAATTAGTTTTTTGACAGTTATTAAAAAATAACTCGAAAAGTTTTGGGTTGGGCAAAAAGTTGTCAACAGCAAAGTTGTAGCTGATGCAAAGCCGAGAAAAAAGTCTCTGGTAGCAAAATCGCATATGCAAGAATGTCGGAGATAATGGAGTCGGAATATTGATTTTTTGGCAAAAAAACGCACAAAAAATATATATAGAGAGTGATTTTTCTGGAAATTACGAGTTTTTTGTGTTCAAGTATGTTTTTCAAGTATTTTAGGGTGAGAATATGACAAAATCAATTGACTGACTTTTATTCCTTTAAAAAAATTCGATTTTTAGTGTTATTTTAGGATTTTTTTAGTTTTTTTTTTACCATTTAAGAGACTATAACATAGAAAATTGAGTTTTTATGAAAAAATGTTATAGAGAAAAAATGTTTGTATTTTCCTAATATAAAATAATATAAAGTTAAAAATTCTGAAACTTGAAAAAATTGAGTTTTCAAAATTTTGATACTACCGTAGTTTTTGTAGTTTTCACCGAAAATGGCTGGTTAACGAACTTAGCCTTCATTTTTACACCAACTTTAAGTGTGTTAAATTTAAAAACGATCCGATAAGTTTTTCAAGAGTTATCGTGGGAACAACATTTTACCGTCTACAGACGGACAGACAGACAGACGCACTCGCCAGACCATGTTTTTCGGACTCAGGGCACCTCAAAACGTAAAGATTTCATAAAATTAGCAAAAGTCAAAATTCGACCAAAACTAATACCTTCTCATGTGATGAGAATGTAATTAATAAGATAAGAAATTATTTAAATAAAAATATTAAGTAATTAAGGAAAAGAAATTAATTAAATAAACGTATAAAGTAATTAAAGAAAAGAAATTGAATAATTAAAGAAAAACAATGTAATTTAATTTAAACAAGAAAAGTAAACGTTATTTATTTTATGTAATATCAAAAAGTTTTTAAAAATTTTACTACACTAACGATTAAAAAGAAACAGTCGCACAAATCCAATGACATCTCATTAGCGATGGAAACGTAGGAATAAAACAAGCCAAGAAAGTAGGAATTAAATATGAAATGGAAATTAATTAAATTGTGAAAAGAGGAGTAATTAAAGTGAGATGATAATTAATTAAAACAGGAGGATAATCAATTAAAATAAGAAAATAATGAATTGAAATAAAAAAAAACTAAATAAAATGTGCAAAATTAAATAAAATCGATAATAAAAGGAAATGAAGTAGAAAAAAGTAAAAAAACGGAAAGAATATAGAAAATAAAATAAAAAGTACCCGTGTGGAAAAAGCCCCCATCCATCAAGCCCACACGACGTGAGGGCACCCGGCGTAGGCCGACGAGGGCTGATCCATGTGGGCAAATCCATGACGGCCACGCCGAGGGCCCGCATGGATTGCCCACATCATTGACTTGCAAAAATTTCTAAGTCCAAACCTCAAATAATTTTTTATTACTTCAAAATTAATGTTTAGAATGATTATAAACAATGAAAAACACATATTTCACATAAAATTATTTACATTTTTTTGAAAATATTGAACTCACATGGGGGCAAATCCTTGAGGGGCCCGCATGGATCGCCCACATCATTTACCAGCAAAAATTTCTAAGTCCTAATAAAAAATATTTTTTTACATAACAAAAATTAATGATTATAATGATTTTAAACAATGAAAAACACCTTTCTTGTTTTTTTTTGTCATGATTTAATTAAAAAGAGTAAAAATCGTTAAGTTACAATGTTATTTATTAATAATTGAACTTGTTTATTATTAATAAATAATGAATTTATTAAGTTAATTTTGAAAAATAAAGTCGAGGGTAAATCGAGGGCAAAGATGAGGGCGCCCTCATCGATCAGCATGTCGTTTCCATGAGGGGCCTCGCCTGGATCACCCACGTGGGCCCCTCATGGATGTGGGCGATCTATGCGGGCCCCCGGTGTGGGCCAACACCACTTTTCCACACGGGTAGGTAATAAATTAATTTTGTTTCCCACCTTTTTTAAAAAAATTATCATTTTAAATGTATTCAATTTTAAAATTAATGTATTAAATAAATCATTGAATTCTGGCAAAGAATTTTATCAAAATTTTTGAAAGTAATTGCATTTATTCAAAGAATTTTATTATTTATGACAATATTTGAATTCCTGCGAAGGGTTTTATTACAATTTTCGAAAATAATTTAATTCATTCAAGGAATTTTATTAAAATATTAAAAGTAATTGATTTCAAAGAATTTATATTAATAAAGGTTTTGACAATAATATTCGAGACGCATGCTTATTCCCGAAATCTTTTTTGACCAAATAGTTATTTGATATAAAACTACTTAACTTAAAATTCACATAATATGGACATTATTTGACATAAATTTCATTGCACACAAAAACCATTTAACATAAATATCATTTGTCATAGAATTCATTAAACAGAAATATTATGTTACATAAAACTCAGATAACTTAATTCCCATTTGACATAAAAATTATGTAACATAAATTTCTATTGACATAAAAATCATTTAACAGAAATTTCTTTTAACCTAAAACTCATTTAAAGTAAATTTTATTTGTTATAAAATTCATTTGACATCAATTTCATTTGGCATAAATGTCATTTAACGTAATTCTCATTTGACATAAATATCATTAGACATAAAATTAACTTGACATATGTTTCATTTGACGTGAATATCATTTAACATAATTATTATTTAACGTAAAATTAAATTTATATAAATTTCATTTAGCATAAATTCCATTTAACATAATTCTCATTTGGCATAAAATTTACTTGACATAAATTTCATTTGGTATAAATCCCATTTAACATAATTTTCATTTGACATAAAGTTCATTTAACATAAAAGACATTTAACACAATTCTCATTTGTCATAAAAGTCGTTCAACAAAATTCTCATTTGACATAAAAATCATTTTACACAATAGTAGATTGTGCATCAAGGGAGGGAAATCAATTTTCCTCCCGAGTTGCACATACTATATTTTCTAACACACGTATACCGAAAGTACAAACGCGGCAGTTTGGTTGTTACTTTTGAATGTATAGTTGTAGCTGGGGGCGGTATAGTTACAACTGGTGGTAACTGAAAGTTTGTGAAAAGCTTGAAATAACTAAACTAACAAAAACAGCGTAAGTTACGCAACTAGCGTAAGTTATGTAAGTTACGCAACTTATGTAAGTTACGTAAATTATGTATTGTTTTTAACCTAGAGGGAATGTACATTCCCTCCCGCTCGCAGGGAATCATACACTTTTCTCCCGCTTGACACGTAGGAAATGGAGTACTTTCGGTGCGTGTGTTAGAAAAATTACATTTTACATAAAAATATCGGCGCCAATTTTAAAAGTAACCAATTAGATTTTATCAACAACATTGTGATTCGCCAATTTTGAAATTCGCGCCTATATTTCTAGTTCAAATGATCTTTATGTAAAATGAAATCTATATGACATCTGAATTTTATGTAAAATGAGAATTATGTGTAATGACTTATCCGTCAAATGAAATTGATATCAAATGAACTTTATGTCAAATGAAAATTATGTTAAATGGGATTTATACCAAATGAAATTTATGTCAAGTATATTTTATGTCAAATGAGAATTATGTTAAATGAATTTTAGGACAAAATAAAATTTATATAAATTTAATTTTACGTTAAATAATAATTATGTTGAATGATATTCACGTCAAATGAAATTTATGTCAAGCTAATTTTATGTCTAATGATATTTATGTCAAATGAGAATTACGTTAAATGACATTTATGCCAAATGAAATTCATGTCAAATGAATTTTATAACAAATAAAATTTACGTTAAATGAATTTTATGTCAAAAGAAATTGATGTTAAATGATTTTTATGTCAATAGAAATTTATGTTACATAATTTTTATGTCAAATGGGAATTAAGTTATCTGAGTTTTATGTAACACAATATTTCTATTTAATGAATTCTATGACAAATGATATTTGTGTTAAATGGTTTTTGTGTGCAATGAATTTTATGTCAAATAATGTGCATATTATGTGAATTTTAAGTTAAGTAGTTTTATATGAAATAACTATTTGGTTAAAAAGATTTCGGGAATATGCATGCGTCTCTAATATTCTTGCGAAGAATTTATTAAAACTTGAGAGAATAATTTATTGAATTCTTTCGAAAAATTTGATTAAAATTGTATATTGTAAATAATTGATTTTTTGGAAATAATTTTTCTACTTATAAAGATATTTGAATTTTTGAGAAGAATTTTACTTTTTATAAAAATTTGAATTCTTTCGAAAAATGTTATTAATAATTAGAAAAATAATTGAATTCTTTCGAAAAATTTTATTAAAAATTAAAAAAAACAATTTATTTCTTCGTGAAATTTTATTCAAATTTTAGAAAATAATTGAATTGTTTCGAAAAATGTTATTAAAAATTAAAAAAATAATTAAATTCTTTCGTGAAAGTTTAATAAAATTGTATTGAAAATAATTGAATTTTTGGAAAGAATTTTTTTGTTTATAAAAATAATTGAATTCTTGTAAAGAATTTTACTTTTTATAGAAATACATATTTGAATTGTTTCGAAGAAATTATTAAAATTTGAGAAAATAATTGAATTCTTGAGAAAAATTTTATTAAAATTGTGTTGAAAATAATTGAATTTTTGGAAAGAATTTTTCTATAATCATAAAAATATTTGAATTCTTGAGAAGAATTTTACTTTTTATAAAAATTTGAATTTTATTTATTTTATTATAATTTGAGAAAATAATTGAATTCATTCGAAAAATGTTATTACAAATTAAAAAAAATAATTGAATTGTTTCAAAAAATGTATTCAAATTTGAGAAAATAATTGAATTTCTTCGAAAAATGTTGTGAAAAATTTAAAAAAAAGTAATTGAATTCTGTCATGAAATAAAAAAATTTGGAATTTACATAATAATATTAAATTGAACATCATGTTTTGCGCGTTACATTTGTTGCTACAGTAAATAAAGGAAATAAAAAATAATAAAGTATATAAGATCCAAAAAAGAATAAATTTCAATATAATGAATAAATAAAATACAAAAGTAGTATATGAATAAAATATTATATAAATAATATAAATTTCATAAGAAAATAAAATAAATTGTTAAAAAAGAATAAAATTTGTGTCAAGATAATTTATTCAGCGAATAGTTAAAAAAAAGAAAGAAATAGAACAAAAACATATTTCATTCTTTGAAATTTTGTAAAATGACATTGCAATTTATTATTATTCGCACGCAAACTTTTCATAAAAGTTCAAGTTCAAACTATGTTATAATAAATGTAGTTTTAATAATTGCAGGTCAAAGTATAAAATTATTTCTATTATTATAATTATTTTATTATTACTTTTATAATTGTAACAATTACTATTATTACTAATAATAATTTTTGTTATTATTATTATTAAAATAAAAATAATTATTATTATTATTAAAAATAAAAATTATAATTTTTATTATTAATTTAATAATAATAATTATTATTATTAATCACTATTATTACAATAGACAAAATAAATTTTCTTACCACTGCTAAGTGATCGAGTTACATTTGGTGGGGTCATTGTTTTAAATGTTTCCGTCGATGTGCCAACAGAAGATGATGAATGTAAATCCGAATGTGATCGACGATCACCACCAGGAACCATAATTGGTGTCGAATTCATTTTTATTTATTTTTTCTTCCTTTTCTTTTCTTCAAGTCATCGAAAACAGAACAAAAGAATAGAGAAACATAAGTTAATTACTGCTTTTCCATTTTTATAACTTTACATAAAAGTTGCTTTGTCGCAAACTATAATATATAATTTGTACGATATTCTGTAAAAAAACAAATTTTTTTTCTTTAAAAATTTTATAAACAAAAACACTTGTAGAATAAATTATAAAATTCCATCCAATTATTAATTACTATTGGAAATTTTATTGCGAAAAATTAATAAACAATTTATAAATAAATTTATAAACAAATAAATTTAATCCTACAATAACTTTTTTTGTAAATAATTTTAATTTATTTAATTATGTAAATTAATATAAATAATTCACTGCTTATTTTAGTTAATTAATATAAATAATTCAGTTTATTTTAGTTAATTAAATTTTAATTAGTAAATAAATTTCAATTGCTTTTTAATTTCATTACTGCGACAATTTTATTAAATTTACTTTTTAGTAAATTCTTTTATTTTCGACTGTCAATTCCTCTTTTTTTTGTAAATTAATTAATTTTTGATTGTCAATTTCTTTTACTATAATTACTTTTTGTTTTGATAACTGAATTATTCATTTACTTTACTTTTAATTGTTTTTTCACTAATAGCATTGTTTGACAATTGTTACAAAAGCTAATGAAAAGAAAATAATTTCCAAACCTCTTTTGACACTCCTTGATGTGTTTATTAAATATTAACTCGAAATCAATAAAAAAAAAGGGCAAAGTTAACTCGAAACTTTTGCAGATCGTTATTAATAGACTTTTTTTTTGCAAAGTATAGAAAACAATTATTTACTGCACTGCAGTAAAGTTGTACCTTGTTTTGTTTTTTTTTCTTTCCTTTCGTCACTAAAACAGAATTCTCGAGTAATTTTTTGATAAAAAACAAATCCTTCACAGAACACAAAATGTCAGGAAAAAACAGGTTTTGTTAATATTTTTTTTGAAAAAAAGAAAGAGAAAAAAATATAAAAGCTGAGTCAGAATATGAAAAAAAAACACTATTTGCGGTTTATATACATAGTTATTTTCTTTTTAAATGAAACCGATTCACTTTTTCGAAACAAGTCTTTGAGTTTTTGAAGTTTTCTTTATTCGAAAAAAGGAACGCAATTTGTCGCACTTTGTTTATCGGAAAATTTATTATTACGAATGTGTCAAAAACATGGAAGAAGCATGCTGTAGATTTTTCACTACGTTCTTATTTTCTCTCCACTCGGCTTTTTAACATCGTTCACAATTGTATATTTGTGTCTGTGTAAATAGTATATAAAGTAGTCTTCTTGATATAAAGTCTCTCCTCGTTTATACGCATTTTTGTGCGCGAGCGCGATAAACTTGAACACCCCTTTAGTTGGAATTCCAACAACGTTATTCGATTGATCCCACCTGCAATTGTGCGAATAAGAAATAGCCTATCATTTTTCCCCACATTCTTCACCGTATATATGAAAAAAAACCGCGGAAACAAAATTACTTAAAAGAAAAAAAATTCGTTTCTTTTCTTTCACGCCCCCATATCACTATCTTTTAACAATAAACACTATTTAATATTTTACAATACACAAATAAAAAACGAATCTTAACCTCAAATTTATAATATATATTTAAAAAACTATATATTATAATAATTTCAATATGGAATAATCGGAATAATTTATAAAGAAAATAAAATTAATACCTTGATTAATAGATCCAGGAGTTGTTAAAACTTAAGACAGTTTATTTTACAGTTGATAGAACAGAAAACACGTGTCCCTTTTGTTTATATAAATAATATTGTTGCAACAAATTGAAAACACCAGAGAGAGAGAGAGAAAGAGAGAGGTTAGAAAATCACGATTCACGGATGCGGGACATGACTTTACGGTTTTGTCGGAGTACACGAACAACTTTGAGAATTAGATGTTTACTTCTTTATTGCGGGAGGAAATGGGAATTTTATAGAAAATAATGAACACTTGATTGAAAAACTGATGACGTTTTTTTGAAAAAAAGATGACATATGACGCACACACGAGCAGGTCCTTTGCACTGCTGTTAACATGCTGTGAAATGTGAATGCAGCCGATTATCGGTTTCGATAACTGCGAGTTCGAGATAAAATGGTGGACGCGCGAGAATTTAAATTCAGTAAAGAGAGTATATATAGGGTATATAGTAATAAAAATGGTACTACTAGTAATAATAATAATAATAACAACAGTTATGATAATTAATAATAATAAACGATAATTAATAATACTAAATGATAAAAAAATAATAACAAATAATAATAATAGAAACACTAAAGTGAAAAATTGTAAAAAATAAATGCGAATAGTTGTAAGAAAAAAATATTTTTAGCAGCGACGATTGGTAGACCTGTTGAAGATAATTTTTGTTATTTTGGCTAGAGTGGGGAGAAAAAAGAAGAACAGACAAATTCAGTGTGTTAAATTTCTGATGTATCACGCCGATGCCTGACAGTTTTTGTCTAAACATAAAAGTGATTTCTTTGCAATTTTTACGTTAATAATCATCTAAACTATTAGTTCACAATGGTAAGAAAGTGAATTTTTTATTTTATTTTCATTTTTATAAGGATTTTTCATTTATTTTTTCCACATTGTTAATTAATTATTGCAGTGTCATTTCAGTTTTGTCACACATCCAGAATAAGAATTTTCTATCTCTGTTATTTACACATTTTCCCTTGATTGATAATTTTAAGAAAGACTGAAAGAGTAATTTAATTTAATTAAAATAATTCCGATTTTTTCTGTATAGATTGAATATATCTATTTAAGATTTAATGTTGGGGTGAATTTTGAGGTTATGTTGTCCAATGTTATGTTGAAAGGTTTTGCGAGGAGAAAATAAATATATACGAATTCGAAATAAATATTATAAAAATAATAAGATTAGAAAGAAGGATAATAATATGGAAATAGTAAATAACAATTAGAAAATATAAATTAACAAATATAAATATCAAATTAATATAATAATTTGAATTTCTTTTGGGAATTTATTTATTTATTTTGGTGTTTTAAAAAGAAATTCTTTTTAAAAAATATATTAGAAGGAGGATATTTTAAAAGAGTTGCGTTTACAATTTTCATAAATTTCAAATTCAAAACTTTATTTATTTATTGGAATTTCTCGAAAAATGTAGTCATTATTTTTAAAAATTTTATTAAAATTCATCAAAAAAATTCATTAATTATTTTAAAAAGCCTTCCTATAATTTATTTAGATTAGAATTCAAGTATTATTGTCAATACATTTTTAATTAAATTTCTTGAAAGAATTAAATAAATCATTTTTAAAAATTTTAATGAAATTCTTTTTAACAATTCAATTTTTTTTCAAAATAATTTTAATAAAATTCTTCGTGGAAATTTAATTAATTTCAATATTTTATCAAAATTCAATTATTTTCAATATCTACTAATGCAATAAAATTTCACAAAAGAATTCAATTATTTAAAAAGTAATATTAATAAAATTCGTCTCAAGAAATCAGTTTAAAAAAATTCTCTTCAAAATTTTAATTATCTTTATAAATAATAACATATTTCTTCAAAATTCAATTATCTTCAAAAATTTTAATCAAATTCTTGGCAAAATTTCAATTATTTTCTAAAAATTTTCTCAATTCAATCAAATTTTTTAATACAATTTTAATCTAATTTTTGAAAAAATGAAATTATTCTTAAGAATGTTAATAAAATTCGCCAAAAAAATTGTAATTACCTATTTAAAAATATTTTCTAATTTGAATTAGTGACTAACTTTTTGCTTTTGAATTAGCAGATTTTACTAATAAATAATCTTTTCCATTAATTTAATAGTAAAATTTACTAATTCAAAAGCAAAATTTAGTCAGTCACTAATTCAAATTTATAGAGAAAGTATTATAGCGTAAATTTTTAGAAATAATTGAATTTTGAAAAGGTTTCAAATTATAATATTTGAATGTTTGAATTTTTCCTACTTTTAACTGAAAATTGTGTAGATTTAATTTTTTTGGAAATAGTTTAATGAAACTGTTTTAAAATTATTTGAAGTTTTTATTTTCTAATATATATTTGATAAAAAATTTCCGAATAATCGATGAAATTTTGTAAAATTGAATTATAAACAAAACGATTTTAAAATTTTTACAGTAACAATTTTCTTATAATGTAAAATAATGATTTTATCAGTCGGTCATTTTTAATTATTATAAAACATGAAAATATCGATTGTTCCGAGTCAAAGACTGGGAGTGATCGATTTCTTCATGTTTTATGAAAATTTTTTATAAGTTTAATTTCAAAAAGATTTGAATTTGAAATTTTGAAAATCTTAATTCTTATATAGAAAAATAATAATGATTAAATATTTGATTAAAAAAGAAGTAATTGAACATTTTTTCTGAGTAATAATTTTTAAACTGAATCAGAATATTCTTTAGAGTAATGAAAAGAGGAAAATTATTTTCAAAAATTTTAATAAAATTCTTGACAAAATTTCAATTATTTTCAAAAATTTTCCTGAATCAATGATTTTTAAAATTTACTAATTTAATAAAATTGTTAGAGGTGTGCAAAAAGCTCGAAACCCGAAGCTCGAGCGGGTATTTTCGAGCTTTTCATTTTTCGAGCCGAGCCGAGCTTTATAAAAAGCTCGAATAATTTCGGGTACCCGAAACTTTCGGGTACTCGAAATTTTCGAGTACTCGATTTGATTCGAGCCCTTGAGAAAATCCAAAATTTTCTACATTAATTTTTAATTAAATTTTTTTTTTTCAAAAAAAAATTTTTTTTAATTTAAAAGCTCGAATTAAATCGAGTACTCGAAAATTTCGGTTACCCGAATTCATTCGAGTACCCGAAATATTCGAGTACTCGAGTGAATTCGGGTACCCGACTGTTTCGGGTACTCGAAAATTTCGGGTACCCGATACATCGAGCCCGGCTCGGGCTCGGCTCGGCTCGACTCGAAAAAATTGCGGCCCGGCTCGGCTCGGCTTTTCGAGCTTTTTGCACACCTCTAAAAATTGTCCAAAAAAATTCAATTGTTTAACAAAAATTTAATAAAATTCTACGTAAACCTTTAATTATTTTCATAAAATAATAAAAATTTCACAGAAATTCAATTATTTACAATTTTTTTTTTAATTTATTCGCAATCATTCAATTATTTTCATAAATAATAAAATTTTTACTTTATAATAATAAATTTTTTATAAAATTTTAAATAATTGAATTCTAGTTAAATTTTATAATAAAAATTAATTTAAAAATGGATTTTAATAAAAATTTTATATTATAATTGAATATTGAAAGCATTAAAGCGTAAATTTTTAGAAAGAATTGAATTTAGAAAAGTTTTCAAATTAAAATTTTTGAAAATCTGAATTTTTTATTAATTCTGTAGAATTAATTTTTTGGAGAAAGTTTAATTGCGGATTTTTTTAAAAAATTATTTAATGTTTTTATTTTCTAATTCATATTTAATATTGAAGAATTTACGAATAATTGAAGTTTTGTAAAATTGAATTGTTAACAAATGAATTTGAAAATTCTCAAAGAACTTTTTCAAAAATTATCAAAAATAATGTATTTTATATAGAAGAATTTTAGTTAAAAGCATGAAAGAAAATTTAATTTTGGAAAAGTTCCAATTTATTGCGGAAATTCAATTATTTTCAAGAGTAATAATATTCTTCGCTAAAATTGATTATTGTTCAAAAATAATAAAATTTTTCTTAGAGATTTGTTGATAAAATTCTTTATGAGAATTCAATTTTAAGAAACATTCAAATTGTTGAATAAATTATTTATTGTTGTATTTAAATAATTGAATTCTAGTAGAATTTTTTAATAAAAATTAATTAAAAAATGAATTTTAGTTAAAATTTTAGATAATAATTGAATATTAAAAGCAATATAGCGTGAATTTTTTAGAAATAATGGAATTTTGAAAAGGTTTTAAATTAAAATTTTTGAAAATCTGAATTTTTTATACTTTTAACTAACAATTTTGTAGAATTAATTTTTTTAAAAAAGTTTAATTGAATTTTATTTTTTGAAATTATTTGAAGTTTTTATTTTCTAATTTATATTTAATTAAAGAATTTCCGAATAATCGAAATTTCACGTAAAATTGAATTGTAAACAAATGTATTTGAAAATTCTCAAGAAGAATTTTTTCAAAAATTATTAAGAATAATTGATTTAAAGAAGAATTTTAGTTAAAATTATAGAAATTAATAATTGAATTGAAATTATGAAAATAATTTTGAAAAATTTACAGTAACAATATTTTTATAATATGAAATAATGATAATTATAACAAAAATAATATCACTCGATCATCATTAATTATTATAAAACATGAAGAAATCGAAACATGAAGACTCGGATTTATCAATTTCTTTTTGTTTTATAATAATACTAGCTGCGATACCCGTCTTCGACAGGTTATTAGTTATTGTTATTCCTACTTATATATTAATAGCTACGATACCCGTCTTCGACGTGTTTCTTAGTATTTTTAAAGTTTTCCATATTGAGTATTGATTAGTATTTAACCAACTACATTTAAACTAATTTTCTTGATGATTATTAATATTAATTAATGAAGAAGAAAACGAAATTTTAAGGAAAGTAAAAAGATAATGTTTAGAATTTTTAAAATCGCCCTAAGTGTGAAAACCATCATGGCTTAATAACGGCCCAGTACTGGCAAAATACAAAAACTAATATAAATTATTACATTTTTTATTAATTAACTAATTAATTTATCATATTTATACGTCTTTTATTTCACTTTGCTACTCTGACGTGAAGTCAAGAAAGCTTAATGGTTTTATAAGCTACACTATTTATCGATATTGTGATATTATTATGGCGAGGTTCGTCCCAATATTGGCAATTGAATTTTGCCATCATAGCAGATACAAAATTTTTGCTATTAATGTGCCATTACTGAGCCGAGCAACGTCCCAATATTCTGAAACTGAAATTACCAACATTTATTCGACGAAAATTTTTACTTTAGCTAATTTCTTATTTTAATATTAACAGCCCTTTAAAAAAATTACGAAAGGGTCACGGATTTCCCGAAATTCCTGGAAATTCAACTAAATTATTGTTTCCTCGCCTCGCAAGCATTTTTTTCTCTTAATAATCAGAAGCCATATTAAAAAAATTGCAAGAGGATTCAAGGCGAGGAAAGTAGTGATTTTTATTTTTTTGTCACGGATTTCCCAAAAATCCCAGAATTCAGTTTTATCCAATACTTTCAATTACAACTTGCCATCATAGATAGAAAAGTTTATCCTAATAATCTGACAATAATGTACCACTATTGGTCCGTGCTAAGTCCCGTTACCAGCAATGAGACGTTTTGTATGCTAGTATATAGGCCCAGTAATTTTTGCCAGTTTTCTGCAGACATTCACTGAAAAAATTACATTCTAATTTTAAGAAAATCTTCTTAATTATGCGCCAAGAATATTCCCCCACTTAGATTATGTGGGAAATATTCTTACAATAAGAAGAAAATTAGTATTGTAAGAATATTTCCCACTTAATTTAAGTGGGGAATATTCTTGGCGCATATTTAAGAAGTTTTTCTTAAAATTAGAATGTAATTTTTTCAGTGTTGACAGGCCCGTTTTGCAGTCTTGGAATTTCACACTTGGAGCTTATAAAAAACCATTTATTAGCTTTTTTCCGAGAAGCACCACGTGGAGGTAACCACTATTAGTTGTTTTTGGCAAGTTTTTAAATCCCGTGCAGAAATTGCCCTAACAGGGCCCTGACCCCGCATGAAACCGGGAACCCGACCTGGCAGCTCGTCAAATCAGGCTTTGTGCCATGGCGCCGGCCGGGTTCCTTGTTTCACCCAGGTCTGGACCCGGCCAGGCCCCTGGCAAAATTTCTACTCGGGATTATTTTCCAAGATAGCTTAGTAAAACTAAAGAAATTCTTGTTAATTAAATTTGATAAAAGATATGAAACATTTTCATTTCAGTATTACTAAATTATCTTGGATCATAATTTGTAAAAACAAAAAATATCTTATTTAAAAGTAATAAGTAGGTAAAATCAAAAAAATTAGATATTAATATTTTCAATTTTTATGGGTAAAAATATTTAAACTTTTAAATTTTAGATTTAAAATTCCTATTTTTTTCTATTTTTATGATAAAATTGAAATTAAAATTACCAAGAAAACAAATTAATTAATTAATTAGAAAATATCAATACCAACTTAATGCAAGAATTAATTAATATTTAACCCTTTGAGTAGCAGTGATACATTTAATTCATATGAACATTTTTTTGTTAACTTCTGCATAACTTTCTTGATTTTAAAAACTGAATATTGAAACAATTTTTTTGGTCCAATGAGGCAAATTTCTTGCTTTAAATACTGGTCTTTAAATAAAAGAAGTTTAATAACTTTCCATAAAAAGCTTGTTTAAAAATCAAGAATCATCATTTTTGTAGAAAAAATTTGATCAGAAAAAACGAAAAAAATTTCAAAATACGTCTTTTTTTGAAATTTTAGTATAGAAATGAGATGTATTTATCTAAAAAAGTGAGCTAAGGATAGTTTTGCATCCATTTTATAAAAAATTAAAATTTTTCATTTTTTGATTTTTCGAATTTTTTGAAAAAATGTTGTAACTTTCGTTCAAGTTAATATTTTTTAATCGGATAAGGCTATGATTTTAAGTTACGTTAATACCTAATAGACTACCAAGTTTAACTTTAATCGGTCAAACCGTTTTGAAGTGATGCGCGAACAAAGTTTTGCATACAGACAGACAGACAGAAATTTTTTTTTTACATTTTTCGAATTCTCATGTCTCAAAACGAAAAAATATATAAAAATTTTCAAGCTTGGAGCATTGTACAGACAGAAGTCTGATTTTATTAATATAGATAGATATCCTTACCTACAAGTTATTGAATTCCAAAAAGATTTGAATTTAAAATTTTAGAAAATTTTATCTGGAAATCAGGAAAAAACAAAATTAAATTTTCGAATTGACTTTCTTTGTTTACTGAAAAATTATTGTTCACAGTTCCGCAATCAGTACGACAGTGATGTAACGGTATGGAGTCCACAGGGGCGATTGCACCAGGTTGAATATGCAATGGAAGCTGTAAAATTAGGTTCAGCGACTGTTGGCTTAAAAAATAAAACACACGCGGTACTTATTGCTCTTAAGAGAGCATCGTCCGAACTCTCGGCCCATCAAAAGAAAATAATTCCCATTGACAAACACATGGGAATAACAATTGCTGGACTAACTGCCGACGCTAGAATGTTAAGGTTCGTTAATTTATTCATTTTCTTTTGTATTTATAATTTATTTGCTTCTTAGTCTTAAAAAACAAAAGATTTTTTTTTACGTCGACAAATACGATGGTAATTTTAGTATCAAAATTATAATTTGTTGTTGTTAGTATATTAATTAATTTAATTTGAAAACGATTAAAAATTTTGGTAATTATTGCAGCCGATATATGAGGACGGAATGTTTGAATTACAAATATTCACACGACGATTTATTGCCCGTGAGTCGTTTAATTACAGCTCTTGGAAATAAAATGCAAACGTGCACTCAACGTTATGACAGAAGACCTTACGGTGTTGGTCTCCTTGTTGCCGGATACGATGTAAGTTTATTTTCTTTTTCTCAAAAATTCAATTATGTTCCGAAATTTTTAGAAATTCTCAATTGTCAAAATTTCAATTATCTTTATAAATAGCAACAACTTTTTACGAAAATTAAATTATTTTCATAAATAAATTTGAATTTTAATAAAATTCTTGATAAAATTTTAATTATTTTCAAAAATTATACTCATTTCAATGATTTTCAATATCTAGTATTCTAATAAAATTTTCCAAAAGAATTCGATTATTTAAAAAAAATTTATTAAAATTCTACGCTAATAATTTAATTATTTTCACAAATTTAAAAAATTTCACAAAAATTCAATATATATATACAAATTTTTCATAAATTCTTTGCAATAATAAAATTATTGCCATAAATAATAAAATTCTTCCCAGCAAGTCAATGATGTAAACAAATTTCTATTGTGATTTTTTGAAAGAATTCAATTATTTTCATAAATAATAATATTCTTCTCAGGAATTAAAATATTTTTTTTTACAAATTTTAATAAAATTATTCGCAAAAAATCAATTACTTATTTTCATAAATAATAAAATTTCGGTAGAGAAATTGAATTATTTTAAAAAATTCTTAATACAATTTCTATTTAATAGAATTGAATTATTTTCATAAATAATAACAATTTTCGAAAGAATTGAATTATTTTTATAAATAGTAGAATTCTTTGCAAGAAATTCAATTATTTTCACGCAATTTTAATAAAACTTCAGGAAAGGAATCAATTAATTTTGAAAATTTTTAATTGTACAAGTTTTTGAAAGCATTCAATTATTTTCTGAAATTTTAATAACATTCTTCCAAAAAATTCAATTATTTTTAAAAATTTTTAATACAAATCCTCCGCAGGATTTCAATTATTTTCAATACAATTTCAATAAAATTCTTCACAAGAATCCAATTATTATAATAAATAAAAAAAATTCTTCCGAGAAATTAAATTATTATTTTAATAAATAATAAATTTCTTCCCAGGAATTCAATTATTTTAACAAATTTTAATGTAATTCTTTGGAAGAATTCAGTTAATTTCATAAACAATTAAATTTCTGAAAAAAAAAATTTTTTTAATTCTTAATACGATTTTTCTAAGAAATTCAATTATTTAAAAAAAATTTTAACAAAATTCTCCTCACGATTTTTATTATTTTCCATAATTTTTTAATGTAATTTAAATTAAATTCCTCGAAATAATTATTTTCGGGAAAATTGAATACATTTTTTCACAGAATTTCAATTATATTCAAAAATTTTAAGAAAACTGCTAAAGAATTCAATTATTTTCATAAATAATAAACATCTCTGAAGGAATTAAATTATTTTCAATAAATAATAAATTTTTTTAGAGGAATTCAATTATTTTTTCGAAACTTGAATACAATTCTCGTCAAAATTTCAATTATATTTATAAATAATAAAATTCTTCTCCGAAATTCAATTATTTTTAAATATTTTAATGAAATTCTCCAAACGTATTTTATTCTTTCAATAATTTTTAATATAATTTTAATTTAATTCCTCAAAATAATTATTTTCAAAAATTTTAATACATCTTTTCACAAAATTTCAATTATTTTCAAAAATTTTAACAAAATTCTTCTCCGAAATTCAATTATTTTCAAATATTTGAATAAAATTCTGGGCAAAATTTAATTATTTTCAAAAGTTCTCTTCAATTGAATCATTTTTAATATCTACTATATTTTAATAAAGTTTTTCAAAAGAATTAAATTATTTTTAAAAATCTGGAAACTTGATTAAAACTGTATTTCAGAAGAATTTCGAGTGTTATTTATGAAAATATGTTTTTAAATTCTTGTAAAGAATTTTACTAAAATTTTTGGAAATAATTGAATTTTTAAGAATTTTTTCGATAAATTTTATTAAAGTTAAATTAATTAAAATAAAATTGTTGAAAATAAAAAAGAATAAAATGATTGTAAATTGCAATCGATTTACTAATTTTTGTAAATATTGCCCACTTTTTTAGGATCAAGGTCCACATATTTATCAAACGTGTCCGTCGGCAAATTATTTTGATTGTAAAGCAATGGCTGTTGGTGCACGTTCTCAAAGTGCTCGCACATATTTGGAAAAGCATCTCAACGAATTTTTAAGCAGCGATCGCGATGAACTCGTGAAGCATGGATTGCGAGCATTGCGCGATACACTGCCTAATGAAGTTGATTTATCCGTTAAGGTATTTTATTTTTATCTCTTTCTATAAATTTTCTTTTTATAATTTTTATTATAAAAGATAATAAAAGTATCTTTTTGTTGAACTGCTTTTTGTATTTTTATTTGAAAAAATTTTCTTTTATATTTTTATTTCAAAAATGTATTTTTATATTCTTTGATTTTCTATTTGCGTCACGAAAATCTCTTTTTATACATTTTTATTTTAAAAGTGTCTTTTTATATTCTTTGAGTTTCTCTTTTTATACTTTTGCTTTTTATATTTCTATTCCAAAAACTTAATTTTTACTTTAAAAAGTCAAAAAGTTTTTTTCTAAATTAATTTATTAATTTTATTTTATTAATTAATTGTTTTTTAATTAAAATTTCAGAATGTTTCGATTGCAATTGTCGGTAAAGACACAGAATTCACGATTCTCGATGAGGCGGCGACGTCGGTTTATCTTTCTGAAATTGAAGGCGACGAGAATAGAGGAAGACCAACCGAGCCAGAGGTTGCGGACGATAGTAAACCACCTCAAGATCCACCTGCCGATCAAGGCCCACAGGATCCACGTGTTTCGGTCGCTATGGATACCGAATAAGCGGTTTTATATTTTTAAAAATTTGTCACTTTTTTCATTTAATAATAATAATAATAATAATAATGTCTACGTTTTTTCACAGATTTTCTCTTCTTAAAAAGATAACCCTATTTTTTTCTTGTTATTTAATTTAATTATTTGAATTTCTCTATTTCAGACTTCGCACTCGATAATTAATTTTAAAAAAGTAGCAATAAGTAGCTTTCAAACTAAAAAAAAGTAGCGAAAAAGTAGCTATCGCAAAATTAAACTTGACGACCACAGGGCTCGGATTGTGCGACTTTATCGACTTTTCTAAGGAAATATGACTTTTTTCGACTTTTTTGTGAAAAAATGCGACTAATCGACTTTTTCAAATTTTTTTTAGTAAAATGCGACTGAAATTAAAAATTTTTTTTAAATTTAAAGGAAAAAGTTTGAGTCAAAAAAATGTTCTGTTACATTTATTTACAAATTTCTTTCAAATTTTTCGAAAACATCAATAAATTATTTTTTAAAAAAATATTTAATTATTATTTTTCCATAGGAATTAAAAAAAAAAAAAATTGTTTACTTTGAAGGTTACAGACAAGTATTATAACTAACTTGAAGTTGGTTTGCTACTTGCGATAAAAGTCAAATTCAAAATAAAACGGTTTTTTTAAATCAATTTCTTTTTAAGACTAGTGCAAAACCCATCACGAAATTTTAGGAGTAGGAAGATATTGCTTCAATCTACATGCTCCAAAAATTTGACATAAATCGGTTTTTCTCCAACGAAGTTACAAACATTCAAAATCCCGAGAAAATGAAGAATGGTTAATATTTAACGTAAATTTTTATATATTTCTCAGTTGATAATCAAAAAAGTATTTAAATAATATTAAAGTGTATTTAAAATACTTATTATTTAAATAATTCTGATTTACTAAAATTAAATTACTTTGCAAAAAAAAATTGTTAAATATGATCGATATTTGACATTTCATACAGAAACTTAAATAACATATTTTACAGTTTATTATAAATTATTTGATACTTTTATCAAGTTCAAAACACAAATTCAGTCTTTAAAAATAAATATCAATAGCTTTTTTTATATTTCTTAAAGTGATTACTCCTTTTTTAAATATTTTGTAATGTCTGTCAATGTAACCTTTTTTCATGTACTCTCAATTTATAACATCTTTTTTTATACGAAATGTAATTATTTTTTACAAATCATTGTTCATTTCGTCATCCCAGAACATGTAAGAATATTTTCCCTGAGTATTGAAATTTTTTATAAAGGTCAAAAATACATTAAGCGAAATAAAATGGTTTGACCCATGAATTTTATTATATTTTTTAAATTTTATTCCGGATTGTTTGATATTAATGTATCTGTTGTCGAGAAATGTGTTTTTTTTTACAATTTTGTGTTTTCTTTTTGTCGTTTTTTTCTAAGATTTCATGCGACTTTTCGTGACTTTTGTTGTAAATTTATGCGACTAAAGCGACTTCTTTTTAAGTCTTAAAGACGATCCGAGCCCTGTCCGACCAAGAAAACTCGTTTTAGACACTTCACAAAACTGACAAAAATTCCATTCTATATTTTATTTTCCTGTCTTTTTTATAAAAATAATTTAATTCTTGCGAAGAATTTTATAAAAATTTCTAAATAATTGATTTCTTTCGACTAATTTTATGCAAATTCTAATTTAAATAATTGAATTCCTGAGACATTTTTATTATTCATGAAAAGAATTGAATTCTTACGAAGATTTTTATAAAAAAATTTTTAAATAATTGAATTTTGTTTAGAAATTTTATGAAAATAGTAGATATTGAAAATCATTGAATTGCGAAAAGCTTTTAAAAATAATTAAATTTTACAAAGAATTCTATCAAAATTTAGGAAAATAATTGAATGTCTGTGTGGTATTTTATTAAATTTGTTTGAAAATAATTGAATTCTTTCGAAAATTGTTATTATTTATGAAAATAATTGAATTCTTGCGAACGATTTTATTATAATTTTTTTTAAATAATTGAATTTTCCAAAAGAAATTTATTACTTTTAAAAGTAATTGAATTCTTGTAATGAATATTGCTATTTATGAAAATAATTGAATTTTGCAAAGAATTTTATTAAAATGCCTCAAAATAATTGAATTTTCGGGAACCTAATTTTGTTATTTATCAACATAATTAATTTATTTATGTAAATAATTGAATTCTTGGGCAGAATTTTATTAAAATCTAAGAGAATAATTGAATTATTACAAAAAAATTTTATTAAAATTACATTTATAATAATTGATTTCTTTCGAACAATTTTATTAAAATTTTAAAAAATAATTGAATTCCTGTGAAGAACTCTATTATTTCTGAGAATAATTGAATTATTGCGAAAAATTTTATTAAAATTTTGTAAGCCCGTTTACTGCTTAAATAAAACAAAAATAAAATAAAATGTTTAAAAAGAATTGAATTTCTGCGAAAAATGTTGTTATTTTTAAAAATAATTAAATTTTTTATAAGAATTTTATAAACATTGTTTTAAATAATTAATTTTTTCAAAATATAATAAATATTATGAAAATTTTATTTTGAATAATTTAATTCTTTTGGAAAACTTTATTTGTGAAAATAATTGAATTTTTCGATTAATTAATTTAAAATAGTATTAAAAATAATTTTCATTCTTTGATGAGGTTTATTATTTATGAAAATACTTGAATTTCTAAAAAGAATTTTATTATTTATGAAAATAATTGAATCTCTGCAAAAAAATTTTATTATTTACGAAAAATAATTGAATTATTGTGAATAATATTGTATAAAAATTCTGTTAAATAATTAATTTATTTGAAATTTTTTGAAAAATGCTATTCTAAATTAATTGAATTCCTGTGGGAATTTTATTATTTATGAAAATAATTGAATTTTGGATGAATTTTATCAATTTTTTTTAATAATTGAATTTTTTTGCGAAATTTTATAAAAATACTAGATATTGAAAATAATTGAATTTCGAATATTTTTTGAAAATAATTGAATCGTTTTGAAGAATTTGATTATAATTTTTGAGAATAGTTTTTTGATTTCTTGCATTCGCAAATTTAATGTAGTGGAAATTCTAAAAAAACAGATACAGTAGGTTGTAGTAGATTAGTGCGAAGCCTGTTATTTATTCACAGTTCTCCGTTTATACGGACAACAAAGTAACATTTACTACTTATTTAATATTTTACTACAAAGAATACGTATTAATAATCTAGTTTTAAATTTAGAAGTTGATTTATAGGAGTGAGTAATATTATTTATTCAACTACCTTTTTTGGTTCTATTTACATATAAATTTGGTATTTTCCGTTCTTTTTTCATTTTCTTTTCACGAAAATAGAAGAAATTTATATTTTAAGGAGAGATTTTATTTTCTCCACTTTGCTTCTGTTGTCGTTCCTTTAAAATGTTTGTAAGGAAAAATTCGCCGGCTTTATAAGACGAACGAACCAAAGGCCCACTGGCCGTGTAGAGAAATCCCAATTGATTGCCAACATTTTCCCAAGCTTTAAATTTCTCCGGTGTTACGTATTCAATGACTTTCAAGTGACGCTTTGTCGGTTGCATATATTGTCCAAGTGTCAATGCATCGACACCGGCGTCACGTAAGTCCCTCATTGTTTGCTCAACTTCCTGATCAGTTTCCGATAGGCCCAACATTATTGATGATTTTGTTATTAAATTAGGATTCACCTTTTTCGCACCCTCCAGCACAGCGAGTGATTGTCTGAAAGAAGAAATTTATTTATTCTATTGTATTTTTTTAAATTTTTACTATTATTATTTATTACTGTACTAGCCTTCAATTTTTTCAACTTCTGACAATAATTTCATTTAAAATAACTTAATTCTTAATAAGACCTATCATAAAATTATTACTTAGAAATTATTTAATGAATAATTCATTAATTTTACTTAAATATTTCAAAATTAATTCAATTTTAAGAGCTACGTTTATAAATTTTCATAAATAGATGAACTTTAAAGCTATTAATTTAAAATTTTATAAAATTTCAAGTTTCAATGAATTTAATTGGAACTTGTTAAGAACTTAGACTATTGGAAAATTTTAATAATTCAATTTCTTCTGAAATTAGTTAAATTCTTAATATAATATTTAATTAATTATTAAGAATAATGAATTTATAGAATTATTATTGCAGAAATTCAATTATTTTGAAAAGTAATCAAATTCTTGGCAGAAGTTCAATTATGTTAAAGAATTTTAAAAAAATGCTCGTCAGTATTTAAATTATTTTTAAAAATAATAATATTGTTTTTCAAAATTCAATTATTTTCAAAAATTTTAAAAAAATTCTTGGCAAAATTTTAATTTTCAAAAATTTTTCTCTATTCATCGATTTTTAATATCTACTATGTATTTTAAAAAAATTTTCCAAACGAATTCAATTATTTAAAAAAAATGTTATTAACATTCTAGGCAAAAATTTAATTATTTTCATAAATAATAAAAATTTCGCATTAATTCAATTATTTACAAATTTTTTATAAATTTCTGCGCAAAAAATCAATAAAAAATAATAAATTTTTTGACAAGAATTCAATTACATATTTCCATAAAAATAATAAAATTCTCCTTTAGAATTCAAATATTTTTTACAAATTTTAATAAAAACTTTTTTGTATTTAAATAATTGAATTCTAGTAGAATTTTTTAGTAAAAATTAATTAAAAAATGAATTTTTGTTAAAATTTTAGATAATAATTGAATATTAAAAGCAATATAGCGTGAATTTTTTAGAAATAATTGAATTTTGAAAAGGTTTTAAATTAAATTTTTGAAAATCTGAATTTTCATACTTTTAACTAAGAATTTTGTAGAATTAATTTTTTTAAAAAAGTTTAATTGAATTTTATTTTTTGAAATTATTTGAAGTTTTTATTTTCTAATTTATATTTAATTAAAGAATTTCCGAATAATCGAAATTTCACATAAAATTAAATTGTAAACAAATATATTTGAAAATTCTCAAGAAGAATTTTTTCAAAAATTATTAAGGATAATTGATTTAAAGAAGAATTTTAGTTAAAAATTATAGAAAATAATTTTGAAAAAGTTACAGTAATAATATTTTTATAATATAAAATAATGATAATTATAACAAAAATAATGATAATTATCAAAAATAATATCACTCGATCATTATTAATTATTATAAAACATGAAGAAATCGAAACATGAAGACTCGGATTTATCAATTTCTTCTTGTTTTATAATAAATATTCTTACAAGTTATTGAATTCCAAAAAGATTTGAATTTAAAATTTTAGAAAATTTTATCTGGAAATCAGGGAAAAACAAAATTAAATTTTTGTGACAACCCTGTATTTTTTGTAATATTTTGAAAGAAAAAGGCGCCTTTTTGTGAAAATAGTCAGAAAAAAGTCCAAAAAATCATTATTAGCCGAGTCTACAATTAATATTTAATACTATTATATTTACTATTTTTTTACTACTTGAAATATCAGTTCAATAAATTTCATATTTATTTGCTGTTTTTTTTACCTGTATCGTGCACGTCTATCGCGAACAAAGGGCGTGAGTCGCTCAACAGTTTCGATATTGTGAGCAAAAACATCGAGTTTCGAATCAACAACAGTCGTGACACAATCCTGATTCCCTCGGAAATCGGGAACTAAACATTCAACCAAAATGTTGCTCCTGAAAAATAAATGGAAAATAAAATAAGGCGATGAAAATTGTAAATTAATTTTTTTTTTTACTCATTGGCAATTAAATATTTACGAATATTTTAAGTTTTAATTTTATTATTCATATTTTATTTTTAAAAGTTTTGAACTGAAATTTACAACGTCAAAACTGACGATTTTCTCAGTAACAATTTGAAAAATCGTCAGATTTGACGTTGTAAACTTTAGTTCAATTGAATTAAAAAGAAGTAAAAAAAAGTGTTTTACTCCCTAAACTAAAATTTCTCCTTCGAGAAATTTTTACTTTTACTATTTTTACTTTTTTTTAAATAGTTCTCTGACCTCTTTTTAATTTCTCGCACAGTATTTGCGATGTGTTGCGCTCCTCCGTCATCTAAATCTGAAAAGAGACGTTGATTTTAATTTTGTTTTCGAAGGTAAAATTAATATTAATTAATTAAATATTTAATAAATATAAATAGTTTACCATCCCGATCGACGGAAGTAAGAACAACGTAATCGAGGCCCCAATCAGTGATCGCAGTGGCCGTATTTTTCGGTTCATTTGGATCCAACGGTGGCGGAATTTTCGCCGTTTTTATGGAACAAAATCGACAACCTCGAGTGCAAGTGTCGCCCATTAACTGAAAAATAGTAAAATTCTTTTAGAAAATAATTTTTCCATTGTAAATAAATTTCGCTTAATTTTTCGGTTCTTTTTATTATTTTTGTTCTAATTTCGTCTACTATTTTTATCGTCATAATATATTTGATCTCGTCTCATTAAAAGAGATAAAATTGAAAAGGTTATCAAAAGTATTGAGAATTAAAATCAGTGACTATGGAAGTCATTTTTTTTTCTACAAAAACTATAGTAAAATTTATATTTGTGTTTTCTAAATATTAATTTCTAATTTTAAAAATATATTTCAATTATAATAACCATAATTGTTGCAGTCGCTGTTCCATGACTTCCTCCACCCCAACATTCGCCAATATTTGGACATCTCGCCTCCTCGCAAACTGTACTTAATTTCAAATCACGTAATTGCGATTTTATTCGACTGTAATTCTCTCCCATTGGTATCTCTCTCTTTAGCCATGGCGGTAATCTTAATCTTGTATTATCGCCTTTCTCCAATTTCAATTTACCCTCATACTTTATTACTGGTTCGTCTGATAAAAAATTTTCCAATTGCGGTCCATTTGACAGTTTCTCGGAAAAATCCTCCCTCGTTATTTTTGTACAATTTAAACACTGATTCTGAAATTCAAGAAACAGAAAAAATAATACCTTATAATTAACAAGTTGAAACAAATCAAAAAAATTTCTCAAGAAAAAATATATTGTAACTAGTGTGCGAAACATGATATTCAATTTATTATTATTATTATTCAAATAAAAAATTTTTTATTTTCAAATATAACTTTCAACTTTTGAATAATTTCAGTTTCAAAAAATTAAAAAATTATTTTATTCAGTTAATAATTAATTATTATTGTTTATTATTTTAAAAATTTTATTAAAATTCTTCGAAACAATTTAATTATTTTTATGAATATTAAATTTTTCGCAAGAATTTAATTATTTACATTAATTAAAAAATCCTTCTGAGGAATTCAATTGTCAAATTTTTCAATTAAAATTATTAAAGAAACTATATTATTTTTAAAAAATTCTTGCAAAGAATTTAATTCGGATTTTCAAAAATTTTAATAAAATTGTTTAAAAAAATTTAATTTTCTGTCAATAATTTAAAAAAAAATAATAGTAAAATAATTAAGTACAATTATTATTAACAACATCGATTATATTAAAAAAATTAAAGATATTTTTGGTAAGAATTCCAGTGTTGTCAAAACCTATAATTATTCTTCGAAAAAATTGAATTCAGTTATTATAAAAAATAAAATTATTCTCAAGAATTCTTCAGAAAAATTCAATGATTTTTATAAATAGTAAAATTCTTTGCAAGAAATTCAATTATTTTCGTGCAATTTTAACACAATTTCACGAAACGATTCAATTAATTTTTAAAAAATTTTAATACAATTTTTAAAAGAATTCAATTATTATTTTCTAAAATTTTAATAAATTCTTGTAAACAATAAATATTAATAATATTCAAATTTTTGTCAGGAATTCAATTATTTACATAAAAATAATAAAACTCTTCAAAGGAATTCAATTATTTTGATAAAATTCTTCGCAAGAAGTCAAATATTTTCATAAATAATAAAAGTTTTCAAAGAAATTATTCGATTATTTTTAAATATTTTGATAAAATTCTTGACAAAAAGTCAATTATTTCTATAAAAATAATAAAATTCTTGTTAAGAATTCAATTATATTCAAATATTTTGATAAAATTCTTCGCAAGAAGTCAAATATTTTCATAAAAAATAAAAGTCTTCAAAGAAATTCAATTATTTTTAAATATTTTGATAAAAGTCTTGACAAAAAGTCAATTATTTCTATAAAAATAATAAAATTCCTGTTAAGAATTCAATTATTTTCAAATATTTTGATAAAATTCTTCGCAAGAAGTCAAATATTTACATAAATAATTGTCTTCAAAGAAATTCAATTATTTAAAAATATTTTGATAAAATTCTTGACAAAAAGTCAATTATTTCTATAAAAATAATAAAATTCTTGTTAAGTATTAAATTATTTTCAAATATTTTGATAAAATTCTTTGCAAGAAGTCAAATATTATTTTCATAAATAATAAAAGTCTTCAAATAAATTCAAATTATTTTTAAATATTTTGTGATTTTGATAAAAGTCTTGACAAAAAGTCAATTATTTCTATAACAATAATAAAATTCTTATTAAGAATTCAATTATTTTCAAATATTTTGATAGAATTCTTCCCAAGAATTCAATTATTATTTTCATAATTAATAAAATTTGTCGAAGGAATTTAATTATTTTTCAAATATTTTGATAAAATTCTTTGCAAGTATTTTAATGATTTTTAATAAATTAATTTTAAAATTGATAACATTTAAAAAGAAAAAATATTAAAAAAGGTAAAAAACAAAAAAGCAAACAACTAGTGAAATTAATTAATATTAACAAAAACAAAAACAATAAATAATATAAAAAATTCACACAAAAATTTTTAGGTTAGGAAGCAGGTAAAATTTTTTGCGACCAAATTAAAATCAAAATACTGTTAATTAAGATTATTTACAAATATTCTACAGTATTTAAATAAACTTTCAATTTAAAAATAGTAATTTATTTATGGAGAAAATGAAAATGACATACTCCGGTTTGAAAATTGAAAGCTCCTTGATGTTTGAAGCAGAAAATTCGTGTTGTTCTTAACATTTTTTCTAAAAACACTTTCGCTTAGTAAGAAAAAACACTTAATAACTATTTTATTTACATTGTTAGAAACTTAAAAAATAATAAAGTAGGTAGACTACAAATGTATTCTTTCCATATAGAATAAGGTAGTCCAAGTTGGGTGGGGGAAATTCAATATGGCTGACATCAGCTGATTTACCGGAGGACAAACAATGCATTGAATTCAATGAGACAAATCAGTTTTTTAACCATAACTTTTTAAATATTCATTTTTGAACCATAGTGTAATGGAAAATTATTCTTTATTTATCGAAATCTATTTTTTAAAACAATAAAACCAAAAAATTTAATTTTATTGTTTTAAAAAATAGATTTCGATAAATAAAGAATAATTTTCCATTACACTATGGTTCAAAAATGAATATTTAAAAAGTTATGGTTAAAAAACTGATTTGTCCCATTGAATTCAATGCATTGTTTGTCCTCCGGTAAATCAGCTGATGTCAGCCATATTGCATTTCCCCCACCCAACTTGGACTACCTTATAGAAATGCGCGTTTTTTGAATGAAAAATGACCTTGAACAAGGGTGACATAACCTCAAAAATTGGCGCCCTCTTTACTCACCGCGCATGCTCAAAAATCATATGTTTTGCGTCATCTTCGTCATACATAAACATGTTTTTGTTGTTGTATATTTCCAACCATTGTAGAGTGTTGAACTAAGCGTGATTCGTTTTCTTTATTAAATATTATAATTTACTTTCCAAGTTTTGATCTCTCTGTCTTTCATGTAACAAGATTTTGCCAAAAACACTTTTTCGAATATGTGATGTCTTCAAACGAAATTTTAGTATCGCTCTGTGTTATTCGAATCGAAGTCAGTGATTACGATTCGGAACAAGACGTTGGTAATTATTAATTATGCAATTTTTGTTTCTAACAATTAATATTTCATGTTCTTTCGTTTCTTTTGTCGAAAATAGTTTTGTTTATAGGTTATGTCAACATTCGTGCTGAATATTCAATCCTTTTGTTTAGTATAATTATTAGAATCCTTTTTTGCTTCCTCATGAGGAAGCTTTGCATTGGTGACGATTTTCAATTTTTCAAAAGAAGGTTATATGGATTCATTTTCATCTAAAACATATGTATATTCAATTATGAGCAAATGTCCAGATGTGTGTGTGTGTGTGTCACAAAATTTGTGTACAAATTATCTCAGACAAATTTTGATGGATTGTCCTGAAATTTTGCAGGTTTATTGCAGTCATTAATACCTAAAATCTGACATAAGGATTTTCAAAAATATCTACAAAAATTTTTTTTATACAATTTTTTTAAAATTCAGAAAAAATTTTTTTTTGTATTTTTTGAAATAATTTTTTTATTTGTTAATATTTTCATTAATTTTTCTCAAAATTACATTTCTGACAAGAAAACGAATCGATTGATGTATACAAAGTATATATTTTATCAAAATTTATCAAATTAATAAATATTTTTCTTTTTAAAAAAAAATTCAAATTTTGTATTTTTTTCATAATTTATTTAATATTAATATTAATATTTTGAATAATTCTATCATAAAAAAGAAGCAATTGGCAAATGAAAGTGTAAATTTCACCAAATATTTATATAACAACTTATAAATTATAAATGATTTATATAATTTTATTTTTAACAAATCTTCTGGACGAACCCTTTTGTACATAGTTTTTCAAAAGTTTGCAAAACCGCAATTGTTATACATTGTGGAAGCTAAATGGTCATGAAATGAACAACTTGTTTTTTTTTGGTATAGAGAAAAGCTTTTTGTGTCATTTATTTACCTTTCTTAAAGCAATGGCTGTGAGAAAAATGCGAGGATGCCGTGAGCCAAGGGAAATAACAATAGAAAATTATTCAAATTCCGAGGAGGGTCCAGTGCCACTTTTACATCATCAGAATTTAAATAAATCACATTCAACATCGCGTATGAATTCAGAGGAATCATCGATATCGCAAATTTTATCTGAAGGTGCAACATCGTGTAATGTTGCCGATCAAATTAATTTTTTCTCCGGGAATCCATTTGTTGAGGTCACCAAAGGAATTTTGCATTTGTTTAAAGAGGAGTGAGTTTTTTTATCATTACTTTCAATGGTATTTTTACGTATTTATGATTATTAATTAAATTCGAATACTAATTGTTTATGAACATTGAAAACAGTGAATTAACGGACGTACAATGCGCTGCAACACGAAGCAATACAATTTGCATGCTCTCAGTTCCTGCAACAATGACTTGTCACGATGTTTTAACATTCACTGCCGCTTGTCATCAAAATATTCAACATTTTCGAATTTTGCGTGACGATAATCCAGATCAATATATGGCTTTGATCACTTTTAGGAATTCCGTAAGTGCAAAACAAAACAAAAGAATACATTCGGAATTCGGTTTCTAATTTTATTCATTATTTTCGTATTTGTTTATTTTTTCTATTCAACATATTCTGGTCAAATTTTATCCATAGGGATTAAGATTTTCAAAACATTCAAATTCAAACCTTTAAGATGTTCAACAATTTGTAAAAATATTAATACAAAACATGAAGAAATCGATCGATCCTTTCAATTTAATTATAAATGTCTATGATTTTTACCTATAATTCTTCTTTAAATCAATTATTTTTAATAATTTTTTAAAAAGTTCTTTGAGAATTTTCAAATCCATTTGTTTACAAATCAATTTTACATGAAATTTTGATTATTCTGAAATTCTTTAATTAAATATTATATTAGAAAATAAAAACTTAAAATAAAATTTCAATTAAACTTTTTCAAAAAAATTAATTCTTTTACAGAATTGTTAGTTAAAAGTATGAAAAATTCAGATTTTCAAAGATTTTAATTTTAATCTTTTAAAAATCCAATTCTAAAAATTCACGCTGTTATGCTTTTAAATATTCAATTATTCTTGTTTAATAATTTAAATAATTTTAACAAAATTCTCCTCAAGAATTCAATTATTTACATAAATAATAACATTCTTCGTAAAAAGTCAATTTTTTTATAAATAGTAAAATCTTTGCAAAAATTCAATTATTTTTAAAAAAATTTCACTAAAGAATTCAATTTTTTTTCTTTATTCCCTATCAAATATTTTTAAAACGAATTCAATTATTTTCTAAAATTTTTATAAATCGTTCGAAACACGGAGAAAATTTCTTGCGTAATGATTACAATAGTCTATATTACAGCTCGGATATGTGACCACTTTTTGTAATGAATACGAAAACTATGTAATTTATTAAGAATTTAGTAGGAGCGATTACTATAGTTACTTTAATGAATCCAAACACTGTATTAATCGTGTTGAAATTTATTTTTTGGAATCATTAATAGTTTAGATGTACAGGTTCAGAAAGGGTACTGTAGGCATTCACGCAGAGACTTGTTATAATTACAATAGTCTACGTTAAAAGGAAATCTTGGATTCTGTTCACATTTGTAGCGGTCTAAGGAAATCAGTGATACAGACTGTAGTAGCCTTTACAACAGGACTATTGTAAAATAAGGTGACCGCGGCTGCCTTGTCTTCTTATTTTACTATAGTTCTTCGTAAAGACTACTATTGCTATATTTCTGATTACAAATGACTGTTGTAAAGTTAAAAAAGAAAATTTTCAACTAAAACAAAATTTTTTTGTAATTCATGACTTGCGTAAAGTACGTAAGTTACCTAATTAGTGCAATTTACAATAATTCGTCCATTACGTAACTTAAGTTATTTACGTAAGTGCAACTTACGTTATTTACGCAACTTACATTATTTACGTAACTTATATTTTTACGCATCATACATTATTTACGTAACTTATATTTACGTAACTTACGTAAGTTACGTAAGTTAACTTACTTATTTGTGTGACTTACTTTTGTTATTTACGTAACTTGCGTAAGTTATGTAACAATTTATACAGGCAAGAAATCTTGTACCTTCGGTGCGTGTGTTAGAAAAAAAAAATTTCACTATGAAAATGTAATAAAAAATAGACCTTACAATATTAAAGACTAACAATGAACAATAATTGTATTAATTATTGAGAACGAAGTGATTTTTTTACATTTAAAGTGTATAAGTCTTTCTCGCAAGCGGTGAACTTTCATAGCAGTTAGTATATAAGGAAGTTTAAGTCATGTATAAATATGTGTAAATAGCGATCGTTATTATGTTATGCGTTTAGTATTTAAGTTAGATTTATGTACTTAGGGTTTAGTGAAATTGTCTAGTTTGAAAATATAATTAATCTTGAAGTGGGTAGTCTTGGAAGAGTGAAATTAATGTGCAATACATGATTAGAAGTCATGAATTACAAAAAAATTTTATTTTAGTTGAAAATTTTCTTTTTTAACTTTACAACAGTCATTTGTAATCAGAAATATAGCAATAGTAGTCTTTACGAAGAACTATAGTAAAATAAGAAGGCAAGGCAGCCGCGGTCACCTTATTTTACAATAGTCCTGTTGTAAAGACTACTACAGACTGTATCACTGATTCCCTTAGATTGCTGCAAATGTGGATAGAATCCAAGATTTCCTTTTAACGTAAACTATTGTAATCAGTCACATAGACTTTGTGCTAACTCATATTTAGTTCGTATTTATTTCAAATAAATTTTTAATGAGTACGTTCGACTTACAGAATTGTTACAACGAAGCTACTTTAGGCATTACGAAAAGTGGTCACATATCCGAGCAGTACTGTTCGACTATTGTAATCATTAACAGAAATCTTTTCTCCGTGAACATTTCAATTTTATTCATAAATAAAACATAGCGATATTCTTTTAAAAATCCAATTATATTCAAAATAATTTCACGAAAGAATTCAATTTTTTTTCTTAATTGGTTCTAAAAAATTTCAAAGGATTCAATTATTTTCTAAAATTTTAATAATCTTCGAAAAAATTCAATTATTTTCAAAAAAATTTCACTAAAGAATTCAAATTTTTTCTTAATTCGTTATAAAATTTTAATAAAATTCAATAATTAAATGTTTAATTTCAATTATTAACAAACACGGTTATTTTAAAAACTTGAAAGAAATTGTTCATAAAATTTAATTATTTTTAAGACTGTTAATTAAAATTTTTAAAGAAACTCTATTAATCTTCCGAAGAATTTGATTATTTATGAAATCTTCAAAGATTTTAATTTGAAACCTTTTCAAAAAAAAGAAAATTTTTATTATTTGAAACCTTTCTGAAATTTAATTATTATCTAAAACTTTTTACTGAAATTCATTTTTAAATCAATTTTTCTCAGAAAATTCTACGATATTTCAATTATTTAGATACAAAAATAAATAATTTATTGAATAATTGAATTTTTCTTATAATTGAATTCTTTAGACTTTTCAATAATTTATTTTATCAACAAATTTTCATATAATTGAATTCGTTGATGAGTTTTATTATTTATGAAAATAAGTAATTGAATTATTGCGAATAAATTTATAAAAAAAAAAGTGTAAATAATTGAATTCCTGTGGAATTTTTGTATTATTTATGAAAATAATTGAATTTCTACGATGAGTTTTATTATTTATAAAGATAATTTAAATGTTGCCAAGAATTTTGTTAAAATTTTTTTAAATAATTGAATTTGATAGAAAACTCGTATTAAGAATTTTTTTAAATAATTAAATTCTTTCCAGAAAATGTATTATTTATGAAAATAATTGATTTTTTGCGAAGAACTTTATTAAAATTTGTAAAAAAATATTTTAATTCCTGCAAAAAATGTTAATTTTTATGAAAATAATTGAATTCTCGCGAAGAATATTACATTAAATTTTTTTTAAATTATTGAATTCCGGCGAAGAATTTTATTACTTATATAAAAATAATTGAATTCCTGCAGAGAATTTCATTATTTCTAAAAATAATTAAATTAATCGAGTAATTTAATTAGAATTATGTTGAAAACAATAATTGAATTTTTATAAAGAATTTTATCAAAAATTTTTTTTGAATAATTGAAATTTTTCTAGAATTTTTTTTATTTATGTAAATTGTTGAATTTTTGTTAAGAATTTTATTAAAATTTTTGAGAATATTAAAAATTCCTTCAAAAAGTTTTATTAAAATTTCTGAAAATAATAAAATTTCTTCTAAAAATTTCATTATAATTATTTTGAAAAAATAAGTGAATTCTGTTAAAATATTTTGTTAAAGTTTTTGAAAATAATTGAATTTCTCGGAAGAATCGTATTAAAATTTTTAAAGAATAATTTAATTGTTTCTAGAAATTTTATTATAAATATAATTAAATTCCTGAGAAGAATTTTTGTTATATTTGAATTAATTCATATTGAATTCAATTAATTTTAATTATTTATTTTTAATATCGACGGTCGGGGTACAATTACCGACCACGCTGAATAATAGTATAAAGTCCATAAGCGTCTCATCAGCGGCGTATCGATCGCCCACGTGGTTATTTAATTCATTTCCGGTTCCGCTTCTGGTTTCCTTTTTCCTTATTATGCTTTCAGAAAAGAGCGAAGTGCCGAAGTGCGAACATCAATCTGCGTCGTCTTTTGAGTTAAAAAACCTTTTTCTTTTAGTGAAAGTGAATAAAGCAATACTTTTAATTTAATGAAATTATTATAGTATTTTGAATACACAGTGAAATCAATAAAATTCAATTTGCGAAGATTTTGCTAAAATTTTGTGCGTGTGTGAAAAGGATATTGAAATTTATGTGTCATAACCATAATGACGCTTAATAGTTTCCTTTCGTTTTTACAAATAGTGAAAATAAACAAAATATTCATAATAAATAGAACGAGAAAAAAAGTAGAATCAAGTGAAATTTATAGAATAATAATTAATATTTCATTCATTGGCGTCTTTCCTAACTTATTCCTAATCCTCACAAAAAATTCCTCATGATTATAAATAATTAATATTTAATTAAAAATTTCATTCATTGGTGTTTCTCCTAACTTATTCCTATTCCTTACAAAAATATTCCTCATTATTAATAACTTCATATTAATCAAAAATTTTATTCATTGATGTTTTTCCTAACTCATTCCTATTCCTCATATAAAAAATTCCTCATTATTAATAATTGAATATTAATCAAAAATTTTATTCATTGATGTTTTTCCTAACTCATTCCTATTCCTCACAAAATGTTCTCACGCCAAAATATCACATGCAGAGAGTACAAAATTCAACAGGTATAAATTACAGTGTTTTTTATTTACTTTTCTTTTTCTTTTCTTTCTCTATTTTAAAAGTGTACCTACATTCAGAAATTTGAAATTTTTAAAATGAATTTAATTAGGATTTTCAAAAATTTTAATAATTCGATCGCAAAAATTCAATTTTTTAAATAAAATTAATAAAATTCAATTACATATTCATAAAAACTTTAATATTTCTTGAAAGAATTCAATTATTTTTTAAACATTTTAATCGAATTTTTCACAGGATTTCAATTATTTTTAATGAAATTCTTCGCAGGAATTCAATTATTTTCATAAATAAAAAAATTCTTCTGAGGAATTCAATTATTTTCAATAAAATTTCTCGAATGAATTGAATTATTTTTTAAAAATTTTAACACAATTCTTCGCAGGAATTCAATTATTTTTCAAAAATAATAACATTCTTTGTAAGAATTCAATTATTATTATACAAAGTAAAATTCTTTACACGAATAGGAGGTTAAAGTTTGGAACGTTCAAATGAACGAAATTTATTTATTTCTTCTTCAAATTAAATTTTTATTACTATAATTTTGCGTCACTATTAAGCAAATTAATTATAATGTTTCTAAATGTAAAATTTGAGTTTTTAATTTGAATTGTAATCAATAATCTATGAAAATATTTTTAACAAAAAATATTTCGTTCATTTGAACGTTCAAAACTTTTTGTTCATACACGAATTCAATTATTATCAATACAATTTGAATAAAATTCCATTACTTTCAAAATTTCCAAATAAAATTATTAAAAAAATTCTTTTATATAAAAAAATTCATGAAAGTTTTAAAATGAATTTAATTAAGATTTTCAAAAATTTTAATATTTCGATCGCAAAAATTCAATTATTTTAATAAATAATAAAATTGTTCGGAGGAAATCAATTATTTTCAATTCAATTTTTATAAAATTCCTTGAATAAATTGAATTACAGTAGAGACTCCATTATCCGGACCCCTATTATCCGGATATTCGATTATCCGGACAAATTTAAAATTAAAAAATTTTTTTTTTAATATAAAGTTTATAAGGTCTCAAGCCGTTAACTTCTATTTTAAATTTCTCCCCGCCAACAAACACGAAATGTTGCATTTTAAAGTGTTTTAATTATTTTAAGAAAATGTTTATGTAAATATTTTTAAATATTTCTAACTAAATATTTATTAATGTTGACTTTAAAAGTTTTAGTTTGTTTCAGTCTTATTTTCATACATATGCAAATAAATACATAAAATTATGAATCAAAAATTTGTTTAATTCGTACTTTACTCGATTATCCGGATTTTCGATTATCCGGACAAGGGCCTGCATCAATTAGTCCGGATAATGGAGTCTCTACTGTATTTTAAATAATATTGTAATAAAATTCAAAGGAGAATTTAATTTCTTTCTAAAAATTTTAATAAAATTCAATAAATAAATGTATATTTCAATTATTAAGAAACGGTATTATTTTAAAAACTTGAAAGGAATTCTTCATAAAATTCAATTACATACTTTTAAAATTTTCAACTAAAATTATTAAAAAAAAATTCAAAGAAATTCTTCAAAAGAATTTAATTTGAATTTTCGAAAATTTTAATGAAATTCTGAGGTAAGAATTAAATAATTTTCATATTAATAATAACATTCTTTGGAAGCATTCAATTATTTTTTTTAAAAGAGCAAAATTCTTTTCAAGAAATTCAATTATTTTCAAATTTTCTATGCAATTTTAATAGGATTTTCAAAAAAAGCATTCAATTATTTTCTTAAATAAAGAAATTATTCGGAATACAATTTTAATAACATTCTTGGCAAAAATTCAATTATGTACTTTTTTTAAATTTAAATAAAAATCCTTCTGAGGAATTCAATTTTTTATTTTCGAAAATTTTGTTCCTGTTTTTGTCAGGAATTCAATATTATTGTTATAAATAAAAAAAAAATTCTTCGGGGAAATTAAATTATTTTCAATAAAATTTTAATCAAATTTGAAGTTAAAATTCAATTTTTCATAAAAACATTAATTCTTTCTCTTTCTTAAAAGCGTACCTACATTTAGTAATTTTACTGTGTTCTTCGTGGACATTTAGTTCTACTAATAACAATTTTTCTTTTTATAATTTTTCAGGCGGCTGCGAGTGAATTTTACGAGACATTTAACGGCGCACCGTACAATTCATTGGAACCGGACGTCGTTTGTCACTTGGTGTTTGTCTCAAAAGTCGAAGTCGGAGGCGATGGATTGCCAATTGCCGGACACACGGAATTGCCATCGTGTCCAGTTTGTCTCGAGCGAATGGACGAGAGTGTCGATGGAATTTTAACTGTTCTCTGTAATCACACATTTCACGCGAGCTGCTTAGTCAAATGGGGCGATACGTCGTGTCCAATTTGCCGCTATGCCCAAACACCGGAGCCGTTGGCTGACAGTCATTGCATGGAATGCGGTAAATACAATTTGCCATTTTCTGTTATTTTTTTTTACTACAGAAAAAATAGGCAATTAGAAATATAATTTAAGGATATAAATTTAATATAATTTAGGATTTCCCCAGATCAGGAAATTCAGGGAAAAGGCAGGGATTTTTGTTAAAAGTACTGGAAAAAATGTAATTTTTGGAATTCATAAGAAAATTCCGAATTTTTGTGTCTTTTTTGTTTTGCTCATAAACTATAAAATTACCACGAATTCTAATACAAAACCTTCAATTTTTTCTATTTCTGACAATAACTTCTTTTTAAGTAACTTAATTCTTGAACAACTAGCAACAAATTATTTAATGAATAATTTTACTTCAAAATTTCAAAATTAATTTAATTTTAAAAGAGTTGCGTTTACAATTTTCATAAATAGATTAACTTGTTTGAAAACGTAATTTGAAATTTTAGAAAATTTTGATTTTGAATGAATTCAATTAGAAATTTTAAAGAACTTAGTTCACGGAAAAAATTTAATTCAAATTCTTTAGAAATTAGTTAAAACTTTCAATATATGTGACTGTCCACGAGAAAACAGGGCTTAGGTCCAAAAAATAAATTTTGATTTTTTTATGGTAATCGACAGATATTATGTTGCTTTTTCAAATGCAAAAGTCAAAAGTTAAAAATATCAATTATTTTCGACAATATATCGTTTTAAAGCTGGGTATGTCAAGCGTAGTTAACTTCAATCGTCGACTGTCCACGACAAAACACGGCTTAGGTCCAAAAAATCAATTTGAGTTTTTTATGGTAATCGACAGATTTTATGTTGCTTTTTCAGATGCAAAAGTCAAAAGTTAAAAATATCAACTACTTTCGACAATATATCGTTTTAAAGATGGGTATGTCAAGCGTAGTTAACTTCAATCGTAGTACTTCAATCGCTCGCCCTGTGAAATTCACGTTTGGGAGCTAAGCCCTGTTTTCTCGTGGACAGTCACATATAATTATTTAAACATTAAAAGTAATTAATTTAGAGAAGAATTTTAGTTAAAAAATCTAGAAAATAATTGAATTTTTGAGAAGTTGCAAATAATAGTAATTTTTAGAAATATTTGAATTCTCAAAAGATTTCAAATGAAAATATTTGAAAAATCTGAATAAATTATCTTGTTAGATATCAAAATTCTTCACAGAAATTCAATTTATTATTTTCAGAAATTTTAATAAAATTCTGCGCAAAATTCAATTATTATTTATAATTAACAATATTAATCGCAAGAATTCAATTATTTCCAAAAGTGATAAAATTCTTCGCAGAAATTAAATTATTTTTAAATTTATTTAAAATATTCTCGTCAAGATTTAAATTATCTTTAAAAATAGCAAAATTCTTTGCCAAAATACAATTTTTTTCAAAAAATTTTAATGAAATTTTTGTAAAAATTACAATTATTTTCAACAATTTTTTGTAACTCAAGGATTTTCAATATCTTCTATTTTAATGAAATTTCCCAAAAGAAGATTATTTAAAAAACTTTTGGAAAATATTCTAGGCAAGCATTCAATTATTTTCATAAACAATAAAAATTTCACTGATTTTTAATTATTTTTAATACAATTTAATTGAATTTCTTCAAAAAATGCAATTATTCTTTGAAATTTTATTAAAATTCATTGAAAGAATTCAATTATTTTCATAAATAATAAAATTCCTCAAAGGAATTAAATTATTTAAAAAAAAAATTAATACATTTTTCTTCAAAAATTCAATTATCTTTATAAATAATAAAATTCTTCTCCGAAATTCAATAATTTTATTTATTTATTTATTTGAGTATCAACGGGCTTACAAAAAAAAATTTTTCAGAAACTTTAATAAAATTCTCTGTTAGAATTCAATTATGTTCAAAAATTTTTCTCATTTTAATAATTTTTAATATCTGTATTATTTTAATAAAATTTTGCAAGAGAATTCAATTATTTAATTAAGATTTGGATAAAATTCTACGAAAGCATTTAATTATTTTCATAAATAATAAAACTCATCAACGAATTCAATTATATAAAAATTTGTTGATAAAATTATTGAAAAGACTAAAGAATTCAATTTTAAGAAACACTCAATTATTCAATAAATTATTTATTTTTTGTATTTGAATAATTGAATTCTCGTAGTATTTTCTAATAAAAATTGATTTAAAAATGAATTTCAGTTAAAATTTTAGATAATAATTGAATATTAAAAGCATTATAGCGCGAATTTTTAGAAATAATTGAATTTTAAAAAGTTTTCAAATTGAAATCTTTGAAAATTTGAACTTTTTCAAAAATTATTCAAAATAGTTGATAGTTAATTTAGAGAATTATTTTAGTTAATAATTACTAGAAAGTAATAATTTAATTGAAATGATGAAAATAATTTTGAAGAAGTTACAGTAACAATATTCTTATTATATGAAATAATGATTTTATCACTCGGTCATTTTTAATTATTACAAAACATGAAGAACGCGATTACTCGGAGTAACCGATTTCTTCTTGTTTTGTAATAATATTTTTACAAGTTGCTGAATTTTAAAAAGTTTTGATTTTGAAAATCTTAATTTATACGGAAAAATAAGAATGATTAAAATATTTATTTAAAAAAGAAGTTATTGATGTTTTTGAATAATTTTACATTTTAATAAATTCGTAATTAAATGTAACATAATATTTTTTTGAGTATTGAATAATTTTTAGAGTGATTCTTTTTCTTCCTTTTTTATTTTTTTCCCTGACTTTTTAGAGTCAGAGAAGGAGGTAAAATTTTGTCTGGAAATCAGAGAAAAGTCAAGGAAAAACAAAATTAAATTTCTGTGGCAACCTTTTTAAAGAAATTCGTAATTAAATGTATTAGAACATTTTTTTGAGTATCTAATCATTTTTAGAGTGAATCAGAATATTTTTTAAGGTCAGGAAAGAAGTCAAAATTCTGTCTGGAAATCAGAGGAAAATCTGAGAATGACCAAAATTAAAAAAAATTTGTAATCTAACAAGACTTAATTGATTTTTATTACTATTTCCGACTCTCATTTAATATTAATTTATTGTTAAATATGTTAGTAACCATATTTTTGTCCCAAGAAAGCAGAAATAAGTTTAGTAAAAAGTCAGAGAATGACAGGAAAAATTGCTTGACTAAAAGTGAGGGAATTTTTTTCTCCATCCTTGCTCGACACCCTGAATTAGAAACTTAAACAGTTATAATTAAAGAAGACAATTAAGTTTATAAATAATTAAATTTTGCAGTTCCAGGCACATCGAACGACAGTCTTTGGATTTGTTTGATTTGCGGACACATTGGCTGTTCGCGTTACACAAAAGGTCATGCCTTTGAGCACTATCAGGACACGCATCATTGTTACGCGATGCAATTGGGCAATAATCGTGTCTGGGACTACGTGGCCGACACTTTTGTTCATCGCTTACTTCAGGACAAGGATGGCAAAATGGTCGAGGGTCATGAGCCCTCAAAAGTCGAGGGCGCATCAATGGACGAGAAAGTCGACTCGGTTCAATTGGAATTCACCTATCTTCTCACTTCACAATTGGAAACGCAACGACAATTTTTCGAGGATCGTCTCAATAGATTTGAGCAGAGAACCGTCGCCGAGACCAGTGAATTAAGGGATAAATTGACTCAAGTCATTGAGGAAAATACCGACATGAAGGTTCGTCACAAGCGAAAGAAAATAATTACAAATACAATTCTTCCCCTATGAAGAAGCAATTTATATTAAAATTCGAAGAAAATTTCTTAATTTTCTAGTTTACTTATTACTAGCAAATGCGAAACATGATATTCAATTTATTATTATTACTATGCAAATTATAAAATTTTTTATTTTCAAATTTAAATTTTTGAATAATTTCATAATCAGAATTATTTTCCTAAATAATATCATTCTTCGGAAGAATTCAATTATTTTTTTAAATAGTAAAGTCTTTGAACACATTCAATTATTTTTAATTTTTTCCTTCTCGTTTCCTTCAGATTATTTACAATCTTTTTTTCTGTAAAATTCCTTGAAAAATGCCTTAATTTTCAAAACGTTTAATAGATTTCTTAAAAAATATTCAAATATCTTCTTCATGGTTGCCACACAACCTGGAAAACCTGGAAATAGCATGGAAATTGAAAAAGGATATGGAAAACCTGGAATTAGCATGGAATTTGAACGAATTTCTGGAATTTTTTTGGGTTAATGAAAGATATTAAGAAAAATTCCATTCAACATGTTTTTTTTCTTTAAAAATGTTAACATGCAATTTCCCTTTAATTTATTTTTTTTTTAATTATTGACTGAAACTGTGAAAAATGTTGTTAAGATTGTTCTAAAAAAAGGATTTTATATCTTTATTAGTATTACGATTGTCAAAATTTTTTGTTACTAGTTGCTTTTTGTTCAAGATTTTGAACAAAGTTTAAAGATAAAAATTATTTAATTTAGACATGACTTCAGTGTTCTAATTATGGCTGATTCTTCTGAAAGTGACATTTTTGATATCTCGATTAGTTTTATAGAATCTACTCTCTAATAATATTATTAACCATTTTCATAGAAAAAATTTATAATTTATAAGAGAACTAAATTTTTATGGTTTTTTTCAAACTCTTAAAAATTTTTTAAAAATAGTGTTAAAAATACAATGTTTTTCTATCATTATGTGCATTTTAAAAATTTTTGTACCTCCGTTTTATATGTGATAAAAATGTTTAAATTTTGTCTTCAGTTTAAGTTAAAATTACTTCACGATGATTAATGATGTTTTTATACATTAAAAATATTATAAAAAAAATGTGAATGCACATTAAAATAAAGTTAATGGTCTGATGTTTAATTTTTCTATATAATATTTATAAAAAATTCTTTCTTTTGAGTATGAAATAAAGTAGTTTCAATAGAAAAAACCATATAATTTAAAAAAAATAAATTGAAAAATCGAATATCAAAAGTATCACTTTCAGAAAAATAAACATAAAATTGCCTGTGATTTTAACTGTTTAAGAGAACATTAATTTATAACTACATAATAATGAATATTGTAACACTGTTTTGTAAAATACTTGTTTTTTCATCACAAATAATTCCTAAATTTGAACCTGGAATTATTAATATTTTTAACCTGGAAAACCTGGAAAAAGCCTGGAATTTTGAAATCTAGATTTTGTGGCAACCATGTTCTTTAATACTTAAGAAATTTCAATTATAATTCCAAAATTCAATTATTCAAAAAATAATTTAAAAAATTCTAAAATTGAGTTAATCTCAAAAATTCAATTATTTCTAAAATTGTATGTAAAATTTATTTTAAAAATTCAATTATTTTCCAAATTTTTAAAAAATTTTTTGTAAAATATTAAATTATATTTTATAAAAATTAGAAAATGATACAATTTGTTTATAAAAATTTAATTATGTCAATTTTTTAATAAAATTCTTGAAAAATTAAATTGTTTTTTCAGAATTTTAAATATAATTTCTTTAAAGAATTCAACTAATATATTCAAAAATTTTGATTAAATTCTTCGCAAAATTTCAATTTTTTTCATAAATAATAACATTCTGCAAAAGAATTCAATTATTTTCAATACAATTTTAATCAACTTTAATAATGAAATATTTAATTATAATATTTAACAGACACGATTATTTTTAAAATTTGAAAAAATTTAATTAAAAAACAAAAATAATTAATAATTAATAATTTTAATTTTTTGTTTAATTCAATTATTTTAAAATTTTCCAATTAAAATTATTCAAAAACTACATTATTTTGAAGAAAACACAAAGAAATTATTCAAAAGAATTAAATTATTTACAAAAACTCTAATAAAATTGTTTAAAAGAGTTTAATTTTCTATCAATAATTTTAATAAAGTTTTAATAGTAAAATTATGAATTACAATTATTAACAAAATCGATTATATTCAATAAATTAAAGAAATTTTTTAAAAGAATTCAATTATTGTCAAAAACCATTAATAATATCTATTCTTCGGAAGAATTAATTTTTTTTCTATATTTGAATAAAATTCGCTGAATGAATGAAATTATTTTAGATAATTGTAATAAAATTTGTGAGAAGAATTAAATTATTTCTAAAAATTTTTTAAAAATTCAATAAGCAAGTGTTTAATTTAATTTATTAAGAGACAAGATTATTTTAAAAACTTGAATGAAATTCTTCATAAAATTCAATTACTTTCATTATTTTTAATTAAAATTATTAAAGAAATTTTGAATATTTTTTAAAAATTCAAAGAATTTCTTAAAAAAAAAATAATTAGGATTTTGAAAAATTTAAATAAAATTCGCAAGAATTCAATTATTTTAAATCAAATTAAATTATTTTCAACAGTTTTCATAAAATTTGTAAGAAAAATTAATTATTTTAAACGTTTTAATAAAAGTTTTCGATTGAATTCAATTATTTAAAAAATTTTTAATAAAATTCTTTTAAAACATTTAATTATTTTCAAAAATTATGATAAAATTCTTCAAACTTAGATTTTTCTGCTTTATTTGTTACTTTTCTACTTTGTTTAATACTTTTCTACTTTATTTACTACTATTCTGCTTTATTTACTTTATTTTCTAATTTCTCAGGGTTGCCACAGGTCAGGAAAATCAGGAAAAAGTCAGGGAAAGTAAAATTGGTCAGGGAAGTCAGGGAAAAGTCAGGGATTTTTATTTAAGTAACTGGAAAAAATTGAATTTTGGAGAAGTTACAAATTATTGCAGAAATTCAATTATTTTCAAAAGTAATAAAATTCTTCGCAGAAATTCAATTATGTTCAAAAATTTAAAAAAATTCTCATAAAAATTCAATTATCTTTAAAAATAATAAAATTCTTCTCCAAATTTAAATTATTTTCAAAAATTTTAATAAAATTCTTTGCAAAATTTCAATTATTTTCAAAAATTTTTTCTCAATTCTATCATTTTCAATATCTACTATTTTATAATAAAATTTTTCAAAAGATTTTAATTATTAAAAAAAAAATTTTGATGAAATTCTAAGCAAACTTTCCAATAATTCAATTATTTTCATAAATAATAACATTTTTTACAAAAATCCAATTATTTTCATGAATAATAAAATTCATCATAGAATTTCAATTATTTTTAATACAATTTTAATTGAATTTCTCGAAAAAAAATCAAATTTTTTGATAAAATTCTTTATGATAATTTAGTTTCGAAAAACATTCATTTACTCAATAAATTATTTATTTTTGTAATTGTATGAATTTTTTCAAATTTTTTTTTAAATAATTGAAATAATGTAAAGAATCTTTTTTTTTTGAATTTTTTTTTAAAGAATCTTATTATTTATGAAAATAATTGAATTCCTGCATTGAATTTTATTACATTTTTTTAAATAATTAAATTCTTTTGAGAACTTTGATTAAAAAAGTAGATTGTGAAAATATTTGAATTTCATTAAATTCGTGAAATGTAATTAAATTCTTACAAAAAAATTAAGAGAATAATTCCATTTTTCTAGGAATTTACTTTAAATTGTATTATAAATAATTGAAATTCTCAGAAAAATTTTATTATTAATGAAAATAATGGAAATCTTACAAACGAATTTTATCAATTTTTTTTTAATCATTGAATTCATGTGAAAAATTGTATTACTTGTAAAAATAATTGAATTTATGCAACGAATTTTATTACATTTTATTGAAATAATTTTATTCTTTTGAAAACTTGTATTAAAAATGTAAATTTTGAAAATTTTTGAATTTCAGCGAAGAATTTCATTATTTGTGAAATGTACCTAATTTAATTCTTGCAAAAAATTTTTGAAGATAATTTTATTTTTCAAGAAATTTATTTAAAATTGTATTAAAAATAATTGAAACCATGTGAAGAATTTTATTATTTATGAAAATAATTGAATTCTTGCAACGAATTTTATTATAATTTTTGTAAATAATTTAATTTTTTTTTGAAAAATTTTATGGAAATTAAAATTTTTATAAAACATGAAGATATCAATCACTCCAATTCTTCGACTCGGAGTAATTGATATCTTCATGTTTTATAATAATATTCTTATAAGTTGTTGAATTTTAAAAATGTTTGAATTTGAATGTTTTGAAGAATTTTAATTCCTATGGAAAAATAATAATTAAATACTTATATTTAAAAATTTAGTTATTAATGTTTGCGAATAATTTTACAATTTAAGAAATTCGTAAGTAAATGTAATAGAATGTTTTTTTGAGTATCTAATAATTTTTAGAGTGAATCAGAATATTCTTTATGGTCAGGGAAAAAGTGAAAATTTTGTCTGGAAATCAGGGAAAAGTCAGGGAAAAATAAAATTAAATATTTGTGCCAACCCTGTTTCTACTATAATTTTTATTTTGAATAATTTTATTTATAATAATTTATTTAAAAATAAAAAACAATTTCGTTAAAGTGCCGTTTTTTGATTTTAGAAAAAAATCACGTCACTGACGAAGGAGAAAGTGCAAATGGAGAAGAAAATACAGGCGACGAGTCAAAAATTGGAGAAAACACAAACCGAACTTGTTGAAGAGAAGGCGTTGAGAAAGTCATTGGAAATGAATCAAACGTCCTGGCAAACGAAGCATAAGCAGCTAAGTGATGAATTAACCGAAGTGAAAAGTAAAAAAGAAGCTGAAGTCGTTGATTTAAAGGAACAATTGCGTGATATTATGTTCTTTTTTGAGGCGCAAAAACAAATTGAAAATTCCGATCATCGCGATGAAATTGCCGAGGGACGTATTATCGTTGGCCCCGAGGCAAATACATCGAAAAATAGTTCACGTCCCTCAAAGAGACACTCGAAACGTTAATTTAATTTTTTTTTTCGTTCTTTTTGAATAGTAGAAAATTAATTTTAGTAATAATTTATGTGTGATTTTTTTTAAAGAAAGAAATGGTATTTTTTATCTTCTTTTTTTGGCATTGAAAATTATTGAAAATTTTTATCTGGAGAATTCAAAAGTGATTAAAATCTTTTTCTTCTCCTAATTGTAAAAAAATGTGTTATAATACATACAGAATCTAGAAAATATAAGTGAGTGTTTTTTTACTTGAAACAAATTTTACCGTATTTTTAATAATAATTTAATAATTTTACAAAAAACTATCCATTTTCATAAAAGATGAAAAGTATTTATGAGAATTATTTTTTAGTCGTATGACTAAATTTCACAATTTGCATTCTTTTGTTTTTTTAGAGTGAAAATATTGTCAGCATTTGTCTTTATTTTGGAGGCCGGTGTTTTTCTAACCTAACGAAAATTTAATTTTTTTAAATTTTATTTATAATTTGACAAAGGTTTAAATTTATTATTACAAAACGATTGAAAGAATATTTCTAGTATAAATAGTTGTAATAAAGAGAATTATGGCACGTCACGATAATGAAGAGGAATCGGATGAGGAGAGTGAAGATTCAGAGGATGATGATGACGATGATGAAGATGAGATCACAGAATCCGGAACTAGTGTTTCAAGGAAAAAGTCGAAAATTCTCGGTGTTTCAATTGATAAATTTTCCTACAAAAGAATTCCTCGTAATTGTCTAAAAACTTCATTCATTGCAATCAATAGTCTCATTTTTGTGAGTTTTTTTGAAGAAACTTTTGTTATTTTAAATAATATTCGGCGATAATATAATTATTGGTTATTATTTTCAAAAATATTAATAAAATTCTTGGCAAGATTTTAATTATTTTCATAAATAATAATAACATTCTTCGGAAGCATTCAATTATTTTCATAAATAAAATATAGTAAAATTCTTTGCAAGAAATTCAATTATATTCAATGCAATTTTAATAAAGTTTCACGAAAGAATTCAATTACTTTCTCAAATTTTAATAAATTCTAGAAAACAATTCTATTATTTTTATAAATAGTAAAATTCTTCGCAAGAATTCAATTATTTTTCACAAATAATAACATTCTTTGAAAGAATTCAATTATTTTTATACAAAGTAATACCTATTCTTTGCCGGAATTCAATTATTTTCAATTTAATTTTAATAAAATTTCACGAAAGCATTCAATTATTTTCTGAAATAAAATAAAAAAAAATTATTCGGAGGAATCCAATTATTTAAAAAAATTTGAAAGAAATTCTTCATATAATTTAATTACTTTCAAAATTTCCAAATAAAATTATTAAAGAAACTCCATCATTTAAAAAAATTCATGAAAGTTTTAAAATGAATTTAATAAGGATTTTCAAAAATTTTAATAAAATTCTCAGTTACAAATAAATTATTTTCACAAATAATAAAATTCTTCGTAGAAGTTTTTAATTATTTTCATAAGTAATAAAATGCTTCGAAGGAATTCAATTATTTTCAAAATTTGAATAAAACTTTTGTCAAAAATTCAATTATTTTCATAGATAATAAAATTCTTTGGAGGAAAACAATTATTTTCAATTCAATTTTAATAAAGATCTTTACATAAATTCAATTATTTTCATAAATAATAAAATTCCTCGAAGGTGTTAAGTAATTTAAATTAAATTTATTTGAGATTAAGAGGAAATTGAATATAAAATATTTATCAAATTATTAAGAAAAAAACATTAAATATTTAGAAAAACAATTGTAACAATTTTTTTTGTTTTACGAATCAAGTTAACAGGAATCGCAACTTTTGTACTTTCCGTTTGGATGATGATGGACATGAAATTATTTATTGGCCAAAAAATTTACATGTCAATTCTCCTTATGGTTGCAATTTTTGGCTCTGTCGTTTCATTTTTAGGATTATTTGCCTTCGTGAAGAAACGAAAAGGTATTTTAATGGTCGTAAGTGTCCTTCACACTTTTTTAATAAAATATTTTTCAACTAATTTTCTTCTAAATTTTTAAAAATTAATTATCAATTATTTTTTGAAAATTAATTGTCAATAGTTTTTCTTTTTAATTAAGATTAACTTAATTAATTTTTTTAAATCAAATTAGAATTATTCTCTCCAATTAAATATAAATCAATTATTTTTTTAAATTAAATCAGAATTATTATTATTTTTTTAATTAAATATTTAAATTATTTACCAAAACTTTTAAATATAATTCACAAATACAATCACAAAGAAAATTTATTCTAATTTTCAGTATATTGTGCTCTATGTTATAGCCTTGTGCATGATATTTATATCGGCAATAATGAGTTTCACGTTTTTTGATAATTTGGTGAAAAGAATTCGCGACGATATGAGAAATTCCATTGAAAAATATTCTTATCTCGATTGGGCGACGGAAACTTGGGACAATACACAGCGATACGTAATTTTTTTCACATAATAATTTCATAGAGAAAAAGTTTTTTAAACAAAATTAATTAAATCGAACAAAATTAAAAATAATTTCTTCTCTCGAATAAATTTTCGAAAAATTAAAATAATTTTTTTAAAAATAGAAATTAAAATAAAATAAATAAAAATTTTCAATATAGTTTTATAATTTCGTATTTACTTTTAATATAATAAAAAATGATTTAAAACACAATAGTATTAAGCCTTTTTTTCGAAAAATTTGTTTCTTATTTAAAATTCAATTATTAATTACCTATTAATTAATTAATTAATTTAAATTCAATTATAAGCGATTTTTCAAAAATTAGCTGCAATGTTGCGGAATAAAGTCCTACAAAGATTGGTTGGAGCAAGAGAAACAAATCCCCCGAAGTTGTTGCGCTGTAAAAATGGAAGAGGTATTTTTAATTTTCAAAAATAAATTAATTAAAAAACATAATTTTTCAACTTTTATAATTTTTTTTAAATTTATTTTTCTTTTTCTTTTTCTTTCAAATTCATTCCAGTGTATAAAAATGACGGAAGAAGTGGCATATCAATCGGGATGTTTGAAGAGCGCTGTTCTTTTAATAAAATCGCACATTAATAAAGTTTCCCTAATGACATTATTTATTTCCAAAACGCTCGTGAGTTGACAAATTAACATTAATTTCCTTTTAATTTGTTTCTCTCTCCTTCCACAAAAAAAGACAAGCAAATAAATATCCTTCTTTTTTGTGCAAGGAAAAGAAAAATCAGAAGAAAAATTTGTCAACAAAATTTATTTTCTTGTTTTTGAAAATTTGATTATTTGAATGAAATAAATAATTTTAAAATTATTAATTTTTTGTAGTTGAAATAATAATGAATACAATAATTATTACAATAATAAAAATAATAAATATTTCTCCTTTTTTTCTTCATTTGCAAAATCATAAAAATACTTTACTTTTCAATTATTTTAATATTTTCTTCACCCTTTATAATAATTATTATTTCATTTCTATTTCGCATTTCATTTCGAAAGAATTAAATAATTATTGAATATTCCTAAAAGTTCATTTCAAAGAAATCCCTTTTTATTTTCTATAAAAAATTCGGCACTAATTTACAAAAAAATACTTTTTTTCTCTTGCTAAAATTTAACATTTTTTAAAAATGTACCATTTCAAAGCAAAAAAAAAAACTAATTATCTTTTTACCCTCAGATTGGAAGTATCTTCATTGCATTTTGTCTGCGTAGAAAATTGAAAAACTATTCATAAGACGACTCTGATTATTAAAAAAAAAAACAAGGAAAAAAAATCAGCACTCGCGTAAAATACTTTTTCTCCTTTTACAAATAATTATTTAACTATAAATATAAAAAATGACAAATTTTCTTTTTTAAGAAAACTTGGAACATTCTTTTCAATTTTCCTTTTTTCGACAATTACTAATTTCTTGGAAAATTGTAAATTATATTTTTTCTTTTCATTTTTCTTTTTTTCGAGAATTACTAATTCATTTTGGTGAAAATTGTAAATTATATTTTAAAAAGAAATGAAAAGAAAAAAAAGGAAAAAAATGTTGGTAAAAATTTGATGAAAATTGTAAATTAAATTATATTTTAAAAAGAAAAAAAAACTTAAAGTTAAGGATAAAAAAAAAGAAAAAAAAAGTTGGTAAAAATTTGGCGAAAATTGTAAATTAAATTACATTAAAAAAAAAGAAAAGAAGAGAAACTTAAAGTTAACGAACAAAAAAAAATAAGAAAAAAAAACTTTTCAACACAATATATAAATATATACATCTTAGAAACGACATTATTAAAAAGTAATATCACAATATACAACTTTTCTTTTTTCCTCTTTTTCTTTCCTACTGAGATGTGAATGTATTATTTTTCATGGCAATTTTTGCGGCGGCCTGTTTTTTACGAATATTTTTCGTTCTCTTTTTCATTTTATTATTATTCATTTTTGGTTGCCCTTTTTGTATGTTTTGCTTTTTATCAATTTGCGTGATTTTTTTTATCACCTGTTGAGTTTCAGGTAATTCTATTGTGTAGTTACTTTGAATGAAATCATACCACCAATGTTTTGGTTGTGAATTGGAGAAGAATTGAAATTTGTTTTTAGTTTCATCGCGAAGTTCACGTTTTGGTGTCCATGATATTAATGATTTTGACACTTTGCAAAAGAATTTACGATATTTCGAGAAGCACAATAACGCCGATGCCACGCCTTCGAGATGATCGTCTGAACCTGAAAAGAACAAATTTTTTCGATTAATCCATTTTCTAATAGTATTTTTTACTTATTACCTTCTATTTATATTTTTTTACTAAATTTTTATTTTTAATTTCCATTTTTTGCTTGTTTTTATTCTCTACTTTTATTTTAAACAAGAGTTCAATTATTTTCAAAAATAATAACATTCTTGGGAAGAATTCAATTATTTTTAAAAATAGTAAACTTCTTTGCTAAAAATCAATTACTTTCAATAAAATTTTTAATGATTCGTTCGAAAGAATTCTATTATTTTTATAAATAATAACAATCTTCGGAAAAATTCAATTATTTTAATAATATAATTTTAATGAAACTTCACGAAAGAATTCAATTATTTTCTAAAATTTGAATAAATTCTTGGAAAAAATTCAATTATTTTTATAAATATATAGTAAAATTTTTCACAAAAATTCATTTATTTTTATAATTATATAATAAAATTCTTCGCAAGAATTCAATTATTTCCAATACAATTTTAATAACATTCTTGGCAAAAATTCAATTATTTTTTTTTAAATTTAAATAAAAATCCTACACAGGAATTCAATTATTTTCAAAAATCTTGTTCCAATTTTTTGTCAGGAATTCAATTATTGTTATAAACAAATAAAAAAATTCTTCAAAATAATTTAATTATTTTTAAAACAATATGAATAAAATTTCTTGGTAAAATTCAATTATTCATAAAAACTTTAAACAAAATTTCTTGAAAGAATTCAATTATTCTTTAAAATCAATTTAAAATCAATTCAATTATTTTTTAAAAATTTTAATAGAATTCTTCGCAAGATTTCAATTATTTTCAGTACAAATTTTCATAAAATTCTTCGCAAGAATTCAATTATTTTCAATACAATTTTAATAAAATTCTTTGCAGAAATTCAATTATTGTCAAAATTTTTAATCATTTCTTGAAAAAAATTTAATTATTCTTATAAATAGTAAAATTCTTCGGTAGAATTAAATTATTTTCATTAATTAAAAAATCCTTTTCAAGAATTAAATTGTCAAAATTTTCTATTAAAACTATTAAAGAAACTCCATTATTTTAAAAAAATAAAAAATTTTAATAAAATTCGTCAAAAGAAATCAATTATTTTTCTAAGTAATAAAATTCTTCTCAAGAATTCAACTATTTTCAAAACAATTTTAATAAAATTCAATAATTAAATTTTTAATCATAATTATTAATAGACACGATTATATTAAAAGGTTAAAGATATTTTTTGAAATAATTCAATTATTAATAATAGATTTAATTTTAATTTTTCACTTGATTTTTGTCAAAAGAATTGGATTTTGTTTACTTTTAATTGTAGTTTTTTCTCTTTTACTTAATAAATAATTATTTTCGCCTCGATTATAATTAATTAATAATTTATTTAAAATAGATTTCGAAGAAATACCTTCATCTGAATCTAGCAAATCGCACAATTGCTCGACAATTTGACTGAGGTGCCCATCATTGTCTTCTTCCGGAAAAGATCGCATAACATTTCCTGTAGAAATAAAATTTTTAAATATTACTTTTAAAATAAGAATAAGAAAAAAATTACGATAAAGTAATAATATTATACAAAAATATAATTCCAATAAAATAATTATTTTTTTGCAAATAACAAAAAAAAATAAATAAATAACAAAAATAATTCTATTAATTAAATTGTAATTTTATTTCTATAGATTGTATTTTTTATTATTAAAGAAATAATAAAATTTTACCAAGTAAAGTGAACGCGTCATAAGGAGATTTGTGCCTTTTTCCAACAATTAACTGTTTCAAACCGGATTCGCCCTGAATTATCATTTTTTGCGTCCATTTCGGTCCCATACTCTTCGACAGTAAAATAATTGCAGTGTCGATGCTTCTTTCATGTTTTTCTGAAAATAAACAAGAAAAACGTTTAAATTAAAAAAATTAATTTTATAATATCTTAAATTATAAATTATATTTATACATTAAATATTGAATTAAAAATTATATTTTATGATTAAAATACTGAAAAAAAGAATAGATGTTAAATATTTTCAAAATACATACTTTCCAATGCAGACAAACATTCAGTGGCGAGTTGATCGGGAAACATTTCACTCAACGGATAATTATAAAGATCTCTGTTTGTTAGAAGTTTTTTTAATGCCTCATAGCATCCTTTAATTGTATATATAATATATGCCATGCATTTGGGTAAAATTTCTGCAATAAAAAATGTCTTTTTAATTAAACCATTCTTATAAAGTAATAATTAAAGTAACATTTAAATTAAAAATATGAAAATAGTGAAAATAATTTTTTTTCTTTTTACCTATATTTGAATCATAATTGGGAAAAACTTCTGACCAGCAGGTGAGAACGACAAAAATTGCAGCATTCGCTTTAAAACGATAACAATATAGTGCATCGATAATAAATAATCTTGCTCTTTCTCTGTCTTTCTTTAATCTTGACATACAAGTGAATATGCGTGACAGTCCTTCGACAACACATTTCTGAAAGTTTTTTAAAAATTAATTATTAAAACATGTAATAAAATTGATCAATTTTAAATGAAACAATGGAAATCAAAATTGATAATTCAAATAAAGCAAAAGTTAATATTAATAATTTGAATAAAAAATGAAAATTAAAATTAAAAGAAGAAAGAAAATAAGACCCAAAAATAGAGAAGAAAAGAGTTAAATATAAAAGAAAGAAAACAAAAAAAAATACTAACATCCGGAGCGTAGCCGAGTCTGAAGAGCGAGTAATTAATGCCGTGGAAAATGAATTCAAAAATACTGAGATTTTCGATTTGTTTGCATTTTTCTTCAAGAGCCGAAATTAAAGTGATTATTTTTTGTTGTGTCCTCGTCATCATTGGAGCCGGTGGTGTGTGCGTTGAATCCATTGATTCATTTTCAGTGCATTTTTTTGTCAGAACATTCAAAATACATCTGTGAAAATACAGAAAAAATAAAGTTCAAAGTTTAAAACACAATTTAAAAAACGAAATAATTAATTCGATTTTTTTTATTTTTATGTATTTATTATTTTTTTTAATACTTTTACTTACTCGAGGCTTTATTCAAATTACACTATAAATTATTAATAATTGTAACTTTTTCTATTTTCAAAATTGAGAAAAAGTTTATGATTAATAATTAATTTTTTTTTCTTGCCTAAAAAAAACAACTTATTTTAGAAAAAAAAATTAAAATATACTCACTTGGCTGTTGTTCTGATGTCATTTAATGTCCAAATTTCTTCTACTACTTGAAAATGTAATTCACTCGTCCAATCTTTATCGTCTACTAATCGATTTATTTGATATAAAATTCTCTTTTCTGCAAAAAAGAAAAATTTTGTCAGTTTTTCATTTTGACAAATTTACAAAAAATAATTACACTCGTTTTGAAATTAAGTTTATTACTGTGAAAATTAAATATATACCTATAAAATTAAAAAAATTGGTAAATTTTTACTATAATTCATATTTATTATTCACTTATTCAAAGAATAAGTTTTGTAGAAATATTTTCGCAAGAAAACATTAGAAATTATATTATTTGTATTGCGACGAATTTTATTTTTAATTTTTGACAATAATTGAATTGTTTCGAAGAATTTCATTAGAATTTGTTTTAATTATTCATTTCTTTAAACTTTTTAAAATTAATAGAATTTGATCAAGAAATTTCATGAAAATTGTATTGAAATTAATTGAATGCTTGAAGCGAATTTTATTTAAATTTTTGAAAAATACATAATTAAACTATTTCTTTCAATTCCTTTAAGAAATTTTATTAAAACTGAATTGAAAATAATTAAATTTATGCGAAGCACTTCATTATTTATAAAAATAATTTTAAAAACATTTGTCTAATAGTAAAAAAACAAATTCAATTGTTTCGACAATATTTTTAATTCTTTTGAGGAATTTAATTAAAATTTTTGCAAAATAATTAAATTCATTTAACGAATTCTATTAAATTATTTGTTTAGAAGAATTTCATCAAAATATATGAAAATAATTAAATTCTAATAAACATATGTATTTTTATTAAAATCTTTGAAAACAATATTAAATTAGTCAATTTTATTAAAATTGTATTGAGAATAATTGAATTCTTCCGAAGATTTTTATTATTGATAAAAATAATTGAATTCCTGCTAAGAATTTTATTAAAATATTTATGAATAATTGAATTTTATAACTAAATTTAATTCAAATTATATTCAAAATAATTGAATTAATCCGAATAATTTCTTTATTTAAGAAAATAATTGAATTCTTGCCAAGAATTTTAACAAAAATTTTACTAAAATTAATGGAATTCTTTCAAGAAATTTTATTAAATTTTTTATATATAATTGAATTACTGCGCAGAATGTTATTAAAAATTTTGTTAAATAATTGAATTCTTTCAAGAAATTTTATTAATATTTTTATAAATAATTGAATTTATCAAGAAATTTTATTCAAATTATATTCAAAATAATTGAATTCTTGTCAAGAAATTTAACAAAAATTTAAAAGTAATTAAATTTCTGGGAAGAATTTTATTAAAATTTTAAAAAACTAATTGAATTTTTACGCTAAATTTTATTAAAATTGTTTTGAAAATAATTGAATTCTTTCGCGAAATTTTATTAAAATTATATTGAAAATAATTGAATTCCTACAAATATTTAAAAAAATAATTGAATTCTTTCAAGAAATTTTAGTAAATTTTTCATGAATAAATTGAATTTATCATGAAATTTTATTAAAATTGTATTGAAAATAATTGAATTCCTCTGAAGAATTTTTTTATTTATAACAATAATTGAATTCTTGACAAAGATTTGAACAAATTCTTTTAAAATACTTAATAATTGAATTCCTGCGAAGGATTTTTTATTAAAATTTAAAAAAAATAATTGGATTTTGGCTAAGTTTGTTATTAAAATTGTATTGAAAATAATTGAATTGTTGCGAAGTATTTTATGATTTACGAAAATAATTGAATTTAAGGAAAACAAAATTTCAAAAAAAGAACAAAATTTCAAAAAAATTTGTCTCACCTAAACTTGTTTGTGATGCTCGACTTTTCTTAGGTATCGATGAAAACGGACGATTCATATGTTGAAACATTGGATTAGTAAATGACAAATTGAGACACTTAAAGTCCCTGTACACTTTCTGATGAATTTTTCCCTCCATCGAAGACACTTGACTATCGTTAGAGAATTTTTCGTCAACATTTTCATTATTACTCTTCGGCATATTATTTAAAGCTGCACTGGCAATTTTCCACGATTCATTCACTTGATCGATTTCATTAAAATCGTCTGTTACAATCATTAAAGTTGATTCACTCTCCGTATCGCTCTCGTCGCTATTTTCCTCATCAATTTCCCCATCAGGCGATAATGGCGATTCCAAATCGTCATTTTGGAAATTTTCCCTCTCCTCTTGTAATTTATTGTCTTCCTTCTCTCCGTCGGATTTCATTTCTTCATCATTCGCAAATTGAGGGGATGAATTTTGATTTTTATTCGGTGAATTCGTTTGTTTTGCTTTCTCCAATTTTCTCGCTTCCAACGAATTTTTCTTTGGTGATTTCGATTCTTTTTGATTTGGAATAAGCGGATTTTTATCTGTTGATTTCGCTTTTAGTAAATTCGCTGAATTCGTCGAGCTTGCTAAATTTGTCGAATTCGTCTCAAGTGAATTTTTCTGCGGCGTTTTTGACGAATTTTCGTTTAGTAAATTCTCTCCGACTGGTTTTGAAAAATTCTCATTTGCTGAATTTTCCTCCATCACTTTTGATACTTTCACCTCCTTCTTCGGTCGTCCTCTTTTTTTTACAATTGGAATTTCGCCTCCTTCTTTTTTCGTCTCCTCAACTTTTGTCGAATTTCTCAACATTCTCGTTTCTTTAATTTCCTGTGAATTTCTCTCCCTTTTATTTCTCGTTCTTAGCGAATTCTCCAAATTTTGATGACTAGATTGCGACGAAACAAATGAATTGCGCGCAGCGCCTGGCGATTTCGATGCGGAACGTAAAGATTTTCTTATTATTGGAATTTGTTGTGGTTCGTCATCATCAATTTTTGGTGTATGAGCAATTCTTCGTTTCTTACTGATCACGGGGGGGAAATTATTTTCCTCATTGCTGGTGATGATATTTGATGATTTGATATTAATTTCCGTTTTTTTCACGTCCTTCTTGACAATTGCCGTCGATGTTGTTGTTGTCGTCATCATCATTTCACTTGAACGTTTCTTTAGGGTACGCATTTTCGTTAAAAGACTCGTTCTCGTTGTTTTCTGATGATTTACAATATTTACAACGTCAGCGGATTTTCTTTTTCGTCCCCGTCTCTTGGGACTTATTAAAGTGAGACGCATTTCCGTTGAACGATTTCCATGAATTGAATTTCGTGGGATTTTCGCAACGTCCGAATTCGAGAGGAAAATGTCAATTTTTTCGGTTGATTCCAATTCTTTTTGGTTTAATTCCGATTCTTCGATTAATTGCGATTCACTCAATTTCGATTTTGCTTGATTTGTTTTCGAAATATTTTTTTTCAAGTCCGAGTCTTTTGAATTCAATTCCGATTCTTTTAATTTCAATTCTTCTTTTGAATTCAATTCCGATTCTTTTAATTTCAATTCTTCTTTTGAATTCAATTTCGATTCTTTTAATTTCAATTCTTCTTTTAAATTCAATTCCGATTCTTTTATTTTCAATTCTTCTTTTGAATTGAATTCCAATTCTTCTAGTTTCAATTCTTCTTCTGAATTCAATTCCGATTTCTTTGAATTCAATTCTTTTGCGGATTCTTCTTCGTTTTCGTCGATTTGAGATTCTTCGGGATTGATTTGCGATTTTTCGGTGGAAAGCGTTAGAAACGATGCATTACAATCGAGAATTGACTCGTCGGAGAAGGAAATTTCTCCCAAAACATCAATGGCACTCAATAATTCCTCGGGTAAATTTTCATTGGACGAATTTGAAGAATTTTTCCCCTTAGTTTCATCTTCGAAATTTGTTGATTTAGCTGAATTTTTTAATTCCTTGTCCAAAATTATTTTCTCTTCTTTCAAATTTGTCGACTTTTCCTCTGAATATTGGATTTCATTCTGTTCTTTGCAGTTTTCATTTACTGTTTCTTCAATTTTTTCTATTTTCTCTTCTAAATTTGTCGAATTCTCCTCTAAAATTTGCACTTTTTTCTCCTTTTCGTTTTCTTTCTTTGAATATTCCATTTTTTCTTCCAAATTCGACTTTTTCGGTGTTTTTTCCAACTTTTGCAATTCCTCCCCATTTTTTAATTCAAGGGACGAATTTTCTAATTTCCCCTCCGAATTTATTGACAAAATTTGCAATTTTTTCTCGTCTTTGTCTAAATTTTCCTTTTCTTCCTCCGATTTCGGCAATTTTTCATTTTCAAATTCAGTCCTAGAATTTTGTATTTCTTCCATCGAATTTGTTTCTCGCTCTAAATTTTCAATTTTCTCCTTCGAACATTTTTTCTCTAAATTTTGCAATATTTCCTCTTTCTCGAATTCTTTTTCTAAATTTTCAATTTTCTCCCCTGAATTTTTTACATTTTCTTTCGAACACTTCGTCGTCGTCGACATCGTCTTGTCTTCCCCATCTTCTTCATTTTCCATTTTATTAACAAAATTCTCCCCATTTTCCTCTTTTTTACAATTTTCATCCTTTTCAAAAATTTCAAATTCTTGTAAAATTTCGAATTCCTTGAAATTTTCGACATTCTTCGTTATTAAATTTCCTTCCTGTAAATTGTGAAAACCCTTAAAATTTTCCATGGAACTTTCATTATTTTGCGAATTCTCCAATTCCACAGAACTTTGAAACATTCCGAAACTTTCCGATTGCTGCAAACTTTCGATTTTTGGAAATTCCTCGTAATTTTGTACTTCTTCTTCTTCTTCTTCTTCTTTTAGGGAAATTTCCCCTTTCTCTGAATTTTCAATTTCCATTTTTGTCTCTGGATCATTTTCTCCTATTTTTCGAATTGAATTTAATGGCTGTTCGATTTTATTCTCCAAATAAATTTCATTTACCTCCTTAATTTGTTGAATTTGAACATTTTCTTGAAAATTCGAAATTAAAATTTCAGAGTTCTTGTTGATTTGAATATTTTCCGTTTTTGTGACAGTTTCACAATTTTCAACGAATCGTGGAGAATTTATTTTTCTTTGAACTTTTGGGGAAATTTTCACAGTTCGGGTTCTATTTTTTCTCGGCGTTGATGTTGTAATAGAATTTTCCAATTTTTCATCCAAAATTTGTATTTCCGTTCCATTTGGTTGATTTAATTTCAAATCTTTCGTTTCTTCTTCTTCTTCTTCTTCTTCATCTTTTGGTCTCAAAATTTTCCTCTGCAAGTTCGAATTTCCCGTCGGTAAAATTATTTCGGGAGTTTTTAATTTCTTCGAATTTTTAAATGACGAGGTAATAAAAATCGATTCAATCTCCTGAGAATTGTTTTCTCCTAAATTTTGTTCTTTCATTTCAGAAAATTCTCCAGGAATTCGATTTTCTACACTTTCGGTTGTGTTTGAACTATTGATTAAAGATTCATTTTCCCCGGAGGACGAGAATGTTTCATTATTCCCCTTTTTTCGTTTATTCGACTTTTTAATTGTGGAATTTGCCCTTTTCAATAGTTTCGAATGATCGATTAATTGTGGAATTTTGAAAGTGTCGATTTGCGATGTTGATGCTTCGGAATTTATTGTCGATTCAATCGACCAATTTGTTGTATTTTTCGTTTTTGTTTTTTTCTTTTTTTCCTTCTTCTTTTTTGTTATTGATTTTCGTGTATTTTGGCAGCGTTTTAATTTCTTTTGAGATTTTTTCGGTTCATCTCGATCGAGTAATTTTTTCCACATCTGAAACATGAGATCTTGATTTCCCGAATTTGAGTGACAACATTGAGCTTTCTTCTCCGATTTTTTGTTACTCTTTATAACTCGCTCGAGAGTTTTTAAAGTCTTCGTTAGGATCTTCAAAGTTTCGGAATCCTCCTGTTTCACTTGATTTTCGATATTATTTTCCAGTGCAACGGGAACTTCGTTCTTCACTTTTGATTCAATTTTCTTGTCTTCCAGTTTGGCGAAACTCTCCGATGACTTGAATTTATATTGTTTGTCTGAAAAGAAAATTGATTTTTAATTTTATTTTCGATTAAATATTTCGAAAAAGAAAAATTTTAGAATAAAAATTCTCACTTTCTGGCAGAAATGGTTGAATCATTGGCTCGGGAACTTTGAAGGTTTGCACGAGATTATTGAGAGCAATGTCGCATTTTTCACAGAGAAAAGTGGAACTTTTCGTTGTCTTTCTGCTCGTACTTGGAATATTTTTCTTTGTTGGTACCTGCGGAATTTTTGGATCTAGCCGAACGTTTGTTCCTGAAAAAAGAAATTTTAATGTAAAAGAAAATAACTCTAAAAAAGTAGAAACGAATTCAAAAATTTAAATAATTAAAATTTAAAAAGAACAACAAATTTTAATTAATTTAAACTCTACAAAAAATATTTATTCTTCTTACCATGTTCAACGACTTTTACTTTATCCGTATTTGTACCTTGATTCTTTTTCGCAGGTCCCTTTTTTAATTTTTTCAATTCTAATTCCAGCGTTTTTACCTTTTCTGAAAAATAAATTTTGAAAAAACTTGAAATATTACAGAAAATTTGAAATTATATTCGAAATATTTGAGAAAATTTAAAGAGAAATTAATTACCCTCGAATTTCAATTCTGTGTCCATTAATTTTCCCGAACTTCTATTTTCAATACTGTCAATTTTACAATTTAATTGTTCAATGAATCTTTGATCGCCAGCAATTTTCGTCTCTAAATCGCCAATTTTTGTAACGTAAGATTCTATTGTTTTTCGCTGTTCAGTATTTTGCTGAAAAAATTAAAGGTTTACATTAAAAACTGTTTTATTTTGTTTGAGAGAAAATTTAAAATTATGTTCTCAGGGCTCGAACCAGTGAAAGTATTTAAAAATACGGACTTTACAGACCAAATGAAAAATTACGGACAAAAAATAATCAAAATTCAATTATTTCTAAAAATTCATGTTATATTACTTTTAATATTCAATTATCATCTAAAATTTTTATTGAAATTCATTTTTAAATTAATTTTTATTACAAAATTCAATTCCCACAAAGCATTTTTTTAAACAAATTTTTAAATAATTGAATTCTTTCGACGATTTTTAATAAAATTTTTAAGAATAATTACATTTTTCGAAAAATTTGATTAAAGTATTAATGAAATTCTTCGAAAGAATTCAATTATTATAAACTCAAATTTTTAAATCAATTTTTATTAGAAAATTCTACTAGAATTCAATTATTTATATAAAAAAAAACAATTTATTGAATAATTGCATATTTCTTAAAATTGAATTCTCATAAAGAATTTTATCAATAAATTTTTAAATAATTGAATTCTTTTGATAAATTTTAATAAAATTTTTATATATATTTTTCGAAGAATTCGATTAAAATTTTATTAAAAATAATTGAAATTCTGCAATGAGTTTTATTATTTATGAAAATAATTGAAAACCTATAAAGTTTTTTATGATTTTCGTAAATAATTGAATCGATGTAAAAATTTTATTAGGAAAATAATTGAATGATTGCGAAGAAATTTATAAAAAATTGAATTCCTGTGAAATTTTTATTATTTTATGAAAATAATTAAAGGTTTGCGTAGAATTTTATTAAAAATTTTTTAAATAATTGAATTCTTTTTGACAATTTTGTTAAAATAGTAAATATTGAAAATCATTGATTAGGGAAAGTTTTTGAAAATAATTGAAATGTTGCCAAGAATTTTATTACAATTTTTGAAAATAAAAATTGAATTTCGGAGAAGAATTAAAATTATTTCTAAAGATAATTGAAATTTTGTAATAATAATAATAATGTAATTTTGACAAGAATTTTTTTACTTTTGAAAATAATTGAATTTCTCCAATAATTTGTAATTTCTTTAAAATTCTCCAAATTATATCGTACAATTTACGAACTTTTTGTCTTTTCTCAATCAAATTACAGACTTCACGGACCTTTTTTTGAAAAAACGGACTTTTACGGACAAATATTCTCAGTACTTACAAGTTCCTGTTTTATTAATTTGGAAAGAGTCGTGTTGTAATTGTTTTTCATTTCATTTGCTTCGGCGCGAGCTTTTCGCAAAGAAATTGTCAATTGTTCGCATTCCTTTTTCTTGTCATTGTAATACTGAATTAAATCACTGAAAGAAAAAGAATATATAATCAAAAACCACCTTTTTAACTCTCTTATTAATTTAATTAACAAAGAAAATATTTTCCAAATAAAAAACTTACTGCGAACGACACATTTTCTTTTTCAAAAGTTCCAGGGACTTGATTCTCTCAACTTTCTGCAAATCATTCTGAAAAGAGAGAATTTTTATTATCTACTATTAAACAATTATTTTCTTATTCTTATTATTATTATTCTTTTCATCTTATTATAAATAATAAAATACATCATGGAATTTTATCAAGAAATTTTATTAAAATTGTATTGAAAATAATTGAATTCCTCTAAAACATTTTTTTATTTATAACAATAATTGAATTCCTAACAAAAATTTTTGAAAATAATTGAACTCCTGCGAAGGATTTTTATTTAAATTTAATCAAAATAATTGAATTTTTGCCAATAATGTTATTAAAATTGTTTTTTTTCAATTATTGAAAATAATTGAATTCTTGCAAAGAATTTTATTATAATTACAAAAATAAATGAATTCTTGTGAAAAATTTTATTATTTATATAAATAATTGAATTTTTTTCCAAAAATGTATTGAAAATTTAGAAAATTCTAATACAAATGTAAAAAAATAATTGAATCCTTTCGTGAAATTTTATGAAAATTTTATTGAAAATAATTAAATAATGTAAATATGAATTTCTTAACGTTAAAATGAGCAGAAAAATTGCTTACCATTTTTTATATGAAAAAATCAAAAGTTTTCATTGATTTTAAAAAATTGCAAGATTGCAAAATAATTTTAAGGATTTCTTGAGGAAGCGAGAAAAAATGCGAAACATTCCGAACGTTCTCAAAACGTTTCGAGAAAAAGATGTAAATTTTCAAATTTCATTTAAAGAACATTCTGGTTGAAGTCAATTTTTCAAATAAAGAGAAAATAGAGACGAAACACTTAAAGTATATAATGATCCAAATAGAAAGAATCACAAGTAATTTTAATATTATTTAAACAATTAGTTTATAAAAACGTGCGATGCAATAAACATAACCTAAAAGCCAAATTCAACATCACCGGCAATGTTGTTTTTTAATTAAATAACTTACGTTTAGATCAGTTGGTGTTTCCTCCTTTAAACTATCACAATTTATTACCTCCATTTCATCTGTTTTCATTGAAAAACCCAGCGAAATAAATGGTAAAAATATATTTTTTCTTGTACACAATTACATTTTTTTTCCTCCAGACAACCACAGAAAACAAATCGTGTAAAATCGAAAGTGGCGCCAGTGATGAATTGTGGTCATTATGGTAACCACTTTTCAGTAACGTAACAATACATACGATTTTAATTTTTCGCAAAATTTAATTTAATTTTCAAATCCAATTGTTTCTAATTACTTTATTAAGTTCTAAATTTGTTGAGAATAATGATAAAAAAAGTACTTTTTTATTATTTAGTTTATTTTCTTTTTCGAATAGGGGTAATTTTTTCTCTACATACACCCCTGATTGTTCACATATACATTGCCAAAAATCTCACATATTTCCCATATTTTGTGTATATTTTCTGTTTCTGTGAAAAAAAAATGTGAAGTATTTTTGGATTATTGTGAAATGGTTTCTTACATAAAACGAATTTTCCAACTCTATCCAATAGGCGAATCTAATGAGAAAATAGTTGATATTTAGAAGGAAATTTTCTTTAAAAAAAAATACCAGAGATATACAAAAACTGATGTCTTTCGACAATTTTGGAAATCCCAGGTAAATGTTTAAATAATTCTTATATCTGTCTTTAAGTTTTCCATTATACTTAATTTATATAGGATTCAATTGTTCAGTACTTTTAGTTTTATTATTTATACTTTTAATTACCAAACGGGAAAATTTTATGTGACCTACTTTCAATTTAGAAATATTTCAATTTTTTGAGGTTATCTTTGTGTAAACATTACTCAATCGGCAATTCTATTTGTATTAATTATTATTATTATTATTATTATTATTATTATTATATTTATTATCATTTTTATATTATAATTACAATATATATTATTATTATATTATTATATGATTTTTTTGTTATAATTTGCTGTTTTCTTAATTATTTTGTAATAAAAGATAAATACATGTTTAGGCCTTTTATTACAAAAATAATGATATTTTTACGTTTTTTTACTATATTATAGGTATTATATTTCTATATTATTATTATTATTATTATTTTAATTTTTATCATAATTATTTCACTATTATGTAATTCTTAATCCAAATGAATTCTTTTAGACGAATGATTACAAAAACTTTTGCTTAAAAATAAAATTGAAAACTAGGGAAAAAAATTAATTATTTCTATTACAACTGTGGAATTAAGTAATTAATAATAATTATACTTCCGGTGATGAATTATTGTTTTTTTTCAACGTGTTATCGTTTGCGCTGTGTGACGATTGGCTTTAATTTACGGAAGTGACCCTGAGAACCTTGAAAAGAATTAAGATAGTCGGTCAACAATTTCAGAGGAAGCTATTTAGAAGCTCGTCTTTGCTCGTCTTCGTCTGCTCGCAGAATTTCTTTTTTTTAAAGAGGCGTTCGCTCTTCTCTAAAAATAAAACACCCGTGGCGTTTTCTTCTTTCTTTTTTTCTTTTTTTGCTTTTCGTGATGCGAAATGAAATTCGCCATTAATTTTTATTTTATATAATTTAAATAATGAACGTAGTCATTTTTTAAAAATTTTCATTGTAAATTTGGAAAATAATTGAATTATAAACAAAGAATTTTTTTCAACTTTTTAAAAGAATCGTGTCTGTTAATTATAAGGAAAAATTTTATTGTTGAATTTTATTAAAATTGTGTTAAAAAGAAATTGAATTCCTGAAAAGAATTTTATTATTCGTGAAAATAATTGAATTTTTGCGAAGAATTTTTTTATTTTAGAAATTAATTGAATTTTTGCGAAAAATTTTATTAAAATTGTATAGAAAATAATTGAATTCCTCCCAATAATTTCTTTATTTAAGAAAATAATTGAATTCTTGACAAGAATTTTAACAAAAATTTTGATAATAATAATTGAATTTATGCGAAGAATTTGATTAAAATTGCTTGAAAATAATTAAATTGTTTCCAAGAATTTATTCAAATTTTAGAAAATTATTGAATATTAAAATTGTATTGAAACTAATTGAAATCCTGCCAAGGATTTTTATTAAAATTTTTAAAAAATAATTGAATTTTATGAAAATTGTATTGAAAATATTTGAATTAATCCGAATAATTTCTTTATGTAAGAAAATAATTGAATTCTTGCCAAGAATTTAAACAAAAATTTTACTGAAATTAATGGAATTCTTCTAAAGAATTTTAACAAAATTTTTAAATAAATAATTGAATTCTTTCAAGAAATTTTATTAAATTTTTTATATATAATTGAATTACTGCGAAGAATTTTATTAAAATTGTATTGAAATAAATTGAAATCTTGCGAAGAATTTTTTTTAATTTTTTAGAAATATTAAACAAAAATAACATTTGCAACACTTAAATAATAATTTCATTAAATAATAATTAATATTAATAAAACACTGGTACATTGTATCGAGGTACTTTGTCCAATTTAAGACAAGTGCCAATTGAACTTGTTACAATGTTTTTTTTTTCTTTACTAACCGACAAAAAAATTTCCTATGCTATTTTTGCGGGACGCAAAAAAAGAAATAATAAATCCACTGTTTTGTATACGTACAATTTCGATTAAATAGAGAAGGATGTGGAACGACGAGAATAAAAAAAAAGAAAATAAAAATAAAAAAAAAAATAAAACTAGTGACTGAAAACACCCAATGAATTAAATCTTCGAGATGCAAATGGGTTTAAATTAGATTTGAACTTCTTGTGTTAGCGCCAAGTGTTCATTTTAAAATCCATTGTCATGGCCTGACATCGAACCGTATCGTTCGCAATTTTTATTTTTATTTCAATTTTTTTTACGTGAATTATTTGCTTAATTATTTTTTTTCTATATTAAACGTGAATTTTTAAAAAGAAACGAAAAGAAAAACAATCGGACGAAAATGGTGGTTTTAGAAATATATTATCGGGCTATTTTTAGCAAGCGAAGTGCACTGTAAGTGTTTTTGTGATTATTTTTAATTTTTTGTTAATTACAATTTTTTTATTTTCTATTTTTCTTTTATTTCAATTTTCCTTGTTTCATAATTTCTACTTTTTTATTTTGATATTATTCCTAAAATTTCGATTTTTACTATAATTTTCGTTATTATTTCCTAATTTCTATTTAAAATAATTTTTTTATTATTGTTTCTAGTTTTTTTATTTTATTTTTATAGTTTATTATTTATATTTATGTTATTATTAATTTTTAACTTTAATTCTTTTAATTTTAAAATTTAATTTAATTCTATTTTTTTCTTACTTTTTTCAGAGAAATTATGAAAGATACACCGTACAACATCATTCCACTTCATCACAGACCAGAATTAATAAATCAGTGCTGTAAATTATTAAATTCAGAATGGCGTCGAAGTGATAAAGCACGGTATGTTAATTACTTAATTAATTCACATGAAAAAAGAGACAAAATTTTCTATTCACTAAAATTTAATAATAAATTTTCACTTTTAACGTAAATGGAAAATTTTCTCTATATTTCTTTATTCACTTTTTCAATATTAATTTACCTTCTCGTAAAAAAAACTAAGAGGGCATTGAGAAGATAATAACAAATTGAGAAAGTATTTTTTGTAAATATTACTTTAAAAAGAAAAATACTTCTATTTTCTTTTTTACAGACTCATCAGTTTGAGTTCCTCGTGTGATAAATTTCCAACGTCTCTAATTCTTCTCGACAATGACAAAGTCATTGGACATTGTAAAATTTCTTTAATACCCAGCATAGACGACTGCTGTGTTATTGAATCATGTGAGTGATAAATTTTCCCGAAAATAATAACATAATAAGGGTTGCCACAGTTTAGAGAAGTTAGGAAATTCAGGGAAAAGTCAGGGATTTTTACTAAAAGTACTGGAAAAAATTAAATTTTTAGAATTCATAAGAAAATTCTGAACTTTGGTATATTTTTCGTTTACCTCATAAACTATAAAATTACCACGATTTCTAATAAAAAACCTTCAAATTTTTCTATTTCTGACAATAATTTCTTTTTAAATAACTTAATTCGTGAAGAACTATCATCAAATTATTATACTTATACATTATACGTTTTAAACATTTTTAAAGTTATATTTATTGTTAAATAAATAATATGCATTGTCCTAAATAATTTTATAACATTCGTTTATCCTTAAGAAATAATTTGCAACTTGATAGATCACTTAATGTTAATTTAAACAAAAGTTATTAACAAAAATGATTGGACGAATATATTCGGCTTTTTACGCAGGAGGGTTAATTTGAAATTTTAGAAAATTTCAATTATCAATTAATTTAATTAAAAATTTTAAAGAACTTAGATTTAAAAGCACTAACAAAAATTGAATTTTGGAAAAGTTTTTCAAATACTTGCAGAAATTCAATTATTTTTAAAAGTAATAAAATTCTTCGCAAAAATTCATTTATGTTCAAAAATTTTTTTTAAATTTCCTCAAAATTTCAATTATTTTTATAAATAATAAAATTCTTCTCCGAAATTCAATCATTATTCGGAGGAATTCAATTATTTTGAGTACAATTTGAATAAAACTTCTTGATAAAATTCAATTATTTTCAAAATTTTAATAAAATTCTTCACAAGAATTACCTAAATTACTTTCATAAATAAAAAATTTTTCTCAGGAATTCAATTATTTTTAACACAATTTTAAAAACATTCAGTAATCAAATTTTTAATGATAACTACATAATTAACAAACAAGATTATTTTAAAAATTGAAAAAACATATCTTATTTAAATCAATTATTTTTCAAAATTTTCAATTAATACTATTCAAAAAGCGACATTATTTTCAAAAAACTTATAGAAATTCTTGAAAATAATTTAATTATTAAGAAAAACTGTACGAAACTCTAAGAAAATTGTTTAAAAAAATTTATTTTTCTATTAATAATTTTAATAAAATTGAATAGTAAACTTATTAATTATAATTATTAACAAAAATAAAAGATATATTTTGAAAGAATTCAATTTTTTAAAAATATTTTAATAAAATTTCTTGTCTGCATTAAATTATTTTAAAAAATTGTAACAAAATTCTGAGAAGAATTCAATTATTTTCCAGAAGTTGTATTTAAGTTCAATAATCAAATGTTTAATTTTAATTATTAACAAACACGATTATTTTAAAAACTTGAAAGAAATTCTTTATAATTTTCAATATTTTCAGTTAAAATTATTAAAGAAACTGCATTAATTGAGAAAGAAATTCAAAGAAATTCTTCAAAAGAATTTAATAAGGTTTTTCAAAATTTTTAAAAAAATTTTCGCAATATTTCAATTATTTTTATAAATAATAAAATTTTTTACATGGATTCAACAATTATTTTCATAAATTTCAAGAAACGTTCAATTACTCAGTTATTTTGAAAAATTTGGATACAATTCTTTATGAGAATTCAATTTTAGGAAACATTTAGTTATTCAATAAACTATTTATTTTTGTATTTAAATAAATGAATTCTCGTAGAATTTTTTGATAAGAATTTATTTAAAAATGAGTTTCAGTTTCAAATTTTACCTATTTAATAATTGAATATTAAAATTATTATAGCGTGAATTTTTAGAAATAATTGGATTTTGAAAAGATTCAAATTAAAATCTTTGAAAATTTGAATTTTTCATACTTTTAACTAACAATTCTGTAGAATTTATTTTTTTGAAAATGTTTATTTGAATTCTTTGTTTGAAATTAAGTTTCAAGTTTTTATTTTCTAATATACATTTAATTAAAGAATTTACGATTAATCGAAATTTCGTGTAAAATTTAATTGTAAACAAATGGATTTGAAAATTCTCAAAAAAATTTTCTTTCAAAAATTATTAAAATTAATTGATTTGGAGAAGATTTTTAGTTAAAAATTCTAGAAAATAATAATTGAATTAAAATGATGAAAATAATTTTTAAACCGTTACATTAACAATATTCTTATAATATAAAATCGATGACTCCGAGTCGAAGACTCGATTTCTTTTTGTTTTATAATAATTTTCTTATGAGTTGTTGAATTTCAAAAAGGTTTGAATTTGAATGTTTTGAAAATCTTAATTCCTATGGAAAAATTCTAATGATTAAATATTTATTTAAAAAAGAAGTTTTTGTTGTTTTCGAATAATTTTACAATTAAAGAAATTCGTAAGTAAAGAACATTTTTTTGAGTAGGGGAGAGGGCCCCAAGGTGGTCAGGGCCCTTAAGGTGGTCACCCTAAGAAAATTTTTGTATATTAGTTAGTATCTTCAAATGTTTTTTGTTATTGTTATTATTTGAGAAGACAAAGATTTTAGTAAAGTTTTGAGGTAAATAGTCGTATGAGTCTCTTTGTAACGTGAACGTCGTAAAATTTCTGTTTTTAAATGATCGAAAAATTTTTTTCTCAGGGTGTTAAAATCATCGAAATTAACCATTTTAAATTAGTAAAAATCGTTATAATTATCTTTATATATCGTACAATAATATTCCAAATGAATATAATTAATATTGTGCTTTAAAAAATTTTTTCATTAACGTTTAAAAAATTCTTTCTTGGCCCTAAGGTGGACACTTTTTTGGCCACAAGGTGGTCACTTTTGATTTTTTATGAAAATATGTTTATACGCCATATTTATCAACATTTATCACTGTGAATGCGAATTTTATCAATTTTTAAGTTTTATGATGAATAATAATAAAATAGAATTATTTTCAAAAGTTTACCTATCTAATACATACACAAAAAGTATCATTTTTGACGAAAGGACAAAGTGCAAAAAAAATATGTAATATGTTTCTGTGATCCTGAAAAACAATTAATATTAAATAAACAACTTAGTAATACGTTTTTTACATTTTTTTAAAACTTTTTTAGTGAATTTTTGTATGGTGACCACCTTGGGGCCACTTTTTTAAAAGTCGAATTTTCAACTTTTTTTAAAAAGTGCCATAACTTTTTTTTTATTAATGAAATAAAAAAAACTTTATGATAGGAAGTTAGGTAATAAGATAAAGTTTCAAACGCCGTATTATTGACCTTTATATATAATTTCATTTGAAATCTACAGTCGTTCAAAAGATGGGTGACCACCTTAGGGCCCTCTCCCCTATTTAATCATTTTTGGAGTGAATCAGAATATTCTTTAGGGTAATAAGTCAAAGTTTGGCTGAGAATCAGGGAAAAACAAAATTAAATTTTAGTGGCAACCCTGATAATTATTATTATATTACACAATTACCAAAAAAGCAAAATTCATGAAGTAAACTTTATAAATTTATTTTCGTAAATTATAATTAAAATTTTATTTTAATTTTATTTTTAATTTCATTATTTTCCTATTATTCTATTATTGTCCTATTATTTCTTAAGTAAAGTATTGATTGGCGCTGTTATTTAATTATATTATTAGTATTTTTTTTATAATTTATTTATTTACTTATTTATAATTTTTTTATATTCATTTATTTTTATTTTCTATTTTATTTTTTACAATTTCTATAGCTGTATTATATTAATATTTAATTCTTAATTTAATTGATTTCTTTCTCTTCCTCTTGCCTCCTCAGTTATGATCAGTCGGGAAAATCGTTCACAAGGCCTGGGCTCAATATTATTGCGTGGCGTTGAACAATATGTGGCGAAGAGAGGAATAAAACAAGTTTTATTGACAACACGCGATCAAGAGGGTTTTTATAGAAAAAATGGCTATTCAATAAGCGAACCATTAAATCTTTATACACTAATGGAATATATGAATTCAATTAATGACATTGATAAAGAAAAGGAGATAAATCTCATTAAAAATATTATCATTGAAAATAATAAGAATAATAATAATAACAACGAACGACGTAAGGAGATACAAAAGAATGCATTTTCCGGAGCACCAACTCCACCACCATTGCCAAATTTTATTGAAAAAAAACGACAATACGAATCGCCTTACACTTATATGTGTAAAAAATTGTCATGAAATTTATTTTTATGTTTATAAATAATTAAAATATTCTTTATTTATAAAAAATTACAACCAGATACCTCTATATTATATATATATATATATTATAAAAAGAAAGAAGAAAAAACGAAACAAAGATTCGAAAATGTACAAATGAATAAAATATATTATATTATTATTATTGCTCTCTTGTCAATTCTTTAGGAAAACTTTTTCTATATCAATTCCCGTGCAAAAGGTTTAAAAAGTTTCAATTATTTTTACTTTTTTTTTAATATTCTGTTAATTAAATTCGCTAAAAATGTAAGTTACTGGAATTTTTCCTCTTCTCTATATTATTTTTTTTAATGCTATTTTTATCAATTTATTTGTAACAATAAAATTTGAAGGACTTTGAAATTTTTATAATTATTTAAATTCTTATCTTCTAATCGATTCTATAAATTTAGAAAATTTGAATAACTATTTTTTATTTTTCTATTATTATTTTCGAAGTCTATAAATTTGATAATTTACTAAAAGAAAATTTTTTTACACCGATGTTAGACCACAGACTCGTTGATAATGCTCGGGATTGTCAAGGCAATCGACGAGAAATTCGGCTAAGTAATATTTTGAAATTGTACGACCTGGTGACTCGTCATGTTTTACAGTGACTATGGAATGTCGTTCCTCTAAAAAAGAAAAAATTCAATAATATTAATCCTTTTCCTTTTTTGCAGTACCAAAAAAAAAATAAATTATCATTTTAAGAAATTAATATATTAAAATAGATTAAATTTTCATTTATATTTTACCTGCAATATGCGGTGGAAATACGGAAATCCATTTTAAACCGCTGTCCTTAATTAAATTTTGCATTTTTCGATGATCCTCAGTTATATCTTTAAAGACCGGGGGAACTTTTTCAGGTTCATAAAAAAGAAAGGCTGGAAAAAAAATTATTTTTTCTTTATTTTAGTCTTTTACTGGTTTTTTTTATTATTTAATAAATAATTATATCTTTAATTACCCGATAAGCAAACAGAAATAAGTTCAACTTTGTGCTTTTTCATTCCGTTGATGATATTTTTTATTCCTTGAGAAAAAAGTGTTGTGGGTTCTGAAAAGAAAAAAAAATTACAGAAATGAGAAACTGAATATGTAATAATAAAGTTTTAAGATTCAGATTTATTCTTTTCTTATTCAGAGATTAGGTTTTGTAGAAATATTTTCGCAAGAAAAATTGAGAAATTATGTAATTTTCCATAATTTTGCGTTAATATTGGATTCTTTTCATTTTTTTTAAAACAACTGAATTTCTGCTAAGGATTTCATTAAAAATTTTTAAAATAATAATTCAATATTCTTGCGAAGAATTTTATTATAATTTTATTGAAAATAATAATTGAATTCTTAGGAACAATTTTATTATTTCTGAAAATAATTGAATTCATCCTGGACTTCCGGTTGAGTATTGTACGTGAGAGGTGCGTGTCGCAAATCAGAGTAGAAAAAATCGAATTATTTAGATGAAAAAGTGAGAATAAGTGTTCAAATGTGCTTTTATGAGGAAGTATTAAGACCTGGTTAAAGTAATTTCGAATTATTTTATGTGTTAATTGTGGGTAGTGAATAAAGTGTTGATTTTTTATGTGTGTCTGTCTATTTTTGAGGTTAGGAAAAATGGATGATAGAAAAGAAAGTTGCGCAAAAGCGGAAATGAAAGAAGTAGGTAGTGACACCTATAAGAAAGGAAATGGAACACATAAAGAACCAGAAAAGGAAAAGAGAGGCAGAGGCAGACCTGCCGGCTCAAAAAATAAAAAACATAATAACAATGCTAAACTAGACATTATTTGGTTGAATAAAAATAAAAGTGTCGATGAAAACAGTGATAAAAACAAAGGTGAATCAGAAGGGGATTTAACTAGTTGCTCGGAAGAAAACTCAGACTCTGACTCCGCTGAGGATGATTCATTTATAACTCCATTAGTACGATCTCTTAGTTATATAAAAATAAAAAGGTTAGAAGTTATGATAAATTCGTGGTGTGATACAACAGAGGAATGGAAAAGAGAGGAAGAAGTAAAGTGGGAAAAAAGAATGGCAGAAATAGAAAAATTGATAAGGAATGAATTAGAAGATAGGAAAACGGAAAATGATAAGTGCATCAACTGTGAAAGAACTAGAATTCAGGAAGCAGAAAACGAAGCTGAATTGGCAGATTTGAAAAAAGAAGTTGAATATTACAAAGAGAAAACGAAGAAATTAGAATATATACTGAAAATGAAAGAAGATTGGATATCTGAACAATTAAAAGGCTACGAAGTAACGGCAAATAAATCAAGTGCGACAGATAATATAAGACATAATGAAGTTATAAAACAGAGATTTGATTCAGACAAAAACCAAAACTATCTTGAAAACCCGACAACAATGATAAAAATCCCGGTACTTGTTAATTCGCTATCAGAAAGATTGGATAACACTGGAAGGAGAAAAATCTGTTCAAACTTCAGAGCAAATCAACAAATTGTCAGAAAAATTAAGTGCGGAAAAATGGGAGGATGAGAGAAAGGTGAGAAGAGTTAAGAAGAAAAATGTGATTATTGTTGGGCTAACACTAATTACAAATGAGAAAAAACAGGAATTAGAAAACTGGTTTTCTAACGTGCTTAAGTTAGAAATAAGAATAGAACGATTAGAAAGGATAGAAGAAGGCTGGAGAGTTAGATTACAAGATTGGTCATCAAAAGTAAGTTTAATGAAGAAAAAATCAACTTTAAAGGATTCAGGATGGGGAGTATGGATAAAGGATGATTTAACCCTCCGTCACACACCTAGGGAGGGATTCCCTCTACGATTTCAGTATTTTTTAAATAACTTTTGTTTTCCTCATTGCAAAATAAAATTAGTTTCTATACCTTTCGACAATTTACTCCTCAACACATTTCTAAAAAAACATTTAGTTTAAACATAATTAATATTTAATTATAAAGCTTCAAAGCCAGAAAAAACTCAAAAAAGTGAGGTTATGTTAAATAAAAAAATCAAGTTTTCAAAACATTTTTTGTTCCACTGTTGGTTAATGACAAAATTATATTATAAATATAATTAAAATGAATTGTTTAATGATTTTTTTGCTTATTTGTTAATGTTACATGACTTTTACATGTCAAGTGGAATTCCTTCGAAGATGTGCATTCGTGTAATTAATTATTATTTTTGAGACCGAAAATTAATTTTATTAATTTTATATTTAGAATAATTTACTACATATTTGCAAGTTTGTGTTAAAACTAAATTTTTGTTGATTCCTTTGTTTATGTTGTAATGTTGCTTATTTTACAATGTGGTGAGGGATTCCCTCTAAACGTGTGTAAAGTCGTAATTTTTTCTCATGTGTGTGACGGAGGGTTAACAGAAAAGCAAAAGGAAGTTCATGCATGGCTAGAAAGAGAAGCGGATGCCTGGAACCGACAACGAAAAAGAGCGAGAACAGGTTATCAGAAGTTATGGGTGGATGATACATGTCTTGAATGGGATGAACTAGACGGATAATTAAAGCTTAAAAAAGTATATCAAGAGGGAAAAAATACATTTCGGAACACAGGCGAGAGTAGAAACAACTGATGAGATTGCTGTGATGCAGTGGAATGCTCAAGGCTTAAAAAACGTGCAAAAAAATAGACATTTGTGGAAAAGCATGGATATTGTAGTGTTTCAGGAAACGTTTTTAGAAGAAAAGAGGATGGTTAAAGTCTTAGAGACGCTAGACAACAAATTCGAATGGTGTGGTATGGCAGCAGTAAGGACGCATTCTAAAGAAAGAGCGAGTGGAGGGCAGCTAATCGGAATTAAAAAGAGTCTGGAAGCGAACTGGAAGAAAACAGAATGGGAGTTTGGGCTGTAGATAGAAATTAACAGGAAACAAAGAGAAGAATCCTATATTTTAATTACCGGATATAATAATAAACCCACAAATATGAAGCTATTTTTAAAAAAATTAGACCAAAAAATAGATGAACTGGAGGATTATCCAGGAAAAATAATTATTTCAGGAGACTTGAATGCAAAAATAGGAAATGAACAAGGAATAGCAGAATGTGGAATGAAAGAAGACGAAGACGATTTGATACATCCAAGGAATTCAGAAGATAAAGAACTGCGACCAGAAGGAAAGGTTCTTTTGAACTGGTGTGAAATAAGGTCAATGCTTATAATGAACGGAAGGACAGAAGAAGATCTAAGAAGGTAAAATAACATACATTGGACATGGGAAGGGCCTAGGAAGTGTCTTGGACTTAGTTATGATTAAAATGGAAGGTCAGAACGGAATACCAGAATGGTTTAAAGGGTTGAGAGTGCCAACACAAGAAGGATCAGATCATCTTCCTGTGATTTATCATCTAAAATGGAACGAAAATATCAAGAATGAAAAAGGAACTAATAAGAAAGTATTCAGACTAAAATGGAAAGAGGAAAAGACTGAAGAATTTCACAAAGAATGGAAAAATTGCTGGAACGAGAAAGAAAAATTGGAAGATCCGGACCCGGAAAGAAGATGGAGAGACATCGTGGAAACAATTAAAGAAGCGGCAGATAAAGTTGGTATGAGGATTGGCTACCGAAAAGAGTTCGAATACGAAAGTTCATGGGACAATGGAGAATATAAGGCTAAAAGAAGAGAGTTGTTTAAATTACTACACAAGTTTAGGAAAAGGAGGGATTGGACTAACAAACAGGCTTATCTGGAATGCAGAAAAGAGTTGTCAGAATTAAGACAAAGATTAATTAAAGAATGGTTAGATGAAAAACAGAAGAAAGTGGCAGAAAGTAAGAATATTACAGAATGGTGGAAGGCCATGAATTGGTATAGAAAAAAAAGGAAGGTGGTGAACAACAAAATAGAAAAAGAAACGTGGCTTAATCATTTTAAAAATTTATTGGATGGAGTTGATGAATTAGAGAACAGAGAAGAGGACGCAAAAAACTCTCCGAGTACAGATGATTACCATAAAAATAAAACACACGAGGAAAATGGTCATGGAAACTCTAATGGAGAGGAAGACGAGGAAGAGGAAAACGGAGAGGAGGACTTAAACAATCCCATAACACAAGAGGAGATTTTGGATGCCATAAGAAAATTAAAGAAAGGGAAAGCTGCTGGAGAGGATGGTATCACGGTAGAATTTCTATGCGGAATGCCAGAAGAAGGCCTGAAGGAATTCATAAAATTAATTCAAGATTTATGGAAAGAAGAAAAACTGATAGAAAGTTGGAGAATTGCAACTATTTTTACTATTTTCAAAAAAGGTGATGAGAATATAACGACGAATTACAGAGGCATTTCCTTACTAGATGTAGGATACAAAATCATAGCATCAATAATGGCAAGAAGACTGGGTCACTGGTTGGAAGCAGAGGGAAAATTAACTGAGGCACTAAGTGGCTTTAGAAGTAAAAGAGGACCCATGGAACAAGTTTTCGTTTTAAACACAGCAATTGGAAACAGATTAAAACAAAAAAGAGGCAAACTATATACAGCTTTTATTGACTTCAAAAAAGCCTTCGACTTAGTAGACAGAGAAATATTATGGGAGAAAATGGACCGAATGGGGATTAAAGGCAAATTTATAAACGTGCTAAAAGAAGTGTATAGACGAACTAGTAACGAAATTTTAGTAAAAGAAGGGAAGACAGAGAGATTCCTAACCAACAAAGGGGTAAGACAGGGATGTCCTCTTAGCCCTGTCTTATTTAACATTTTTATAAATGACTTTGAACCAGAATTAAGGAAGAAAGGAGATGGAGGCACGGCTTTAAGCTCAAGATCGAATGTAAAAATATTCGCACTGTTGTTTGCTGACGATTTGGTCTTAATGGCAGAAAATGGGAAGGATCTAGATAAAATGCTAAAACATTTAGAAAAATGGTCAGATAAAAACAAGATGGAAGTGAACACAGACAAGTCGAAAATAATGATTTTTCGAAATGGAGGAAGGAGAAAAGCTGAAAATTGGAAATACAAAGAGGAAGAAATGGAAGTGGTTGGCGAATTCAAATACCTAGGTTTCTGGTTCTCAACTAGAAATCGGTACGGTCTGCATGTTAATAAAACTGCTGGAAAAACTCAGCAACTAATTATATTAATAAAGTATGGGGAGAAACTAGAAGAGCAGCAATTTCAGACTTAAAAAGGAAACTGTATTTCATGGATGCAACGGTAAAAGCAGCAGCAATGTATGGGGTTGAATTGTGGGGCTGGGAAAGAAGGGAAGTCATTGAAACAATCTAAAGTCGATACGTGAAGACAAGTATGGGATTATCGAAAACTACACCAGATTATATCTGGAAGATGGAAGCGGGAAGAGGAAGTATAGAGATACAGGCAAGAAAAAGAGCAGGAGCTTTTATAATTAAACTATTAAAAATGGATGAGAACAGATGGCCGAGAAAGTGTTTGAAGGAAGAAGCAAGGAATATAATTAATGGAAATCCAACAAATTGGGGGAAAGGTCTAGATTTGGCACTGATGAATACAGGCGACGGCGAGTTAATCAAAGGGATTTGGGAAGAAAACTCTATAGAAAGGATGGTTAAAAGATTAACCGAAAAACAGAGGAAATTGCGAAGGACCAAGATATACAGAAGAATTTGTCAAGGATAAACCTATCCAGTTATAGCAGCTATTTTAAAGAAATTAAAAAAGATAAAGAGATGGAGACATATTGGCAAAAGAAGAAAGTTAAAAATAAATATAAAGAGACTTGGGCGAGATGGAGATGCGGCAATCCGGTAAAAGAAGACAAAAAGGGCTATGTGAACAAAACTTGTAGAGCGTGTAAAAAAGTGAACGAGACGTTGGAACATGTAATCGGATGTGATGTGATTATCGAAAGACTAGATAAACAAAATACTGAATGGTCGAGAATATGGAGGAGTGAAAACCGACAAGAAAATTGGAGAAAGGAATTATTAAAAGTGCTAACCAAAGACATAGACATTAAATGGTGTATTTTTTTGTGTAATATAGAAAAAATCTTGAAAGATATATATAAAATTACTTTTTTATCTATTGTAGTATAATATGTATTATTAAGATTAAGTATTATGTTGGAATACGGCTGCCAAAGATGTAAAACAAAATTGTAACATCAATGAAATAAAATTCTATTCTATTCTAATTGAATTCATCCTTCATAATTATTCATCATTTTTGGCAAGAGTTTTATTAAAATTTTTAAAAATAATTGAATTCTAAAGAAGAATTTTATTATTTATGAAAATAATTCAATTCTTGCGACGAATTTTATTAAAATTGTATTGAAAATAATTGAATTACTGCAAGGAATTTTATTATTTATGAAAATAATTGAATTGTTTACAAGAATTTATTAAAATTTTAAATCATAATTCAATTCTTTCGAAAAATTTTAAAAAATAATAGCAGTATTTCCAGAAATTTGATTAAAATTGTATTGAAAATAATTGTATTACTCCGAAGATTTTTTTATTTATAACAATAATTGAATTCCAGACAAGAATGTTGTTAAAATGGTATTGAAAATAATTGAATTCCTGTAAAGAATTTTCTTATATATGAAAATAATTCAATTCTTGCGACGAATTCTATTAAAATTGTATTGAAAATAATTTAATTCCTGCAAAGAATTTTACTATATTTATAGAATTAATTCAATTCTAAAGAAAAATTTTATTATTTATGAATATAATTCAATTCTTGCGACGAATTCTATTAAAATTGTTTTGAAAATAATTGAATTTATGTAAAGAAATTTACTATGTATTTGTAAAAAATAATTGAATTCTTAAAAAGAATTTATTATTTTATGAAAATAATTCAATTTTTGCAACGACTTTTATTAAAATTGCATTAAAAATAATTAAATTGGTTCCAAATCAAATTTAAATTCTTTTTTGGTGAAATTTAGTTTAAATTATATTCTGAAAATAATTTAATTCTTCTGAAGAATTTTTGTAAAATTAAAAATTTGAATCTTTTTTATAATATATTTTTATATTATATCTTACTTAAATCGTTTCTTGTGCCAAGAACAACGACAACGGCATTTGTTCCTTCAATTGCTTTTGAAACTTGCTCGGAATTTGTTACATCTCCCACATTAATTTCAATTTTTCCCTTAAATTTTTCCGGTACTTTCGTTGCGTCCCTCACAAAAACTCTCACCTTCAGACCTGTAATGAAAAAAAAAGTTTGAAAAATTCATTTATTTTAAAAATTTTTAACTCTTATATTTCTTTTTGCATGTTATAATAAATTTTTTTCTTTTCATACAAATTTAAATAAATAAATATTATTTCTCTCATTTATAAAAAATGTAATTTTTTTTCAATTTTCTTCATTATTGTTTATTTATCATTTCTTTTGTTCAATTTAAGAATTAAATTTTAATTAAAAATATAATTTAAAAAGTATAATTTGTCTATTTTGATAAGGATTTGGAATTTCTTTTTGTTTTTACATTTTAATTCTCTAACTTTTTTATATTTTTAAATTCTTTGACAACATGAGTAAACGAAAAATTGTAAATAGAAGAAATGCAAAATATATTTCAATTTTTCATTATTTCTAAAGTAAATTTAAATTATTTAAAACAAAATACGCTGATAATAATTTATTAAAAATTTTAATAATGTGAATATCAACTCTTTTTCTTATAAATATTAATGAAAAGTTTAAAAATTTAGTAAACAGGTAATTAACATAAATAATACATTATATTCAGTAATTCCTTATTTTGAACTATAATTATTATTATTATTATTATTATTATTATTATTATTATTATTATTATTATTCTATTATTATATTATTTTCATTATTATTGTAATTTTATTATTTTTACTATTACATTGTCAATGTATAATTTTTATTATCTCCATTATTTCAATCTAATTAATATAATTTTTTTTTCTTGTAAAATTTCCTGTTTATCTAAAAAAAATTTTAACAATATATTTACAATTAAAATTTACACTTAAAATTACAATAAAAATATTAATTTGTAGATAAAATAATAATTATCGATTTAATTATAAATAATATAGAAAATTACATATATTCGAACTTTGATCACTTTTGATGGGAGTAAATATTTTTCAAATTTTGATCGGAAAATAACGTATTACAATAAATAGTGACTTGTTGCTTTCATATATTGACATTGACGTAAAATAATAATCATCATCTGAAGTTAATTTACATAATAGTGAGGCAAAATTTATTATTTACTTATTTTTGAGTTTATAAAATGAAAATTGTTGAAAAATCTATAAATTATAATATATAAATAATGTTTTTTTATATATGTACCTTTTTGAACTGCATGTTCCAATGAACATAGACCGGTATTACCAGTGGCACCAAAAATGACAATTTTCATCATTTTCGTTTTGGAATAAAAAAATTGTTAGAAAAAATTTTCTTTTTCAAAAATGAGAAAATTTTATTATCGTCGAAAAATTGTTATCTCGACGATGTACGTGTATGTTTTATAGAGAAAGTGTGTTATAACAACTATATATTATGTGACAATAAAGATTTGAATTTCCAGTTCCCCCTCCTTTTTGGACAATCGAACACTGACTACGTGACTTTATCCAAGTAAACTTGAAACATTTTATTTTTCTTTCTCGCACACTCCCACTTCAATTCATTTTTTCTCACGAGTCATTGACTCTCGGCTGTTAAATCAGATTTCTATACTGATAAATTTCCATAAGTCTCCTTTGCACTTTTTTTTTGCTTCTATTTACAAATTATTTTTATTATTTGAAATTTTTCTTTTGTTTTTTAAATTTTCAAAATTTTCTTTTCTTTTCTATTGTGTTTTTTTATTTTACGCCTTTTCGTCTTTCGAGTTATTCAGTTATTTGTGAAAATTTTTTGTCCGTTTTTCTTTTCTTCCCTTTTTTAAATTTATTTTTATAATTTTATAACTGCGAGTTCTTGATTTAAAAATAAATAAATATTATAAAATAGACGATTATTAAATTAGATTCATTTTATAATTATTATAAAATAAGGAAATTGATAAAAATAAATTATTCGTATATTTACGAATACGATAGTTAATCAAATAGTAAATTAATCTTTTGATGTTAACCGATTCCCTTCCAAAAGGTATCTTCGTTTTTGTTAAAAGTCAAATATTATAAATATTTTCCGGCTTTAAAATGTTGTACCGAAAATATTCTTCTTTCGGAGAAATTTTATTTACAATTTTTCTCCTTCTCCATTTATGTACAGTTTTTTTTAAATTTTCTCGAGTAATTTATACTTTTAATATTAAATAGATATTTATCCTTTTAATATAATAAAAGGAAAAAATTCCCCTCTCTGTCTCTTTAGGGAATCAAAAAATTTCCCATATACAATCATTGGCTGATGAATCGATAACTTGAAAAAATGGATTCGTTGCTAATGATGTTGACATTTGATCTGCATCATAATTTGTATGACCAACAAATAGTTTTAAAATAATTTTTGCTTTTCTACTCATTGTGACTTGATTTGCAATATTAATTAAATTATTGACATTAAATTTATTCCAGGACGCGTCGAGCTTCTCCAGATTCATCGATGTACGCACTAAATTACACAAATTCTCCTCCTTTAAACGATGACAATTTCGACAGACGAGTATTTTTAGATGAATCATTTTCTCGAAATTCTCACCCGTCACTTTTGTCAGTCCGTTTGCTATTAAATTTTCGAGTCGCGGTTTCGTCGCCAAATGAGCGATTCCCTTTTCTGTGATTTCGAAACAGTCTGTAACAAAAAAAGAGGCAATAAAAGTTTTAGAAAGCGAATGAAAAAATTATTTCGTAGAAATACAAACTATGAAATACTTTTTTTTCTTTTCTTTTTAATAAATTAAATATCAAACGATTTTTAAATTGAAATCACCGTTAAAATTAAAATTTTGAATCATATCAATTAAAAATTCTTAAAAAAGTTAATTATAAAGAGAAAAATTTTTAAGGCAATTTTATATTAAAATTTTTTTGAAATTTTTAATTAAAATCCTTTTGAAAAAAATTACTTTTAAATTTTCGCAAAAGTTCTTTTAGAGAAATTCAATTATTTTCGAAAAATTAAACCAAAATATTTTTAAAAAATTTATTCTTAAAATTTACTTCGCATAATTTTTTAAAATTTTCTTCAGAAAAGAGTAAATTAAATTTGTTTTGAATAATCTTCATATTTATTGACTTAATCAATAAAATTTTGGAAAAATGATATATTTTTATAGATTTATAATTAAATTTCTTCAAAAAGTTGATTACAATTTTTTAATATATTTCAAAATATTGTTAAAAAAAATCCAATTATTTTCAAACCATTTTTTCTAAGTTTTTATTATTAGGAAACTTTTTAATTCTACGTAATTAAAAAAATTGATTTTCAAATATTTACTTTAATAACTTAATAAAAAAAACCCTGAAGTGTTATTATAAAACCCTGAAGAATTATTATAAAAAATTGAACTTTTGTATTTAAATAATTGAATTCTCGTAGAACTTCCCGGTAAGAATTGATTTAGAAAACAAATTTTAAGCAAAATTTTAGAAATTTTATTATTTGTAAAAATAATTTAATTCTTAAGAAAAATTTTATTATTTATGAAAATAATTTAATTCTAGAGAAAATTTTTTGAAAATAATTGAATTCTTACACAGAATTTTATTATTTATGACAATACCTAATTAAATTCTTAAGAAAAATTGTATTGAAATTTTTGTAAATATTTGAACTTGTGGAAAGAATATAATATAATAAAAATAATAAATAAAATAATAAATTTTATTAATGAATATAATTTATGAAAATAATTGAATTCTTTAGAAGAATATTATAAAAATTTTTGAAAATAATTTAATTCCTGCAAAGAATTTTATTATTTATGAAAATGATTAAATTCTTGCGAAAAATTTTATTGAAATCTTTCAAAATAATTGATTTCCTACAAAGAATTTTACTATTTATTAAAATAATTGAATTCTTACGACGAATTTTGTTAACATTTTTTTTTAAATAATTGAACTCCTGTAAAGAATTTTACTTTTTACAAAAATAATTGAATCCCTGCGAAGAATTTTATTATTTATGAAAATAATTAAATTCTTGCCAAAAATGTTATGTACATTTTTGAAAGTATGTAATGGAATTCCTGCCAAGAATTTTTTGATGTATTGAAAAATAATTTAATTCATATACGAAAAAATTTATTAGATATTTATAAAAATAATTGAATTCCTGCCAAGAATTTTTTTATGTAATGAAAAATAATTTAATTCATATACGAAAAAATTTATTAGATATTTATAAAAATAATTTAATTCCTGCAAAGAATTTTACTTTTTACAAAAATAATTGAATCTCTGCGAAGAATTTTATTATTTATGAAAATAATTAAATTCTTGTGAGAAATTTTATTAAACTTTTTAAAAATAATTGAATCCTTGCAAAGAATTTTTTTTATTTAGGAAAATAATTGAATTTTTGTAAAAAACTTTATTAAAATTTTTAAAAATAATTGAATTCTTCAGAAGAATTTTATTTTTTATGAATATAATTGAATTCTTGGGAAGAATTTTATTAAAATAAAATAAAAATTTTAAATATACTGCTTATATTGATGTATTGAATTTTTTGGCAGTAAAATGCGAGTGTTTTGAGTGCATTGTCAGTAATGTAGCTATTGTGTTGAAAATCGAGCATCCTTAAATTTTCGAAACGAGCAATTTCTTTAACTTCCTCCTTTTTTATGTAATCGAGACCCACGTAGCCACTTAATCTCAAAGCTTGTAAATTTTCATTACGACTGCCAATTGCTCGCAAAAGTTCCACATTTATCGTAGGATACGAATCAATTGTCAGTGCTTTTAGTTTACAAAGTCTGTTGATTACCTAAAAATTTGAAAAATCAGATATGAAAATTTGAAAAAACAAAATATTTTCTTTAAATTTTTTTTAATTATATAATAATTCTAAATAATTTACAAAATGAAAATTAAATTTCTCAAATGAAAAGAATTGGGAAAAACTAAAAAAAAAATGAAAACTAAAAGAAAAGTTTGTCTTACATTTGAAATTGCAGTCGATGAAGAGTGAATCATTCGCATTAGATGAAGTTCCTCTAAATTTATTGGCAATTTTTCTAAACACTTGCCAGTGATATTATTGCAACTGAATTTGAAATATTTTAAATTCACCATTTTGGCAAATATTTCACTGAGTTCATCCTCGTCCCATATCCATTTTCTTGAGACGAAGCAAAATTTCACAATTTTCGGACAACTCTCCATTAATGCCCGTAGACCCGGTAAATTTACACATGGATCTGATATGAAAATTATTTCAATTTCCGTACAACTGTTGGCGATTATTTTCAAAATATCTCGTGTTGCACCAATAATGTGAACTCTATTTGAGTCCTTGCGTCTAATTGTTCCATCCTGATTAAATCGTTTGCAAATATCAATTTCAATTAAAAATCGTCCGCAACGATTTAGTACTTGTTTCAAAATTTCAGCGTCCACATAAGTGAATCTATCGTTTTCCGGAAAACCCCAGGTGCTTAGTGCGAGATTGAATTTTCGAAATTTTGACCATGACTGGAGACTCAATTCACGCCAACGATGACAAACTGGGGGGAAAAATATTTTATTTTTCATTAACTAAACAATTAAATTTGCCACAAAAATTTAATTTTCTTTTTCCCTGATTTTCAGACAAAATTTTGACTTTTACCCTAAAGAATATTCTGATTCACTCTAAAAATGATTAGATACTCAAAAAAATGTACCTACTATTACATTTATTTACGAACTTCTTTAATTGCAAAATTATTCGAAAACAACAATAACTTCTTTTTTAAATAAACATTTAATGATTATTATTTTTCCGCAGGAATTAAAATTATCAAAACATTCAAATTCAAACCTTTTTGAAATTCAACAACTTATAAGAAAATTATTATAAAACATGAAGAAATCGAACACTCCGAGTCTAAAATTTTAATTATTAAATTTTTCGAAATTTTTAATTAAAAATGTTCGAGTGATAAAATCATTATTCTATAATATAAGAATATTGTTACTAAAAATTTTTCAAAATTATTTCCATCATTTCAATTCAATTATTATTTTCTAGAATTTTTAACTAAAATACTTCTCTAAATTAATTATTTTTAATAATTTCTGAAAAAGTTCTTTGAGAATTTTTAAATCGCGTTGGTTAAAATTCAATTTTAAGAAATTTCATGGATTATTCGGAAATTCTTCAATTGTACCTATATTAGAAAATAAAAACTTCAAAAAAAATCAATTGAACTTTTTCAAAAAAATTAATTCTACAAAATTCTTAGTTATAAATATATGAAAAATTCAGATTTTCAAAGATTTTAATTTGAAACACTTTCAAAATCTAATTATTTTTAAAAATTTTGATACAATTCTTCGCAGTAATTTAATTATTTACATAAATAATGAAATTCTTCTCAGGAATTTAATTAGTTTCATGAAAAATAGAATTTCTACAAAGAATTTAATTATTTAAAAAAATTTTAATACGATTCTTCACAGAAATTCAATTATTTTCAAAAAACGTTAACAAAATTTTTCAAAAGAATTTGATTGTTTTCAGAAATTTTAATGAAAGTTTTTACCTCAAATTTTTATTATTTTCAAAAATGTTAATACTTAATATTCTTCACAAAAATTCAATTATTTTCGTAAATGAAAAAATTTCTTAGAGAATTTCAATTATTCTACAAAATTTTTAAAATAATGCTTCCAAGAAATAGAATTATTTTTAAAAATTCTGATAAAATTATTTAAATTTTAACTGAAATTCATTTTTAGATAAATTTTTATTAGGAAACACTACGAGAATTCAATTATTTAAATACAAAAGTAAATAATTTATTGAATAATTGAATTCAATTCAAGAATTTTATCCACAAATTTTTAAATATAATTGAATTGTTTCGACGAATTATAATAACATTTTTAAAATTAATAATTGAATATTGTTTATATGAATTTCATTAAAAAATTTTGAAAATAATTGAATTCCTGAGAAGAATTTTATTATTTATGAAAATAATTGAATTTTTTAAAGGAATTTTATTAATATTTTTAAAAATAATTAAATTTCAATACTATTTATGAAAATAATTTGATTCTTGCGAAGAATTTTATTAAAATTTTTGAAAATAATTAAATTCCTGTGAAGAATTTTATTATTTATAAAAATATGTAATTGAATTTTTAATACAAAAAAAATTCTTTTTGAATCAAATCTAAAATTAGTTGTAAAAAAGATAATGACAAATTTTATATTTTAAATTACCTCTTTCAATTTTTATTTTATCGACGATTGGAAGATATTGAAAAATATGTAAAAGACAATCATCGTTCAATCTTAAAAAATTAAAAGCCATCGTAAAATAATTGACACCTGAAAAAGGGAAAAGAAAAATATTAGTTTGGTATTCATAATTAAACTATTAAATTTCAATAAATAAAATCAATACAATACATTTAATTTATTAATTATTTATTTATAATAAATAATTAAATTATTTGGAACGTGTACCTATATTAAATTATAATTAAATATTTATAAATTAATATTTTGCATAAAAAGGCATTTTTGTAGCCAGTTTACTGCTAAAATAAATAAACAAAAATAAACAATGAAATTATTCTATTGTTCGAGGTAAAATAGGACAAAATCGAACAATAAAAATTCAAACTAAAAATTAGTAATAATAATTATAAATAAAGTAATAAAATAAATAATAATAATAATAAAAAATAAATATATAAACAAATACTGTAAGTAAAAATATAAATAATACATTAAAATCGTTAAAATAAGGAAAAAAAGGTACTTTTTTAGGTTATGTTTTCCAATTTGCCATTTTGCAGAATTTTATAGACAAAGTCCAAAACCTAATAATTATTCCAATATTTTACGTAACGGCCAAAAAAATCTTCCCCTAACGTTATTGTTTTTTATAAAACCTTCAATTAAAATTAATAAAATTAAAAGTAAAACTCGTCAAAGGTTTCTTTATAAACTTTCTAAATAACGTAAAGTAATTTCATATTTTCGTTGATTTAAACGTATCTTTCAACTTACCGTCCTAATATTCAATACATACTCAAATAATTGATTTTAATTAATAAATAAAAGAATCATTTTAATATCGTAAACTGTAAGTAAAACAAAAATTTATTCCGCAACCGTTAGAGAGAAACGCGCCGCAAACGTTTTTGTTTACAAACATTTTTCTTTTCAAAATTCGCGCTCTCTGTAAAACAAGAAGAAATAAAGGTGTGATCATTATTACATATTTCCTTCATTTAATTAAGCATAAAAAAACTATTTGATTGGTCGAAAATTTCAATGCGAACGGAATGACCAATCAGATTCGATACAATTATGAATGACGACAATGAGAATGAACCTTGAGTTCGACATTTTTTTTCTACAATTGTATAATATTATATTATGTTTGAGATATAATTTCATTTATAATTGGAGTTTAGTTTAAATAATGAATTTTAAATAATATAAATAGTGAAAATAAAGAATATAATAAATTATAATTTATAATTTATAATTGTAATTTTGCAAAATATGATTAATTATTAATTATTTATATTTGATTTTGAATCTTCCCGCGTTTTACCATTAGGGTAGAGTTCTCAGCAAAGTTTTCGTATTTCTGTTGTTAGAATATGAAAGTGGCGTTATTTACATTGTTAAATTCGACGATAACGTCACACGACTATACAAAGTAAATGTCGTGCTGTTTTTATTTTTCACTTTAATTTATTCCGATTACCTTATAAGGTGCGAAAAAAGAATCTCTTGAGTAAACTGTAAACAGGTATTTAAAATTAGGTTACAAAATTTTTAGTTTAAATCACGTTTAAACGCCAAAAAAGGGGTGTGAGAAAAAAATAATTCATTACCGGTACGTGGCTGTCAATTTACCGTTATAATTTTGGATTTCTTTGATTGAATTTCACTTTTATTTCGTTTTGAGTTTTTCTTGGGACTTAAATATAGTAAATATAACTATTTTCGCTTTTTAAATGCAAATAAAGTTGCATCCAATTCTGCAATACTTTACATAACCTCACTTTTTTGACATTCAAATTTTAGTTATTATTATAATGTTAATTAATTAATAAAATTTACGAGTTACAAATTAGGAACTTATTGTTTTTGCTTAAAAATGAAGTATTGCTTCCTGATTATTAATAAAATCACTCTAATATTTATGTGATAGGATGATTTTTATTAATAATTATTAAGAGTTGAAAAGATAGTTATTTAAATTTCATATTTGAAGGCAATTTTTCACTGCGTGTTAAAACTTTTTGAATTTTACAAATTTAAGTTGAAAATAAACAAAATGGAAGCTGCCGTTCAGCAGAAGCTCGCGGAAGTCGCTCAAAAAGTTGAGGAGCAGTTGGATGCAGAAATTGAGCGTCTCGATAAATTGGACATCGATGACATTGAAAAATTACGTGAAAGAAGATTGAAGGAAATAAAGAAAATTCAACATCAAAAGCAACTTTGGATTTCCATGGTGGGTTTTTCAATTCTTTCGGTATTATTATTATTGCTACTGAACGAGTTCTTATTTGCAAAAATAATAAAATTCTTTAAACATTTCAATTAAGTACTTTCAAAGTACAATTCCAATAAAATTTCTCGAAAGAATTCAATTATTCTTTTTTAATTTTATTAAATAATTCCTTCCAGAAATTCAACTACTTTTAGAAATTTAAATAAAATTCTTCAAAATAATTATCCAATTATTTTTATAAATATAAAATTTTTTGCAAAAATCCAATTATTTTCATAAATATAAATTCTTCACAGGAATTCAATTGTTTTAAATGTACAATTTCAATAAAATTTCTCGAAAGCATTCAATTATTATAATTCTTCGCAAAAATTCAATTATTTTCAAAAGTAATAAAATTCTTGCCAAGAATTCAATTATTTTCATAAATAATATAATTCTTCCCAAGAATTCAATTATTTTAAAAAATAGTAAGATTCTTTTGCAAAATATCAATTGTTTTCTAAAATTGTAATAAGTCCTTCGAAACACTTCAATTATTTTAATAAATAATTCAATTTAATAAAATTCTTTACTAGAATTAAATTATTTTCATAAATAATAACAACCTTCGGAAGAATTAAATTATTTAAAACTTTTTGCAATAATTCAATTATTTTCTTAAATAATAAAATATTTTACAGGAATTCAATTATTTTCTAATGCAATTTGAATATAATTTCTCGAAAAAATTCAATTATTTTTTAAAAATTTAAATAAAATTCTATATACAAGAATTAAAATGTTTTCAAAAATATGTAATAAAATTTTTTGCAAGAATTGTATTATTTTCGTAAATAATAAAATTCTTCTTAGGAATTTAATTTTTGTTAAAAATAGAAAAATTTTTTGGAGAAATTCAATTAATTTCAAAAATTTTAATAAGATTCTTCTTAAGAATTCAATAATTTTTATTAATAGTAACATTCTTTGCAGGATTTCAATTATTTTCAAAAATATTAATAGAATTCTTCTTAAGGTCATGTTATTCAGTGGTCACGTGCCCCATATAATTTACTATGGGAACACGTGACCAATGAATAACATACCCTTAAGAATACAATAATTTTTATAAATAGTTAAATTATTAGCAGGAAATCAATTATTTAAAAAAATTCAATTATTTTCATAAATAGTAAAATTCTTTGCAGAAATTAAATTTTTTTCAGAAATTTTTATAATATTCTTCTAAAGAATTCAATTATTTTCATAAATAGTAAAATTCTCTGCAGGAGTTCAATTAGTTTTAAAAATTTCAATAACATTTTTCGCAAGAATTAGAATTTTATTATAATTTTATTGAAAATAATTGAATCCCAGGAAAGAATCATATTACTTTTGAAAATAATTCTTCGCTGGAATTCAATTATATTGAAAAGTAATATGATTCTTTTCTGGGATTCAATTATTATTTTCAATAAAATTATAATAAAATTCTAATTCTATTCTATTCTATAATAAAATTCTACACAGGAATTGAATTAAAAAATTTTTTAATGTAATCCTTAGCAGAAATTCAGAGTGTTTTTAAAAATTTTAAATAAATTTGTTTATTAGAATTTAATTATTTTCATCAGTAATAAATTTCTTCTTAGAAATTTAATTTTTGTTTTCAATAAATTTGAATAAAAATCTCTTATTGAATTCAATTATTTTCAAATTAATTAGAATAAAATTTATCGAAATAATTAAAATTATTTTCTTTTTAAATTTAAATCAAATTCTTCGGAAGGATTTAATTATTTTTTTAAAAACTGTAATAAATTTCTTTAGAAAGAATTTTTGCTTCAATAAAACTTAAATTAGAATCTCATTAATTATAATTTTTTTTCCTCTCTAATTTTTCTATTTTCTTTTTAGGGTCATGGAGAATATTCCGAGCTGTTTGATGAGAAGGAATTTTTCGACGTTTCGAAAAAATCGAAAAACATTGTTTGTCTATTTTACAAGGACGGTTCACCACGTTCAAAAATTGCAGATATGCATTTGAAAATTCTAGCGAAAAAGCACGTGGAGGCACGATTTTGTAAACTCAATGTCGAAAGATGTCCATTCTTGACTGGTAAACTTATATTTTTTATTTAAAAAATTATTTTATTTTTTATTTTCTTTATATTTTATTTTATTTATATTTCATTATTTATACATTTTTTATTTTATTTTTTTGCCTCATTTATTTCTTTATTTTGTATACATTTTAATTAATTAATTAACTTTAATCGTAACAATTGAACAATTTATTGAAAAAATTGATTTTTATTTTCTTTTTCTTTTATTATTAAATCAATCTTTAACGCTCGAGTTGTTTACATTAAAATTCTAATAATAAATTGAATTCAAATAAGAGAATAATATTTTCTTTGTAATTTTAATCTTAAAAATTTAACGATTTATTGCATAAAAATTATATTTAATTTTTGTTTTTAGAACGATTGAGAATAAGAATAATTCCAACGATTGCCCTTGTCGTCGATAGTAAGGCAAAAGATTACATTGTCGGTTTCACTGATTTGGGTAATTGCGATGATTTCTCAACTGAAATGATGGAATGGCGAATCGCTCAATCGCGTTGCATTACTTATAGTGGCGATCTAATGCATCCACCAGAGCAGGAGAAAAAGCCATGGTTAAATCAACAACAAAAATCAAAAACAATTCGTGGCAAGGAATCTGACGATTCAGATGATGATGATTAACAAAAATTATCATTCTTCAAAATTGAATAATTTTCATGCCACACAATTTTTTTTTATCTCCACCACGCTACTCGATGAATTGTTGTCTTTGAAATCTTTAAGGTTGTATATTTTTTTTTAAAAAAGAAAAAAGAAACATTGCACTATTTATAAATTTACAAATTCGTTGCACGTCGTTAATAGAAGGAATTTATAATAACAAAGTAATTATTTATTTAAATTAAATTTAAAATGTTAATTAATTAAAGTTTGTAAAAGAAATAGACAATTAAATTAGAGGAAAACATTTAATAAACACTTTTAGTTAATATTTTACTTATTTTACTATTTCACTGATTAATTGAATTTCACTCATTTTAATTGAAAGAGATTATTAATTGTTTGGATTTGAAAATAGTTTAATTGTCTTTAAAATTAAAGTAAATTAAGAAACAAAATTAGTAAATACCGAAAAATAAATTTCAGTTCGAATTAATCAAAAGTAATTGATAATAACTGAATTTTCTATTTAAATTTAAAAAAAGTTTTAAAGCTTCAAAATAATTCAAAAAGTTCTTTTTTAAAAAAAGTAGAAATTAAAAAAAATGTAATTAACTAATTTGAGAATATTAAAATATTTTATCTACAATAATTTTACTGTACAATAATTAATTTGACACTGAATTATTTTTCACTGAACTACATAAAAAAAGAATGAAATATACAAATTAATTAATTAACAAAAATCGAACAAGTTATTAAATTAGGATTTTATTTATAAATTAGAAATATAGGCTTTTTACACAATTTTTTAAATAAAGAAATTCTAGTTGTATATTTGTTAAATTTAATAAACATCCATCATTTACGATTAGAAATACAAAAATAGATTTTTTTTCTATTAGTAAAAAAAGTTTTTTTTAAGTTATAGAAAAAAAATAGAAGAGGAAAAAAAAGATTTTACATTGATACATAAATAATTAGAAGAATATTAACAAATTTTTAGTTACAATAAAATATATAAAAATATTTTTTCTATAAATTTTCTTTTACAAATAAAAAAGAATTTTTCAAATTCTCATATTTCAGGAATGTCACATCACTCGATTTAGAATTCATTTATTACTACATTTAATTAGTTTTCCATAGTGTCAAGAATTTCTGGAAAAAGAAGGAGAAACAAACGATTAAATTTTGTTAATTGAAAAAATTGAGTTAAAAAGAAAGAATTTTTAAATAAATTAAAAGAGAATTTTAATTTTTAACGACAAAACTAATAGTTTTTATTTAGAAGAAAAGGGAGAACTATTCTTTAAAAAAAATATAAATTAAATAACAATAAATTAATTAAATATTAATACTAAACTTTAAAGAATGAATATAAATTAAATATATGAAATACTGGAAGGAATTTTGAAAAGTTATCACAATTTTGTTTTTTGCTTATAAATGGAAAAACTGACGCACAAAATTAAGTCAAGAAATAGTACATAAATTATTAATCGTACTAGAATTTGTTTTTTGATTGTCAATACTTCGATTCCTCTCGTCCCAGAGTGTGAGACCATCACAAGCGCAAATTTGCTTTGTATTTTGAAATAATCCCGAGGATCTTGCAATTATTCCACAAACGAGTCTGAAAAATTGAAAAAAAACATTTATATTGTAAATTAATATTTTTCATTTTTTAAATTTTAATTCAAAATAATTTAAATTATAATTTAACAATTTTTTTTTCCTATTTTGAATTATAATTTGAAACAATTTTTTCCTATTAATATTATTATTTGTTTTAAATTATTTAAATCAAGTTTTTTCTCACTTTTTCCCACTATTTCCATCAATTTTTGACATTGGACTGTCGCCCTTTCCAAGATCGTCGGGTTTTTCCGTGATAACAAGAGAACGGCCAATTATTTCTGGGATTTTTAGTAAATTATCGAGAATTCGAAATCTCACGCGTCCAGAGTCATCGGCGACAATGTTTCCCAAATCACCCACGTGCTGTAAAAATAATAGTTATTAATTAAAAAAGAAATTGTGATAAAATTTTCGAATTTACTACAAAGTAATTTGACAAAAAAAAATTAATAATAATATTATTGAATAATATAAATATTAATAATTTAATTTATACAACTATTATTATGGAAATTTCAAACCTTTTTATTTTCAAATATCAATTTTTGAAAATAATTGAATTTTTTGAAGGAATTTTATTAAAGTCTTTAAAAATAATAAAATTCCAGCAACAAATTTTTATCGAAATTGTTTTCAAATAATTGAATTCTTTTAGAGAAATTTTTTTAAATAATGTAATTTCTACGAAGAATTTTATTTAAAATTCTTAAAAATAATTTAATTCATTCAAGAAACTTTTATTAAAATTTATGATAATTGAATTTCTGCGAAAAATTTTATTAAAATTTCTGAAATTAGTTATATTCTAATAAACAAATTTTATCTAATTTTTTTTTAAATAATTGAATTCTTTCGAAGAATGTTACTTAAAACTTTTAAAAATATTAATTCTTTCTGGAAATTTTATTGAAATTGTATTTTGAAAATAATTGAATTCTTGTCAGGAAATTTATTGTTTATAAAAATAATTGAATTCTCGCAGAGTATTTTATTCGAATATATTGAAAATAATTAGATTCTTGTGAAGAATTTTATTAAAATTTTCGAAAATAATTGAATTATTGTGAAGAATTTTATTAAAATTTTTGAAAATAATTGAATTATTGTGAAGAATTTTATTAAAATTTTCGAAAATAATTGAATTATTGTGAAGAATTTTATTAAAATTTTCGAAAATAATTGAATTCTTCAGGGTGTCCAGCTACCTTGAAAACCTTAAAAACCTTAAAAAGTATGTACTTGAATTTTTTTTGCTCCTTGAAAACCTTGAATTTTATGTACCTTGAAAAATTAAAATTCTTAAAAATGAGATTTATTTCCTTGATGTTTTAAGTTGAATTCTCTTCAATATTTCAATTATTTTTATAAATATAAAAATTCTTCGCCGAAATTCAATTATATTCAGAAACTTTAATAAAATTCATTGCAAAATACAATTATTTTCATAAATAACAATATTCACCACAAGAATTCAATTATTTTCAAAATGAATTAAATTTTTCGCAGAAATTCAATTATTTTCAAAAAATTTTAAAAATTGTGGTCAATAATTCAATTATCTTTATAAATAAATAACAATAATCTTCGACAAAGTTCAATTATTTTGAGGAATTTTAATAAAATTCATTGCAAAATTCAATTATTTTCGTTAATAATAGTATTCATCACAAGAATTCAAATCTTTTCAAAAATTTTAATAAAAATCATGGCAAAATTTCAATTATTTTTAAAAAATTTTCTTACTTCGATGGTTTTCAATATTCTACTATTTTCATAAAATTTCCCGAAAGAATTTAATTATTAAACAAAAGTTTTTAAAACAATCAACACAAACTTTCAATTATTTAAAAAAAAAATTTTTTACATTTAATTCAATTATTTAAAATAGAATTTGCATAATTTTTAAATTCTTCGCAGTAATTCAATTATTTTCAAAAATTTTTCTTAATACAATAATTTGTATATCAATTATTTTAATAGAAATTCTCAAAAGAATTCAATTATTTAAAAACAATTTTAATTGATGTTTCTTAAATCGATGTTCTTTATATTTCTAATATCTTATCAATAAATTGTATTTAAAGTTATTTATGAATAACTGTTGTATGTAGAAATTATAAAATTGTTTATAAGTACTCTCTAAATTTGAATTAGTAAAAATGTGACTTTTTGAATTAGTGACTGACTTTTTGCTTTTTAATTAGTAAATTTCACTAAACAAATTAGTAGAAATGATTATTTATTACTAAAATCTACTTATTCAAAAGCAAAAAGTCAGTCACTAAATCCAATTAGTAATCATTTTTACTAATTCAAATTTAGACAGTAAGTAAAAATTTATATAAAATCAATTAAAAAATTGAAGTACTGTTAGTATTAATTATTAATAATTTTATATATCGTTTTACACACTCTTTTCGAAGACTCATCGTCTGGTCCACCGTGCAGTGAATTATGTGGATTAAAATGATCGCCAACACTGGAAAGATAATACAATTTTTTTCATAAATATTTTAATATTAACTATAGCAACAATTCGCGCGTCTAACTTTTTACTTCATTTTTTAAATAAAATTAGCAATTTTAAAAATAATAGAATTTAAAAATTTTAAATTCAAATTTTTTTTGAAAACACTAAAATAATTCAATTTTTGAAAAATTGCAAATAATTTATTGTAAAAATTCAATTATTTTCAAAAGTAATAAAATACTTCTCATAAAATTTAATTATGTTTAAAATTAAAAAAAAAATTCTCGTAGAAATCCCAATTATCTTTGTAAATAACAAAAATTATCCCCAAAGTTCAATTATTTTTAAAAATGACAATAAAATTCTTGTCCTAATTTCAATTATTTTCAATATCTACTATTTTAATAAAATTTTCCGAGAAAAATTCAATTATTTAAAAAAAAATTTAATGAAATCGTACCTACACAAAAATTTAATTATTGTCAAAAATAATAAAAATTCCACAGGAATTCAATTTTTTATAAATTGCTTCGCAATAATTCAATTATTTTCATAAATTTTTAATTATTATAAATTATTATAAAACATGAAGAAATCGATCAGTCCGAGTCTTCGACTCGGAGCAATCAATATCTTCATGTTTTATAGCAAAATACTTTTATAAGTTGTTTAATTTCAAAAAGGTTTGAATTTGGAATTTTTTAATGTCTTAATTTCTGTGGAGAAATAATAATAATTAAATATTTATTTAAAAAAGAAATTATTTATGTTTTTGAATAATTTTACAATATTAAAGAAATTTATTTATTTATTTATTCAATTATAGACGGGACATGCCCTTTTGTACATAAGTACTCTTAGCCTAATATAATATTATTTATAAAAATTAAATCACTTAAAAACTAGGTTAGCTACTATTTATCAATTAATATAATTTTCCGCAATAAAGAAATTCGTAAAAATGTAACGGAACATTTTTTTTGAGTAAAATTGTTTTCTTTATTTTCTAAAAATTCAAAAATTTTTATTTTCAATGAAAATTTATAATTGACAAATAGAATTTATAAACATTTGTATCGTTTATTTTAAAAAAAACTTTAAATTTTATTAAAACAATTGTAATTAAAAAATTTAAATAATCTAAATCAGGGTGTCTACAACACCTGGAAAACCTGGAAATGTCAGGGAAATTAAAAATGTCAATTTACTATTTTAATAAAATTCTTCCAAAAGAATCTAATTACTTAAAAAAATTTAAATTATTTTCATAAAATAATAAACATTTCACAGGAATTATTTTCGTATAATATAATAAAATTCTTTTTAGGAATTCAATTATTTTCATAAATAATAAAAATGATCAAAGAATTTCAATTATTTTTAATACAATTTTAATCGAATTCTGCGAAAAATGTAATTATGCTTAAAAATGTTATGAAAATTCGTCATCAATTTAAAAATTTGTTAGTAAAATTCTTTATGAGAATTCAATTTCAAGAAACATTCAATAATTCAATAAATTATTTATTTTTGTATTTAAATAATTGAATTCTAATAAAAATTTATTTAAAAATTAATTTCAGTTACAATTTTAGATAATAATTGAATATTAAAAGAAATATAGCGTGAATATTTAGAAATAATTGAATTTTGAAATTAATTTTTTTTAAATATGTTAATTGAATTTTTTTTATATTATTTGAAGTTTTTATTTTCTAATATTTAATTGAAGAATTTATGAATAATTGAAATTTCGTAAAATTGATTTAAAGAAGAGTTTTAGTTAAAAATTGTAGAAAATATTTGAATAAAATATTTGACTCGGACTGGTTATATTTTTGTTCGTAAATGGTACGTAATTTTTCATTTTTGGTCCGTAAAGTACGTATTTTTAAATACTGTGTCACTGGTTCGAGCCCTGATAATTTTTTGAAAAATGTTCATTTTATATTCATAATTTATAACGGTGGTGACGTTAACAATGATATAGAAAAAAAAATTTCCTATTCAAACTTTTGTCTAAAACTTTTACAATGTTTCTTAAAACCTGGAAAAAAATTCTAGAAGGCCTGGGAAACCTGGAAATGTGAGGGAAATTTTTTTCAGATTAATTGTAGACACCCTGTAAATTATTCCCTTATGAAAATTGAAAATTTTCTACAAAAATATTAAGAAACGGGAATATGTAATGTTTTTTTTCCCAATATAAAAGAATAAGTTTGTGAACAATATTGTTATTGAGAAATAAAAATTATGCATAAAATGGGTATTTATTTACTATTTCTTAATCATGATTTTTTAACAAATTTTTTATTTTTTATAAATAAACAAGAGAAAAATTTGCATAATTTAAATCAGTCAAACGAAATTTGTTATAAAAAAAAGCATATAATAAACAAAAATGGGTAAATTTTTCATTTGTTAATCATCATTTTTTTTAAAATTTTCTAATTTCTAATATTATTTTATTACTAGCTGTCGTACCCGTCTTCGACGGGTTTTAGTTTCTACAAATACATTCAATAATGTGTCAACCAGTCTCGAAAAATGGAAAATAGTGGGGAATTTAATTTGACTGGAAAAATTAATAATTAGCTACCATTAATTATATCATTAGAAAAATATTACTATTTTAAATCAGTGATTGACTTTTTATCATCAAATAATTTATTTTTAATTAATTAAAATGCAAAGAACAATGTTTGTCAATTATTTGTAGAAATTTAATTATTGCATTGTAAGTTAATCCAAAATTTCCACCAGTTTTTAGAGTTATAGTAAAGTCAAATTCGAACTAATTGTATCATAATTGCTAAAATCTAAAATAAGACCTATAGGTATTATTTTATTAAATTTTATTGCAGACTGAATTCACAGTTTTTCCCGATTAAATTAAATTCCTGCATATTTCCCGTTTTTTCCAGTTGGGTAGAACCCCTGTTAAAAGTATTAGTGAAAACAAAAACCCGTTAAAGAATATTTTCATAAAATAAGTGAATTTTTTTCCATTTGTAGTTTTATTTATTGTTAATACTTATCAAGAAAATTTATATTTGATGAAAAAAGATACACCTGGAAAAATTTGGGCAAAGCTGGGAAAAACCGGATAGTTTGTTAAACAAAAATAATAATAGACACCCTGTTTAACTGTTGCCTTTACAATGCTCAAAACATCCCTAAAAGTTAAATCTAGAATTAAAATAACAAAAATTTTTACTATCTAAGTTTTTTCCCAGTAGCATAATGCAAGTATCGTATCACAGGTATTCTTGAATTCCTGCAGTATCAATTTTATCATAAAAAATCTCCATTTTTAATATTTTCGAAGTTTTTGCAATTGAAACATTTTTGATTAATTGTATAAACAAATAATTCTAAATTCCATTATTTTGACGACAAAAGTTTATCAGAGACCCCAAAAATACTACTGAATTAAGCTTGACAGTAATTGGTCTGTCAATTATAATTTTTCAATTTGTTGATATTAAAAACATTTTTATACTTCCATCTTATAGTTATAGGACAGTATTTTTTTAAAATTATGCTAAAATATGACTAAATAACATGTAATATTTAATTACAGAAAGTTTAAAAGATACATTAAAAAATATAAAATTTAGAAATTTTCAATTTTTTTAATTTTTTGAAAAAATTGAATACCTCCCGTTGTAATTAATATGTTTAAAATCTGTAAATTTATTGTTTATATATCTTACAAAAGTCATAACTGATTAATTTACAGCAATCTGTCAAAATTAAAAAAAAAAATTTCGAATTTTTTGGAAAATTCATAATTTTTTTTCATATTAATATTATTTTTTAATTTGATTTATTGTTATATATCTTTAAAATCATTTATATTATTAATAAATGGAAAAATTTATGCCAATCTGCAAAAATTAAAAAAATTTTTTTTTTGAATTTTTCGAAAAATTCATAACTTTTGTTCAGCTCAATATTGTTTCATCAAATAAAACTAATATTTTAAGTTAGACCAAGACCTAAAAGATTGACAAATTTTACTTCAATCGGTCAAGACGTTTTCAAGTTATACGCGAACAAAATTTTACGGACATACATATACATACATACATACATACATACAGACAGGAAATTTTCTATTACTACCATTTTTGGATTCTCCGTTGTTCAAATAAATAAATTATGCTTGAAAAAATTAATTTCGTGCAATGTACAGACAAAAGTCTGATTTTATTAATATAGATGAATCATGAAAAAATACCTGCATATTTTTGATTTGTCAAAACAAAATTTTTTTAAAGAAAAAAAAAACAAAAGAATACACAAAAACTAACTTCAGGTGTGGACAGAATGAAAGAATGAATTATAGGATTATTATAGTTAATTTTCAACAATTGCAATAAAAAAAAAAAAAAAAAAATGTCAATTATTGTAGATAAAGATGGGAAAAAATTGAGAAATTATTACCTATCACAACCTTGAGAAATGTCACCGCATTCGTGAATGTGTAATCCATGAGCACCAGGTGATAAGCCGTCGATTGTGCCATCAATTATGCAACCTTTATCAATTTGTGCGAATCTAATAACACCTTTCGCAATTTCGCCGTAACTGTAGCCGGAATTTCCGGCCAACATCGTAACAGCACTAAACGATTCAGAGCCTCAAAAAAAATATTTACATTTTTTCATATTTTTCGAAATTATAAAATAATTTTTTATTTTTTTAAATTCTTTTTTATTTACAAAAATTATATCTTATTCGTAGGTAATTATAAAATATAATATTTACCTCCATAACCTTTAAAAACCGCTTTTTTCCCAGTGCTCTCGATTTTTTCCTGAATTAAAGAATAGGGAAGATCTGTCTCAACAACAACAGTTCCTCGTTCCAAGGATATATCAACATTTTTAATTCCCTCGACATTTGTCAGTGTACTTTTCACTTTATTTACGCAATTTTGACAAGTCATTTGCACTGCGAATTCAATCTAGAAAAATCCAATGTTCGCACATTTAATTAATTTTGTTTCCAACAATTTTTATCGCCTGAGAGTTTGTAAAAAATTCTATTTTCAAAATTTCTTACCAAAATTGAAGACATTTTGTCAAAATTATGGATAAAATCGAATATCAAAATGTTTTTTCGCGGTTGCAAAATAACAACAACAACAAACAACTAGGTTAGAATATAAAACTGCTTTACCGACAGTGGAGGAATATCGTTGGTCGGTAAAGTCGGTCAGTTGTCACATAACCTAAAAATTCTGAAAGTCAAAGTAGAACTCGTAGAACTGGAGATCATCACAAAATGATTAATTTTGCTATAGTGTTTGACTTTACGGACTTTACATACTTGATATATTCAGGAAAAAGTGAAAATTGCGTCAATGTGTTGCTATTCACTGTTTTTCAAACGAGATAACAAAGTAACGAGTGCATGGACTGAATAAATACGAGATCATTATATTCCATATCTTCCTTCTTTTTTGCATAGTTATCTGTATAGTTTTTGAGACAGCTTGAAAGATAATTCTTTTTTCATTATTACAGAGGAAAAGTGAAGTGACAATGAGAAAAAAACAAAGTTGATTTTTATTGACAATAATTATGTGCGCGTTGTGAATGGTGTATACATATATTTATTATTAATTCATCAATATCTACAACAAAGGTTATGTTGGTGTTGGAAATATTTTTGAGAAAAAAAAAGTGGCTAACTTAAATAGAAGAAGATGAGTTGGTTACGAGGAAGTCCACTTGGGACAAATTTCGGTAAACAACGATCAAGAGATTCACCACCTAAGGATGCTGATCCAACGGCATGTTATGACAGCTTTAAAAAACATTGGCAGCAGAGCTACGAAATTATTTCCAGCACTCAGGTTAGTTTTGTTTTCGTTTATTTTTATAATTTTACCAAATATATGTACCTATTCAATTTTTCTTTTAAATTTCTTTCAAGGTTTTCAACTTTTTTTCTTGAATATTATTCCTTATCATACTGTGTTTGTAATTTCGTAACAGTAATTTATACGTATCTTATTCTATTAATATATTGTAATGATAATAGGCTTTTTTGTTTTTATTATTCGAGAAAAAGTTTTAATTTTTTGTCTCCTAGCGTTATTATAGTAAAAATAAAGTAAAAATTTCTAGAAATTTCAAATTAAAAAATACTTTATTCATTTTGGCGAAGTATTTAAGAGTTTACACTTTAGGTCACAAAAGAAAAACAAATTAACAATGATGATAATAGTAACAATAATGTATGATGCATTAAAGAAAACAATCTTTTTGTATGTATATATTTTTACTGTAGATTCTAACCTCAACATTTAAACATCGATTTAAACTATAATTCCTAATTTTGTAATAATTAACCTAATTTACTAATTTGAATAAACAGAAAGGAATTTCTTTTTAGTATTTTTCTTTTTCATATAATACATAGATAAGTATTTTTCTTTTTCCAATGAATAGAAAATAAATAATCATGAAAAGTATATTAATTATTTAATAACTATATTATAAATTATTTATATTATGTTTTTCTTTGTTTTGTTGATTAATTAACTAATTTGAATAAAGAGTGACAGATATGAATTAATTATTTTTAATTAATTAATAAAACGATAACTTTGTTGTAAAAAAATTCAATAACGTAAATATTTAACTTAATCTCAATTTATTGAAAATTGCTAAAATTGAAATAATTCATTCTTAGATAACGGTATACTCTTCGTTAAATAAAATAAAATAAGTTTATTAATTTAAATAAGGTAGTGGATTCTTTTTGTTAAGTCCACTATTATTCAGTGTCTCCGGATAGACGGTATTTATGAAGAATAAAATACAAAGGATAAAAAAATACACTCAGCAAAAAAAAAAAAACACATATATATGCAAGTATAGTAACATTAAGTTTATTCCATATTAATAAATTGTTTAATGAATATAACAGTACTTTTTCGATACAAAAGATTGATTTCTTAAAACTTCATGTATTTGAAGTTTATTTCATAATACAATTTGTTTCCTTCCCATTATTGAAATTTACTTTACATTAATTTTATTCCCAGATAATAAAACAACTTGTTTATTAATTAGTGTCTCTTTAATTAAAAGTGTATAATAATAGTGTATTTGTGTATTTATTTAATATATATGTGACTGTCCACGAGAAAACAAGGCTTAGCTCCCAAACGTGAATTTCACAGGGCGAGCGATTGAAGTACTACTATTGAAGTTAACTACGCTTGACATACCCATCTTTAAAACGATATATTGTCGAAAGTAATTGATATTTTTAACTTCTGACTTTTGCATTTGAAAAAGCAACATAAAATCTGTCGATTACCATAAAAAACTCAAATTGATTTTTTCGACCTAAGCCGTGTTTTATCGTGGACAGTCAACGATTGAAGTTAACTACGCTTGACATACCCATCTTTAAAACGATATATTGTCGAAAGTAATTGATATTTTTAACTTCTGACTTTTGCATTTGAAAAAGCAACATAAAATCTGTCGATTACCATAAAAAAATCAAAATTGATTTTTTGGACCTAAGCCTTGTTTTCTCGTGGACAGTCACATATAAGTATAATAGTAATAACTCGACTCACCAAGTTTATATTTATTTTAGTTTGATAATAAGAAAATGTTGAGTCAGGTGCTATATGATTCACACCTTTTATAGAGATAGAAACCCTTTTGTCTTGTACATTCCTTTTCCTTGATCATATGTTGAAATTATTCCTCAATGAATTATAATTTTTCACATAAAATTCCTTGATGATATTATGTCCTTTCGTTTAATTTTTTTAGAAGCCTTAACTCAAAACTTAAATTTCGGGGTCACCGAACTTAAATCCGAATTAAGTTTAATAAACACAAAATATATATATTTTAATCAATCAGAAAATTCTTCCTAACACTGTTTTATAATTCACTGCTTTAAATTTACTTTTGTTTTTAAATACAATAACAAAAATTATTATTAATTATAAAATTTATACTAAAATTATTTGAAAGTTGGACACTACTCAAAATAAGGAAAACTCCACTTTTGGAGTTTAATACAAAATTATCCAAAATCAATTTGACTGTCTCACAGGAGACGTCAATAAAAAACTGAGTCGATTTTCGTTCACAATTATTGATCACACCCTGAAATCATATAAAATATCAATACACTGAGAAAACTGGAGTATTGGACTAAACATCTGGAGGGACAAATCGTTCATATTTGAGAGTTAGCTATTGGATAACAATCTAAATGTTCAAATACACCATTGACAGATATTTGTGCCATTTCTCTTGGAGGGAAAATGAGTTTATAACAGAGGGACAAATTAACCATCTTGAGAAATCCCTTCCTTATCCGGCGCGAAATGAATAAATATGGCAACCTAACCCCTAAATTAAATACATAAAATGTCAGAAAAATAATTTCGCGCGCATCAGAACGTACACATTTTCTGCGCAACTTTTAACCCTCAGATATAATGGGAGAGAATATACAAGTAGATTTCCATTATCAATTCAAAATTTATTTTAGAAGGACTATTTAACTCTCTTCACAAGCAAAGGAAACATACACTTTTTGAACCTCTGAATTTGACTCTCCAGTTTTCTCAGTGTAGTGGGGAGGGCTGTTGCACACAGCTCATTGAACTTCGCCATTGTTGGGTAAGCTTTTAGCAAGCTTGCAAATTCCTGAGGTGGCATGATATGAGTTCAATGATCTTTTTCCTCACTATTCCATATGTTGGTGTGTGTTGTTTCTTAATAATTGTAACATACATTCAAAAGTCTTTTATTAAATTGATTATTTTGAAATAAAAGAACTTCAATTTGCAACATGTGTGTTGTCCAATAGCACTAAATAACAAATAACGATAATAATAATAATAATAGGGGAGCGCAGTCCTAAGTTGGCCGTGGGCCTAAGTTGGCCACCCTGCATTTTTCAGAGATGGTATACTGGTCGAATCTATAATTTTGTGGTATGATATATTGATAAACCATGATATAATTTATGGACCTAATTTTAATCTAAGATTCTTCTATGCATTGTGAGGACAATAATATTGTTTACGACCAAAAAAATTTAATTTTTCTTTTTTTTCGAGAGCAGCTACAAGAGATAAATAATTAAAAATTTCTAAATGAGTGTGTGCGCTAGTTCCTTTATTTAATGTTGTAATAAGAGGTTCTGTTGATTTTTTAAATTAAATTTTGTTTATTAGCGTAATAATTTGAAACTTGTAAAAATCTACAGTGGTCCTAAGTTGGCCACCTATTGTTTTTGTTTGTTTTTATTTATGTTTTACATCTTTTTTATGTTTTTCATCACAAGAAAGACCGTAAAAGTGTAACGTAGGAATTAAACAAAGACAAAAACAAAAAAAATGGTTTAAAACACATTAGAAAAGACATAGTACAAAAACGCCTATCTCCACAGCCATCCACCACTGCAAATAAATGAAATAAAATAATGCTTCATTTTCTAAACAAAAATAGTTAAATAATGCGTTTTTATTCTCCTAAATGTATCAAATTTGTAAAATTTCTGCGTAATTGAAAAGAATATGCATTTCTTCCTTATACACAAGCGAAAAAAAGTGGTGGCCAACTTAGGACCGCTATTTCTGAAATGTACAAAATGCAGCTTTTCACTATTTATTGTATTAAGACTACAAAAGCCATTCTAAAACGTTCTAAATACCACAAAATTATAGCAAAACGATCTCTGAACACTAATATATACTTGCCAAAGTGATTAAATTTCATTTTGTTACTATTTTCGAGCAATTTGCTTAGGCGGCCAACTTAGGACCACTCTCCCCTAATAATAATAATAATAATAATCATAATCATAATCATAATAATCATAATCATAATAACTAAATTTGGAAAACGAGAATAGAACGAAAAATATCAGGAAATTTAGAAAATGTTTATTGACAATTGGTATTAAAAAATAAATTTACATTCAATTTGTTAACAATTGAAATTTAATTTTTTAATATATTAAGTTCAGTTTAATTTAAAAAGAATTTAAACAATATATAATTAACCAAACTTCAAAAATAAAAATTTAATACAAAACTTCATTTTTTACGATTTATTTAAAATTTAAAATTTTTATCAACTAAAAACCCGTTTTTTAAAAGGAATAAATAAATAAATTGAATTTTTAAATATATTTTTTTTTAAAATTGGCATTTTCTCTCCTTGGAAAAATATTAGAATTGAAATTGCAATAAAATTGTTTTAAAAAAATGAAAACAATTTTTTCTTTCGCTGAGTAACTACGGAAGAAAACAACAATAATTTATAAAAAAGAAAATATCGTTTGAAAATGAAAGATTTAATTTAAAAATTCAAGAAAAAATTACTTTGTTGCCAAGTAACAGAAGTATACAAAGTGATAATAAAAAAATATGGTCAGAAAGTTTTTCCAATTACTAACTTTGTTTTTTGAATTTTTATTAAAAAAGAAATTTTAATCCCTTAAAATTTTTATAAAAAATTTTTTTAAAATAATTTCGCTGAGAACATTTTTTTAACAATTCAAAAATTGATTGCAAATACATTTTGTTTCTTTTAATTCAGGCAAAAAATTAAATTTAATAGTTAATTTAAAAAAATTGTTTATTGGAGAAAAAATTAATTTAGTTAAACAAGAAATTTTCGAAAAAAATTGTTCGTCCGACAAAAAATCAATTTAATTAAAAAATTTGTTAGAAAAAAAATTGTTTCTCTGAATTCAGGCAAAAATTAAAAAAAAATTTTTTTTTAATTCGAGCGAAAAATTTAAATAAATACACTACCGTCCACGAGTATCAGGACGATTACATTCGACTCTATGAAAAAA